AAACAATTTTGATTCATAATAATGCATGTAGATATCAGCCAGGATGGGACTGAGGGGGCTTTCCCATGGCTAATCCCTCAGTTTGCTTGTAATATTTATTTTGGGAAAACAAAATGTGTTTGTTTCAAACAGAGTTGAGTTGAGAGAAATTAGCTCATCAATTTCGATGCAAGACAAATGAAATTCGCGAAGTCTGGTTTCTAGACATCTTAATGCACCTTCCACTGGGACATTGGTGAATAATGATTTTACATCAAAAGAAACCATGAGTAAATTACGAGGAGAAATGTTTTTAACCTTTTTTACAAACTCTATTGAATTTTTTATGGTGTAAATGTTATTGTCTAATAGAGTGGAAAATCTAGAAACTAAATATTTAGCTAATGGATACGAGGCAGTACCTAAGTTTGATACATAGGGCGGAAAGGAATACCACTTTTATGAATTTTGGGAAGAGCATATAATCTGGCACAATTCGCAACGGATGGGATAAGCGAATGTTTTAAGTTGCTTGAAATGAGTTTGCGAAGATTTGATCGCAGTTTTATTTTGGATAGGTCCGAAGGTTGAAGGATCTTTAGGGATCGAATTATATGGTCCTTCGTTTAAGAGTTTAGTGACACCATCGAATGTAAGTGTTCTTATCCATGACGAGCTATCTGGCCACCTTTGTCATGCCTTTGAAATGATAATATACGGGTTAGAATGAATTTCGCGCATTGTAGCTCTTTCTCTCACAGTTAGATTTGGTTTCAAAGGTTATATTATTGAATTTCACATTATGAGCGATAAGATGCCTAATCATTTCTTTCTGTGAATCTGAAAACTTTACTGAACTTGAAAGTTTTTTCGATAGGAGCCAAAATCTTTGGAATCGAGGTTTACAGGTTTGTGAGAAGTTAAAATTATATTTTAGAATTCTCTCTTGTTCTTCTGAAAGACTAACATTAGAAAATTAACTATTGGCTTGATGTTTACAATGGGAAGATTTTTTTGAACTACTTGAACTGGAAGACTGTAAAAAAAGTTTTTCGAATATAACTGCAAGGGTGTTTTATGACGGTTAACTGCATTCTCCGTTCTAGACCAAGACTTTTGTTCAAGGGCAGTGAATTTTGGATATGTTTAGCGAGTTCCAGATGAAGCTTATAGAGTTCATGTTCAATTTGGACAATTGTTGACGTGTATCCCTTATGATGGACCGAAGTAAGGCAAGTTTGCAATTTAACAGAATTCTTGAAACGCGACTGAAGGTTTTTGATTAGATTTGATTTGAATAAAATTGGGGATCAATTTTTTACATTTACATTTAAGTAAAAAGTCAAGATGATTCAGGAATTTTTGCCTGCTTCAGGTCGTAATTTAGTGAAACGATTAACGGATGAAAGGCATGATAAACAATGCAGAAAATCAAACTAAATTAAATGAGCAATAATAAAGTACACACAAAATAGCAGAAAAATCCCTTCACTGAAATGAATAGAAAACAAAAACGTTTGTAAGCCAAAATGCATGAAATCAGACAAGCAAAGCACAATATCCAAATATGCGAAACATAAACATAACTTGAAAATTGCAAAAATGTACTCACCGAAACTCCTACAATCACAAATGGCGGCCACACCACGTGCAAAAAAGAAAGCAAAATGTAAGCCTGTTTGGGGCTTCTATAATTAAGACACAATAACACGCCGAATAAATACTAATTCAGAAGTCAAACAACAAAAATCAGCGTTAATTTACAAAATTTTCACAGGACTAGTTTCGATGGTTTTACCGAACCATCATCTTCAGCTGCAAAACCGCAAATGAACAAGATAGGATATAATGTTTAGATAAGATAAGACATTCTGTTTTCTCGACATTCTGGTCACACGTAACACATCCAACTTCAGTACTACAGTTTACCGTAAACCTTCATCGGTTTGCCTTCCACCACACTTTAAACATGTCATCCGACTAAACAAAAGTTAGCTTCATTTTATTCCTATGTTTTCCGTGCTCTTCAAGTTTGCTCCTCCAAACTAGCCCTTGATGAAGAACTAAATTATTAAAAGCAATAGCTATTGACAGGGGCTTTCACCAACATTATTAATCAAGCAGTTAAAAAAAAAATCATCTCAACACACTAAAAGCCACACTCTTATTTTAGGAGATTATAAAAATTTGTTGTCATTCCCTTCTTTCCATCAATAGCTATAAGTTGCACATATTTGCAGAAATTAACTTTCGGGTTGTTTACTTCCCATCAATAAAATTCCAACTTCTATACTCAAGGACCCCATTCCGGATATGAATTCCTGGGGTATTTATAGGATCCTTGCCAGTGCGGTTTAATTTACATTGGCCAAACTAAGAGAGGCTTAAATTTCGCGTCAAAGAACATAGGCATATGTTAGAAAAAGGAAAACACAGAAGTCTTCTGTTGCTCAACATTGTTGGTCCGAAAATCACATTTCAATTTTTCTGCTGCCAAAATATTCAAAAAAAACATCTTCCATTGGAGAAATGGATTTCTAGAGGCATTTCACATTCATAAAAATCTTTATGTTCTAGTTAACGATCCTAATTCAATCCAATTTGCCTTCGGCTTTTAGAGAAATTAGTTTTAGTTCTGGTTTCGCCAACAGATGGCGCCACTTGCTATTCTTGTCCAGGCTTCTTATCTTATCTAAACATTTTTCCTATCTTGTTCATTGCGGTTTTGCAGCTGAAGATGATGGTTCGGTAAACCATCGAAACTAGTCCTGTGAAAATTTTGTAATTAACGCTGATTTTTGGTTTGACTTCTGAATTAGTATTTATTCGGCGTGTTATTGTGCCTTAATTATACAGAATGTTAAGATTATATTTTCTTGGTGTCTAGTGTAAATCTTATGATATATGGGCAACTAAAAGCTGATCTTATTTTAAGTCATTATTGCGAATATTTGCTCTGAATATTAAATGTAGCTTAGGATAAAATCAAACTTTAATTTAGTAAGGAGCCTGGTTGTATGTCATAAATAAATGGAAAATTCAAGTTGAACAGATCATAACTTTTCAAAAACGAGTTGTCGGAACGGGGGGGGGAGTGTCTCTGAGTTTTCAGAAGTGTTTTAAGACATCATAAAAGGCTTCATTTACAAACTTCTTTAAATTTTATTAGTTATTTAAAACGGTTCACTAAATTTAAATTTACATTTAAGCAAGGTTATACTAATAATAAATTACTTGAGTGGGAACTTCTAAATTGCATTCTCATTGGCATCAAGAGAGGACTAATTCACGAACTTCCACGACATCCCATAAATATAGCAGTCTGTCATCAATTTATATATATGAAGAATTACTCACACTGGTATTTGCATTATTCTCACTTCCTGAAAAGTTGGGCCCATAAACAGCCAGCCTGGTTCGACTTTGTTTCAAACTCCAGAGAACCAGCTATCTGATGAGTATTCGCGTAATTTTTCTTATTGTTATTATCGTCCATTGATTTAAAGCCATGAAAATGCTAGCAAAGTCAAAGTAAACCTTGCAGGTTCCATTTGATTTTTCTTTACTTTTCATACATTTAAAGTTACAATTAAGCAAATATCCTAAAAATGAATTCTGAAATAATGCTGTTGTAAATCAGATAGCTCGCTGCCTGTTTTGCCGTAGAGAATAAAAAAATAGATAGGCCTTTAAGAACATATATGAGTAGCAAATACATAGTGATTCCTCAAGATCTACTTCTCAGAAGCAATTTTCCTCACCATATCGCGTCGTCACTACGGTATAGCTGATGTTTTAAGGCAGGTTACAGGTTACGGAGGACGGGGACTCCTGGTGTCTAACATAGGTAAACAGGCGTATGTCCCACGTCCTCCCCTATCTAGTGGCAACAACTCTGTGGAGCCCCCAAGAGGCTGTATAGGGTGTTTTGAGACATGGTAAAGGTTGTACATGGCCAAACAAGGGTGCGCGTGTTTTGTTTTGCAGATTTGGAGAGGCTTAATTTGAACAGAAATGGCAAGGAAACAAAAATGTTGCAGAATTTAAAAAAGGCACTTGCCTCTTAGTTACTGAAGGCAGGACAGGACAGGAACAAGGACAGGGGGCACCACGCCATCACCATTGACAAAAAGGGTATAGCCCCATGCACTACCTCTCTAGCGTACCGCCCCAGGTCTTCAAGGTTAATGAAGTGTAAAAAATAACTTTTCTTGAACTTCATGTACAGCTGGCCCGGTTTAATGAATTTTTTTAATGGCCGGGTGCTTTATTCAATAGCCGTGAGCCTTGTGCTGCTACAAGGGCAGGAAGTGGTGGCCATTTCATCATGGAAGAACCTAGTAAGTGGCCACCATTGCCTCCTATGAAGGGACGGGCAGTTTACAGCCTACAGCCATGCCTTTTCTGGAATTCGGACCCGTGCCCATCGCTAAGCTAGTCAGGGTCACTAATCACTATGCCAACTGGGCGGCAAGGAAGAGGAAGGAACTTCAACGAATCAAAAGTTTGCTTTTCTGTATCTTATCTATTATGCAAAAAGCAGCATCTCACAAATATTTTGTTGTGAATCTTAAATTAGCGATGTTTATTGTGATATATCTGTGTGCAAATATTAAATTTGTTGTTGGTTTCATAAGCGCTATTACGTGAAAATGCTCCTGTTTATAATGTGCTATCAATTTACTAATTTGTCACCATGTAATAATATATGTTTCCGTCACTTTATTGTATTTATTCGAAATGGATGGTTTCAGTGTATCATAGAAGGTGGAGAGATTTCAATGTTTAAGTGCATGTAATTAGGTTTCATTTTTCAAGGTCTTATTTTCATGTATATTCCAAAACTAAATCGTAAAGGTTGTAACAACTTAAGGACCCCATTCTTAAATTTTGAAGTTTATTGTGCAAATACTAGTAGTGAATACGGTGCAAATGTCAAATTTGCACATTACAAATCTGTAATGTTAGAATTATAAATTGTGCATTGATCAATACATAACATAGATATATGACTACTTTACCTTTAATTTCGTCCTCGTCTTTTTTGCAGTCACACCCTGGACACGGACCATCGAAGATTGTCTGGACTTCGCAGCCGGGATCACATTTTGGTTCAGAGCAGAGAGGTTCGCACTCACACTTAAAGCATCCGTCTGGCTGTTTTACTTTGCGGCAGTTTTCTTCACACTGCACATATTCGCACCTAGGTCTGCGATGCCAACCTTCTGAAAAAGGCATAATTAAATAAATATTTTACATTTTAGATCAAGACTATCAAACTTATTTTACAAAAATCAACAAAGCTCGTGTATATTTTAGTTCCAGGAAAAAAATAAATATGTCAAAGAAGAAGTTCAATTTATTAAATAATAGACTTTGAAGGAATAGGCAACATAATTTAAATTATTGCTGATTCCGTACAATGCGGTTAAATATTTATTTCAAACAAAAAAGTATCATTATTTTTCTCTCATTTCTGCTACAAAATAAGTTGATTACTAAAAACGTATTTTATATTCTCCCATCTTTCTTCCTTTTATATGAAGTGGAAAGACACGGTGTCCGCTGAACACATCACGGCAAAAACATCGCGCAGAAAACAACGCAAGGCGAAAACGCCGGGAAACAAAACATCGACGGAGACAATTTTGTTTTCGGCTGTAACCCACAAAACGTTAAAAAATGCCCCTTTGGACGTAATATAAAATTGGAAACCTTTCAGATTTTATTTATTTATTTATTCCAAACAGGTTGAACGGCCTCACATTGATTTTTCGAAACCTTTTTTTACACAAAGTCTAAGAACACGGCATCTGAAATGGTTTCCATTAATGTGGATTGTCATATAATCTAAAATATATTGTACAGTCAAAGAACATCTTCTTGAGGAAATATGGTTGAAGGAACTAAGAGCTCTCTCTGTTTACGCGCTTTTAACAGCCTAGCTATGGAGTTATAACGGTCTCCATAATGGGTTGTATTTCATTATACTGCTGGAAATTTCATTATGCAGTTGCCTGCTAAGCTATTTCAACGAAAATCCCAAATTCATTTATGTTCATTTCAAATTTTAGTGTGAAATTTAACTATTTGCATACCTTTTTATCTTCTCCTGACGATCGATTTCTCACATTTTCTGAATTTTCTAGACAATCAAAAAATATAGCAACGAAAATTCTGATTAATTACAAGTATTATAGGGGAAACACTCTCGTGCCCCAAAGATCAAAAAATATAGCAACGAAAATTCTGATTAATTACAAGTATTATAGGGGAAACACTCTCGTGCCCCAAAGATCTCCCCACGATATACTACATTAGTTCGTATTATTACTTAACTACATAAATAATGCATACTAGGCCTAGGAATAAGAAAAAATCACATTAACTTGGCAGAGTCGTTAGATTATTTTGAAGCAGGAAAACGTGAGAAATGTGCAATGCCCTTGCTGGGACACGATGCTGGGTCTCTGGAATACCCACCGAGTATGCTACCGTTACGTCATGAAGGTATGCTAGAAAGAAGGGAGAAGATACCTTATATACTCTCCCCTTTAAAAGGCGACTGGGGAATAGGGGCTTAATCACCAAATCTGGTGATAAAGTATTGTCTTTTTTAATGTTTTTATTTATTTCTAAAAAATAGAAATAAAATAAAATAAGGAATGGAAATCGCTATTGTTCTCTCATCCAAAGGTTTCCTTGTCTTCCTTTTCTTCATCAGATAATTCTTGAAGAATCCGAGCAAAATCAGCTGGTTGTACATGCGTTTTTACCATGAAAACCGATATAAAATTTACAGAGACAAATGTATTCAAATTAAAATAATACACAGTAATTAATAACACAAATTACAAAATATTTGAGAAAAATGTTTTTCGAATTTTAAAACACAACCACGTGCGTGTCGTAATTTTTATGAAAAGCTGCCACGTAGCACACACACACACACACAAAAAAAAAAAGTCAAATTACTTCCTGTGGACACATTTTATGATGCGATAAAGGGTAGAAAGGAGGAATAGAAATGACCTTCAGAAGTGTCAGCTTCGATATGCGAAAAATGTGCATCAAAAACTGAATTTGTTGTAAATTTTGCGCATACGCGCGTGCTGGAAGGCTAAGAAAATTTGGAAGTTGTGCATATATTGACAGATTAGCCCGAAGCTAGAAATGTGGATTTCATTGCAGTCGTGAAAGCAATAGAGATAAAAAATAATTTTACAATCAAATTAAATTATGAAAAGCCTTCATATGACAGCCATAATTTTCTAAAAATATCCTTTGAATAGAGTTTTATAAAACACATTTATATGCATTTAGTGGATATTAAATAAATAAAAAGTAAGTAAAAATACCCAAAACTTGACTCATTTTAATTTACATGCTTTGCTCATCCCTCCGATTTACCGTTCACTGTGTATCCGAAACCAGGCTAAATCAAAACAGTAGGGATGATAACATCAAATCCATGAGTTGGATAGTCAGCTATCTTTAGTTTGATTTTAAATAACCTTTGTTTCATTTTTCGAACTCTAAATTTACAATGGAAATAAATGACCTCAGTTTATTGCGCAAACTCATACGCACTTACGAAGTAAATCGTTCTTCAGAAGATTTAAGTTCTAGCGTTCGTAGATGAAATGTCTTAACTAAAATTTGAAATATTTGGATAAATTGTTCCAAAACTGCTATCCGGAAGTTGCTAAAACGTTTACACGTAATTTCCGGGACAATCAGAAAAGAAAAGCTAAAGATTCTGATTAATTATAGATCATGTTGTTTTACAATACAAGTAAAATTGTTGTTGAACACTGTATGAAGAATTTTATTAATGTCCAATCATTTAAATTTATATTTAGTGGAAACTTAATGGTTTATTGTGGAATAATTTGAAAATGTTTTTACGTTCATGTTGCAGTTAGTTACATTTATTTTGTGAATAACGAGATGTGGAACTTTATGAAGGTTTTTTTTTTTTTTTTTTTTTCAAATTTCATTTGTATGAATGTAGTTAAAATGCTTAAAAGTTGTAGAGACATTTTTGAAATTCCCTTCTAAATATTGAGATCAGAATGGAAAATATTTGATTTTATAGACAAATGTGTATATTAAAATAATCAAAATACATATCCTTCAATGCATGATGATGAATATATGAATCATACCAATCTTTACTGAATTTAGCATTAAACAAATTACAAAGCGAACGGTTTACTGGACTGATTTTTATCTTAATATATCTATATCAATGTTTAGCTGTTCTTGTCTGGAATAGGTAACAACATAAAACTGTACTCTGTATTTCATTAGTGTCAAGAACACAGAATTCATTTCTGTTTTTTCGGTGGTCAAGCTAGCTTTGTGTTATTCATAAATTCGTTATTAGAGGCTTAAAAATTTTATTCTATATAGCTGACGTATATATTCTATATGCACTTCTCATTTCTGTGTTATGATTTAACCAAGGTGGTGGTGTGGTGTATTTAATTATGGCAAAGCACACTAGGGCTATCTGCCTAAGGGAAGGGATGCCTTTCGTGGAGAACTTTCTAAGGGAAACTGGCTCGTATACACGTTACAGATGGGGAAAACCACGAAAACGCCCATGCAGCCAGCCCGTTCGCGGGATTCGAACCTCGGACCGAACTACCAGTGTTCAGCGTCTTTACCGCTCGGCCGCTGGTGGGCCGATTTAACCAAGGAACCGTTTTAAAATTAAATATTTAAATTTTTCTGTTTGATTCATATATGCATCACTATGCATTTATGATTAAGCTTCACTCTAGAGTGCAGTTTGATGCATATATGAATCAGGTTAACATTTAGAGTGGAATTTTAATTATAAAACTTCCTAATACTTTTTATTTCATGCTTATTTTTATATCAACAATACCCACTCAATATTTGTATGTATTGTTGTTATTTAGAGTCATAAAATATTATTTTTGTTTCTAATCATGTAGTAAGTATATTATTTGTTTGTCCTGAAAATTCCTTTCACCGTTTTTATTTATGTTCATTTTGTGTGAGTTATTTTTTCAAATATCTTTTGTGTGAGTTCGATGGATTTGCCTATAAGTTTGATGTATACTCAGGCCAAGATAATCTACCTCATAGTTGCTTAGCAAATGAGGCAGAACTGGGCGCCAGTGAAAGTATTGTGATTAGACTTTCTAGAGAGATTCCTCGAAATCAAAATTTCAAAATGTATTTCTACAACTTTTATACTTCAATTGACATAATGAATTACTTAGCTGATGAGGGCATTCTTTGCTTGGGAACAGTGCATAGGTACAGAATTTCAGTTTGCAAGCTCTCTACAGATGAGCAGCTGAAGAAAGAATTGAATCCCCTCAACGTTGAATACGTTGCAGGTTGTGGTGAAACTGAAATATGTAATTTAATGTGAAAAGAAGATAATAATGTGCTCCTGTTGTCTACGTCTGCTGGGAAACACCCCATTGAACAGATATCTAGCTTCGATAAGAAGAAAAAAAAAAGTTACTGTGAACTGTTCAAATGTTGTGAAACGGTACAACAAACAAATGAGGGGCGTAGATTTGTTGGATAGCCACATAAGAAGATACAAAATAACTGAGATCAAAAAAGTTTTATATGATTTTTTTTACCACTTCCTAAACTTTGCGGTCATAAATGCGTGGCTGCTGTATATAAAAATGTCTCTACAGAATGGAGCCAACCCCAAGGATTTGCTAAACCTGGCTGCCTTTCAGGTTGGTTTGGTTCCGAAATGGTTGAAAGTTCAGTTCCCAAGCGTGGAAGTCCGAGCTGTCTTTTACAAAATGTTTACAATGTGAAAAGACAGAGAGGCCCTGCATTAAACATTCCTCCAACTTGCGTCTGACAGGATAAAATTCAGCATGTTCCCATATGGAACAAAAATCGCACGCTTTGTAAAATCCCAAATTGCAAATTCCAAACATTTATTGGATGTGAAAAATGCGCTGTAGCATCATGTCTAAATAAGAATAGAAATTGTTTCAAATTTTCCCATACAACATAAATTGCACAATAAATGTACATGTACAAAATATTTGATACGTCGTTTTATTTAAATTTTCATCGCAATTTAAATTTTTATAAAGTCTGAACATGATTAATTAGAATTAAATTTCAATAAAATTTTAATTAATGTCATTATTTTCTAAAAACAATAAATACTTAAGTATTTTATGCCAATATTTATTAATTATATAATTGTAAATTATCTTGAAAAAAATTTAATAAGATAAACAAAATAATTAAAAAAGAATGGAAATATTTTGTATATTTGGTATGAAGTAATATTATGATACAAAATAGGTTGTATTATTTATAAATAGAAGATGTATCGAAATTTCTCACGAAATTAATTTGCATATATTTTTTTTAAAACTTAAGTTTTTAATTCCAAATTGGGATGTAACAGTTCTTTGAAGTCATTTCAATCTAAGATATTTTATTGTACGAATCAGAGCATTTATTTTAATTCGTGCTAATTTTAAATAATTAAAATGATGGTAAATTACGTATTTTGCTATATCAGAATAAAGTATCTAAAATATTACGAACATCGTTAAAAGCTGCTGCTTACAGTAGAGAATAGAATGATAAATAAAAATATTAAATTCGGATATGATCTTATTTAGTAAGTTAGAGATTTATGAAGAAGTAGTGCATAAGTAAGTTCTAATACTAACAAATGCTAACGGAACCAACAAGGAAATGTTAAATTATACTTTTTGCTGATTTACAGTTTTCTAGTATTAATTACAATTATTATTAGACCAAAGGAATAATCTGCCCAGAAAGACTATTAATTTCGTTTTGGCATTTTGCGTTGATTCGTTATAAACGGCGAATAACTTTTTAAATTGTGGCCACCAAATATTGATAATGAAGAATCTACATAAATGTATGCATGTTTCTCGCATTGTGATAAAACAACGGTACCTAGACCCATCAAATTTTAAATAACTTACGCCTCCACCAAATAGGAGCCTTTGGAAGCCCAAATTTGGAATTCGGAGTTTGCTTTATTATCTATTTCATATTTGTTATAAGCATTTATGAGTCTTTTTATTATGGAACTCAACAATTTCAAAGCGACCAATGGCAAAACTGTACGAAAAAAAATAATTTTATCTCCAGCGTTCGAGACTGCGTATGAGAAATCCTAAAGATGTGCTCTTTAAAATATTTGTGATATTGCTGTTGAATTGAATTTTATAGTTTAAGTTCGAAGAACATGATTTTAATAAAGATAACACACAAAATGTTGAAAGAAACGCCCCTTTGGGCGTAATGTAAAATCCGAAAGCTTTCAGATTTTTTTAAAAAATTTTTATGCTTATGATTAGCATTTTGTAATCTTTAAATATAGTGGTAAGATATTTCAGCTTTTTATTAACTGGATACATAGTATGCGCAGATATATATAATTGCGTTTGAAAGTTATATTATCCCCCTCCCTGCTTGCGTACTGCAATGGTGTAAGTGGTTAACAAGTGAAGCTAGTAGTAGAATATCAGCTACCCGAATACTAACGAGAGGATAGTTTATTTTTGAAGTTTCCTGCTACCATAAAAACTAATAATCTTTAGAACTAACTACAGTAAAATTTAATTGACTATGCTTCAGTTTATAGTGATTTACAAAATATTAGAAGTGCATCAAGGTTGCAATTTTTTATTTTTATTTTTATTTCGCTCATATATTTTTTAAATTTTTTATATCGTAAGATGTTGTTGTTAGTATTACTTACTAATGAAATGTACATTTCTTTATTGTTCATTTATTAAGAAAATTTCATGAATATTGCCAGCAGAAACTTTTGTTTAGATCATATAACACTGTTATTTACTGATGATTATACTTAAATATTTTTATAAAATTATAAAATAAGTGTTTATTCCTCTATTTCTGGAGATTTTTGTTTTATCCCTGAGGTTTGTAAAGGAGTATCTGCTGATTATTTGATATTCCTAAATGATAATGATAAAAACATTACTTGTGCTTCTTTAATAAGAAAGATTTACAGAGAAGTTAATTTCTTCAATGTCATCTTTTACACTTCCCAAAGATGCTACTTTAGACTCAAACTACTTCGAGGATTTCGGAATTTGAGAGTTATTGCTTTTATTCTTATTTCTAAAGCTTAATTTATTGAATACATATATAAATAATATTCATTATATTCAACACAGTTAAAAATCGTAGAATATTTTAGAAGAGGAGAATACTTACTTCTGAAAGCTTCTATTTCAATAATGAAGCAAGCCACTAATAACATGCAAATTTTCAGATACAAAGAGGACATCCTTTTCTTCTACCGAATACCTTCCAATGTCTCATCCGAGGAAACTGAGTTAAAATTTATTTCCTACCTCAGAATTTTATCTTTTGATACTGAGTTTTGATTCGATAATAATGTTACACATCCTGCTGATATGAAGAAGGGAAACCATGAATAATGTTTCGCCTGTTGATTTATTTGCATTTGTGAAACGGGGAAATTATCTTGATAATATCTGATGATAAAGAACTTTGTTATAAAAACATATAATGTAATGTAGACATTTATTTTTTTTGAGACATATTGAAGTTTATCATTTTACAAAGGATGAATTACATATTTGAAATTTTAAGATGCCATTTGTTTAGTTGTATAGTTTAAATTTGTAAATTTTAGTATTTGTCTTATTTCTTCGAATGTGCATGGATCACCGTTTTCATGATGGGGACATAAAATGGTTTCTTAGAGTCGCATCACTTCTAGCCACTTTTAAACACTCCACATTTTTTTAATATTTTGTTTTTAAAATGTAAACTTTGCTTCTCTTTTAAAGGGAATTTTTTGTTTCATTAAAATTTAGGTAAATGGTTAATTCTTTGATCTCTTATTGTTGCTGTATTAGTACTGGTTAAACACGCTTCTGACTATAGCTTCCACATACTCTTATACAGTATAAATTCGTTCACTGAATGGGTCACTTTGTGCATTGGGTTTCCTCTCTAAAATCTTTAAGAAATATTAAGCTCATTATTCTAATTTTTAATTACCAATAATTGTTCTTAATCCTTGAATTTACTGTACGCGCCCTGTATGCATTTGTGCTTAGGTGTGAGGGGACACAAACTATTAGAGCAAATAAAAACATACAGACCAGTTTCTCTGATGCTTCGGATTAAATAGTTGTTTCAGCGGTGATAAATAGCTATCCATAGAGTTACCAAATTATTTTGCCCTATTTGTTTTAAAATATTTGCCATTAGTGCGATTTACCTGTCTTGCAGACAGTTAAAATCTCTAGAATGGGATTACATTCAACATCTTCTACGTCCTCCAAATTTTAAAACCTCCACCAAGACATTAAATTACAATTGTGGCACATCTGGTACTTCTGGAAATATATTCCGGTTATTGTTTTGATTCCAACAGTCCGGTTCTTCAAAATCATGGTATACATTTGTTCAAAATCATGAGGTACAACTGTACAGTAGGTTCCTGCTTAAGAAAGGAAACATATTTAACTTGTGTCCTTAATGAATTATACGTTTCAAAAACAAGATAGAGATGATATAAGATGGATTCGGATGCAAGGCAGTCAATCGAAATATCTTTGCTTTCTTTTTTTAGTTTAAGCAGGATGAAAGGAAATGCATTTTCGGACGCTTTTCACTTTTCGAACTACCTCATACCCTACAAGTGTTTTCGCTTTCTTTAATATCTCGTTTGTTCTCAAAGAGATAACTGCTTTTATGTGTATTGGGAGTATGAGGAAAAACTATGTCTTGTGTTATATAGCAGTATGACTTCACGGAATATCTGTTTCACTATCTGCGTTTCGATTCCTTGAAAGCAAAGCTGGATAATTATGGTTTGACAGTGGATAGCTTTGCTGGAATCGGTGGCAACGTAGATAAATAAAATAATAGAAATAAAGGATTTCTCTGCTTTTTAGGCTCTCGTAGAGTAAGAGAAGATACCTCCTGTCGATTTAATGAGCCAGATGGTTTCAGAAGCTGTGAGGGCCAGTTGCAAAGGAAATAATCTCGCTTTGAAATAAAACGATTCGCTGTGCATGCATGTTGAACAGCTAGAGGGTCGGAAATTAGGAGATCTGAAATATATAGGGAGTAATTGGGTACAGGTGGGTGAAGTGAAAACTTTAAAAAAGGGTTCTCCTTTAATAAAATATATACGCATCTTAAAATATATCCAAGAAATCAAGGCAAGATATTAAAAGTACAGAAAATATAGGAATAAAATAATAGGGGTATTTAGACATTAAAATTTTAAAACTAAAATCTGTTTCTCGAGGCAATTTGGCAAATATGGAGTTTCTTAGCGTTACCCTTTGTTTGTTAGATAAATAAGATTTAATGAATATCTATTAACGTCGACTGGTTGGCAAAGAATTCGCGTCAACCGTCTTTAGCGTATACACCGACAAGTGTAATTAAACTCTTAACCATTAATTAAACTAAAATTAGATACCTAAAGGATACCATACAGAGTCTCAAAATCGCACATATTTAGTTGATAACGGAAAGTGAAAGTGGAATAGAATTGCAGAATCATGTATAGTAAGTTAAGGAAACCGTAATTAAAAAATAATTTTAAATGTTATGCCTTTATTAATTAATATTTCCTTATTTGGATTATAGGATTAATCATAAAAATATTAAATTGAGTACAACTTTTATAAAAAATTCAGTCGGTTTTTAGTACATTACATTTTAAAACTTCTTCTCTCAGTAAAGGCTACAAGATTTAAGAAATGTGCACATAGGCGATTTTTTTAATTATTTTTCTCACCACTTTTGAAGTTTGCTGTGGCTGCTGTGTTTTCTGATGGGCAGTAATGAAACGTTACCTTCTTAACTTTTTTATGTGATGTCAGTAAAAGTGTTTTATATTTACCCTTAGTGTTCATTCCTTATAATAAACGTTTAGTATCACCTGCTGCCTGGGTCCAGGTTGCGTAACGCAGGGTATTTTTAAGGTCGGGTTTTGAATACTTTTTAAAATATGTCTCGTATAAGTACAGCGTACCGTATAAAAGCCAGAGCAGGCTGCTAACTTTCTTTGCGTGTAATCCTATGCCTCCCTGCATTCACGGTGTCAGTTCTGCATGCTTCTAATAATAAGACTTAAAAGCGTAAGAAAATCGAGCGCCCCATTGATTGTGAAATACAGTAAGCCATCCGGTTTTTTACAGTAGGAAACAATAAAGGTTGTTGATACTCAGCACCAGATATGGGAAATGTGGAATGACAATAATGAGCGACAGTCAAATACGAAAATGGGTGAAATTGATGAAAGATTCTTAAATTCATGATTTCAAATGACTTTCATGACGAATGACGCTTCGGTTTAATTACTGATGAATTGGTGCAGGCAGTTAAGACCCAAATTCCTGTAAACAGTTAATTTTACCAAATGGCTTGGTGAACTGAAAATCAATGATAGAGGAGTAAAAATGTGCGTGAATAATTGGCTATCACCTTGGCGCTAAATTCAGAAAGAATGGTATACAAAAACTGACTGTTCATTCTGATAAATATTTAAACCGACAATAAAAATTATATTGAATTAAATAATAAATAGAAGATTGTAAATAAATTTAGAAAAGAAATGCTTTTTTAAAGTTTTTTACTTGTTTCATTTTTATTATAAAACTGAATCAAAATTACCCTCGTAATATACCGATATGAAGGACAATATTGTTTTAATTCAAAATTAATTTGGATTGCTTAAATTTTCGACAATTTTTTTTCTCCTGTTCATGGTGAGTATTCGTGCAATATCAAAGTAATTATAGATTTCAAATAAAAGGTTGGTAATGCTGTAAAATTTTTAGTGTAAAAAGGGGTATATTTTCTCTCTCCAGAATGCCTTTATGGTGTATTTGGAAGCATTTTTCATGCGTATTCGAGAGGTTCAGGCACGAGTCCTGGCGAGAATATTGCATATATTTCATGTCTTATAATTCAAAATAATCTAATAGCTCTAAACGCGATGTAAAATATCATCAAAGGTATAAAAGGAAATTGCGTTAGTTTGTTTCAAAATTATTTCGACAATACACGTTATGTGAAGATCAACATTTTATCTAAATCAATCGAGTTAAAGTACACTGATATCAACTAAATTGTCCGTAATTAAAAGTGAAGGCAACTGAAAATAGGTTTTAATTTGAATCAAAAACTTTCTGAAGGAAAAATATTTTTGACCTCTTGTATTTCTAGAATAAAAAGAAGTATATAAAAATTTGTGGTTAAAACGTTCAAGCTGTCATTGGTTAAATTAAAAAGAAGTTCCTTGCTTTTTATGAAAAACAAGTGCAGTAGATAATTTATAATAAATATTGATTATTTATAGCGAAATGTATTAAATGAGCAATAAAAGCAGAACAGCTGCAAAGTATTTGTGTATTTTATAATAATTTTATACTTTAAATAACTAAGAATTCTCTATCCGATTATGAAATACACATTTTGAGAAGTAATCTTAATTTGGATTATAAACTGCTTATCTATTTTTGGTATAATGTTTTTTAAAGCAAAGTAAGAATCCTGAAAGATATTCATTTATTTCAAAATCATAAAACTAGTGTCTTATCAAGAACATAACTGGATTTTATCTCTGTGTAAAAGTAACTTTGTTTTGAAATGGAGAATGGATCTCATACTACAGAAGAGAATATTAAAAAAATATATCCGGTTTCATTTTTTATAGAAATTTACTTCATAATATAAATTTCTCCTAATATTTGCAATTCAACAGTAAACTCAGGTAGATACGATCCATATATCAGTCAGGAAGGAAAGCGATAGCAATGAACAAAATATTTCTTTGAAATAAAATTCTTATCTCTACATTAAACTAGCCATGTGTATTTTCAAGGTATTTTAGCTACATCCAGGATGAGATAAAAACTTCTTTTCCTGAACTGCACAAAATGCTATTTTACATTTCCGTAACATGAACAGTGAATGCCTGCATGTTATATACATATATATAAATGCAATTTGCGTGTAAAATGAAATGAAGCTTTGCTAATTTATTTTCAGTATTTTCCAGATGGCGACTAAAACAAAAGTAGTAAACATTAACTAAATAATGAGGAGGCTATTTTTAATATGACAATGTTCATGAGAGACATCTTTTTAGAGGAACGGATGACTTTGTGGAGGACATTCTAGGGAAAACTGGCTAGTAATTACTTTATGTATAGCCAACCTTTCAGCTATTTCACCTGGATTCAACCTGTGTTGAATTACCAGCAACCGGCTATCATTACCACTCGGCCATTGGGGGAGGGGAAGATAAATAAGTGAAAAATATCTTGTACACTGTAATATATGTGTAAGAAAAGAGGCACAAGTTCGAAGAAAATTCAAAACATTCAAAAAAAGGTTTGTCGATTGCAATTTCTTAAGGAGAAATGAAATTTCAGTATCTAAAAAATTTTCACGAAAGTGCTTTCCTATTATTTAGACAAAAAAAAAAAAAAAAAAAAAAAAAAAAAAAAAAAAAAAAAAAAAGGAAAACACATAAACCATTTTAAAAAATACTTGGAGTAGTATTTAAAGTTTTCCTTTTACAAATATGCACACAACAATAAAAGAAATTCTAATATGTATGTCATGAACGAAAAAAAATTCAAGAATTGAAATTAATTTAAAAATGCGGTATATTGTTACGGATTTGGTATTTAGTTAATTATTTTTGGTACAATTGTTATTAAAATTGTTTTTGTTATTAAAATTGTTTCATTTCTCCGTGAAATGCAGCACGTGACGAGTTTTAAGAGAAAGCTAAGCCGAAAAAGTAAAAGTACAGGCGCACGCGCATTTAATAAATAGATATCTCGTAATTTATATTTAAAATTGAAATATTGCAATTAAATGTTAGTTGTAACAGTAATTCTACTCTTTTGCTTTCCAGAAACCTCAAGAAATTACTAGAAGCTTCTCGTGGCTGATTAAAAAACTTATAAAAACCGGAGAAAACCACCTCAGTTTAGTTGTTTAATTACTTGTTGTTGATGATTGTAGCGAATTCGCGGTGAGATCGGATTAGCTTTCTCTGAACTTTGAATTGGGTTCTATTTAACGTTTTAATGGTAGCTTTAAATATAACTACTGTGTGATATTGTTCGAATATCTGTGAGGAAAAATTTGCATTTTGTTTTATTTCTTGTGATAAGAATAAATTTTACTACCATTTTATCAGACTTGTCCATTCAATCTATTACGAACCCATACCCTCGCAACTATATAATCAAAACAATGCTCTACATAGTTCTAAATTAAACATCTTATATATATTCGGCTTAAGTGTTTGTCGCCGATAGTTTAATGGTTGCTTGCGTAACTGTTAATTGTTTTATTTCCCGTGCAGTGCAGGCCGTGACGAATATTATGAGAAAGCTAAACCGGAAAAATAAAAAATACAACAGCACGTGCATTTAACATATAATAAATAAATTTAACATCTCTCTCTATATATAATAGAATTCGGAAATATGCAACCGACAACGATGAAAAAACAAATAAAATGAAATAAATAAATATCTTTATTTAATGCGGCTTAAGTGTCTGTTTGTCGCCGATTACTTATTGGTTACTTGCGTAACTGTACTAGCCAATGGGGGGAAGCTGCCATGGCACAGGATTGCCGTTTCAATTGAGATATAGACAATTTCCTGTAAAACTTGTCTTTGCTATGACCATCAATAAGTCTCAAACGCCAACGATTAAGCGTGTTGGCATTTTTTTTACGTGAGCCTGCGTTTGGACACGGTCAACTTTATGTTGCCTGTCCAAGAGTTCGTGAAAGAACAGACGTAAAATTAAAAATAATTGATTGTCCTCTGCAAGGCGAGCTTTAAAATGATGGAAAGATCTGCACAAGAAATGTTGTGTACAAAGAGATCTTTGATATGTGAATTAACATTTTATTATTTAAATCACCTTTATTTATTGAGCTAGAGGTGGCTCTTAAGAAATGTACCGCCAGTGGTTTCCTTCATTGCACTCTACTTTAAGCAAATAGAAGGGGGAAACCCCGTGGTGTAGTAAGCAAAGGGGCAACCTCGCCGCCTGCCCTGGATAATTCCTTTTGAATTAACAGACACCTTTGCACAAATAATTTTAATTACAATTTATAATATCTAGAACAGCGGCCATTTCGTATGACCGCCAGGCTTTCTAGTTTCTTCATATTAGGATAATACATTGTGTCCGTAAAAATATTTATGCGATCTTTATTTTCGAAACTGTTGATCATGGACATATAATTCCCATTGCAAAATTACTCTAAATAAGAACAATACTCATATTATGGCATTTTTAGATTCAAGAAATCAATTTTGTAAATTACAAAACATAATCTCTTATACTGTTTCCAAGTCTATAGTCATTAATAAATCTTTACGCTCATATTCTAAAAAATGTCAACTTTTTTTTTTTTTTTTTTTTAAGAGTGTACTGTCAGTATGCATTACAACTATGATCACATTGTACTTGACAATGCAAGCAAGAGCAACTATGCAGTGCTCACAATAAGTGGTCATCAGCATTTTCTTGTTAGTCTAAACAGTCCTCACCATGCACTTTCTTTCCATGTTGTGGTACTTCTTTCAGTATTTCTGAATTTATGTACTCAACTACCTGAGAACACAGTAAAAAGCTCCAGACATTTTTTATTTCCATCTACGGAATCCAGCAGGCTTAAGAGCACCTAATCCAGTGCGGTAGGTGTTTTGTTGATGGCGAACAGACAGTCATGGGGATGAGACTACATTTATATGAAACGAAACCTAAACGATATTAATACATTTGATTTGTATAATGGATTTTAATACAGTGAAAGAAAAGAATAAGGATATTTTTGTATATCACTTGCTAGCGAGATCCTGCTTTTCTTAAGTCATTTTATAATTATAAAGAAAAAAATCTTTCGCTTAAAATTTTGAAATGTATCTTATTTGGTAACTGAAAAGTACCATTCTACTAAATTTGGTTAATGAAACAATAGTCTCAAATCTATCATATTTGGTAACTGAAGCATTTTTAAATTAGGACAATTTATTAAGATTTGAGATTTAAGTTTTCTCATGACAGCTATCATTTTGCTTTATTCTTTTATGTCTGATTATCTTACATGCTATCTATTTTAGAACTACTTTATATCAATGTATTCACGTTTTAGCGGTATAGAGTCATGACATTTTACTGAGATAGATTTAGGTTTTAATGAATATCATATTATAAGGTACTTCTCCCGCCTTCTTAGGAAACCTTCGTGGTGTAAGGGTCTGCACGCTCAGAGCGTAATTGAGAGGTCAGCAGTTCGATTCCCGGCGAAGGCGTTGCTAATTTTTCATCTTGCTTGCTTCCAAAAATGCCTAATGTCTCTACAATATTAACTATTTTAGCACTTGAGGAGTGAAATATATACATTTATATGATGGCAGCATGGAAAAACCCGTAAGTACTGTTTTATTTGAATTCAGTGGTTCACCTAGCAGAACAAAGTGGCTGCTGTATTGTATTTGTATCATTTACTCTGCGTATACAAATCAAATTTTTTTATAAAATTCTTCACGAAAACATGTTTTCCAGGCAGATACTCGTCAAGTGCCTTTATTGTTAAAATATTTAGGGATTTGTTTTGGCAGATTCTCAAGTTTCAGTCTCGACATGCTATTTATAGAAGTATACTTGGACAAAGGAGCTGCGAAAATAGCTATATTTTCTTCTTAATATTTTCATAATGTGATAAAGAGAAACTCTTACTATTCGTTTAAAAATAACGAAGTTAATGATTTTTTATTTTATTCTTCCCTCAAAGAATACCCTCAAAGAATGACATTCAGTTTTCCTTGCGAAAAGGTACTCTTACAAGACTGAGTGCTTGTTTTTAAACAGCATAAAAACATTCTAAACAGCGTAAAATTACATTGCTATATCTCACCAAAATGCAGATTTATTGTATGTCATTAAAAACAGGATTTTCCACACTCTGGGAAGAAAAATCTATCAGTATGAATTACAAAGTTATTTTAAATAACAAAATGTACTGCAATTCATCTAAATGACAGATTTATATGGTCAACTTTAATATGGGTAGCTGAATTTATTTTTAACGTTGTAAATTCAATTAAAATTTAAATCAAAAGAAAAATATTTATACTGCAATTCATCTAAATGACAGATTTATATGGTCAACTTTAATATGGGTAGCTGAATTTATTTTTAACGTTGTAAATTCAATTAAAATTTAAATCAAAAGAAAAATATTTATACTGTTTCATTTTCCAATTTTTTTCTGTGCCAATTAATTATTTTGGACGAAAGTAATAATATATGAAAATATTCTATTTGCGTAATATCCTATTGTTTAAGGTAATTATTGACATATGATTGTAATTATCGTAGCAATATTACGCAAATGAACTATGAAAGTGGTTAGCAGCATGTTTCCTTACATTAAGAGAAAATCTTGATTTATTTAAAATGAAACAGTCACACAAAAAATTTAAATCTGTATGATGTGCATTATTTTCTTTATAGAGGATTTAGTTCACGTGATATGTTCTATTTCAAAATGAAAACAACACAATTTTAAAAGAGTATTTATTATTCACATGAATAAAAAATCTCTTGCATTGGCAAAGTACACTTCCAGTGTAAATAAATAAAATAAATAAATAAATAAATAAATAAATAAATAATACATGAATCTGAACACTATTTTCTTCTCAAATGAATAAATAAATGTGAAAAACTGCACGGACAATGTGAAATAAATTAAAAGTTCATTTTTAAGGTAAAAACAGCAGACATGCACATTGAGTTTCATTGGCATACTTTTAAAAGGCCTCTTTGCTTTGTGTTCAATTAAATAGATGCATTCTTTACAAGTGTCGTGTTTAAAAGGTGCGCAGTATCCAACTGTACAGAGATTGTGCACTGTGTAAGATTATAGAAAGCTTTTGCAGAGAAACTTAGATTTCATTAGGAAGCTTTTGGAAGTAGTCATACCCTTACTGCATTCAAAGAACGATAGCAATTTAATTAAAATGAGTTTTTACCACAGCCAGCGTATATAAATCGAGGGAAGATCATGTAGTATGTTATATCACATACAAAACAAAAAAGTTGCTGACATTCTCAAATTTTATACTTAAGTTTTTTTTATCTTGTTAATAGTCATCTAAAATTTAGGCAAAACATTACAAAAGAAAGTAGTCGACAGGAGGGGGAAAATATAACTTGTTTCTGATTTGTTTCTCGGTGTTCTAAGATATTATATTTTGCATCTTATTGAACAATTCAGACAAAAAGATAAATCAGTAAGTTCTTTTCCGATTACATGAGGTTAAATAAAAAGAAAGATTTTCATATTAGATTAAAAGCATACAAAATAACTAAAAATTTCGGAAAAACGTATACACAGTCAAAACTGATTTTAATCAGTCACATTCAGTTAAACGTTTAGTCTTTGAATTTATATATCATAAAATTATGAATATTTATTTCTGTTAGTAAATGTATGACCTTGAATATCATGAAAGTATTTTGGGGATAAATAATGAGGACATAGAAAAACAATTATAAAAGTAAATAGGGCCAAGCAGTTAAAGTCATGTACTTGTATGCTTGTAATCATAAAAGTAGACACTTTTTTCTGTCACGGATTATAACACCATAGCGCAGGACACACCGAAATCATTAAGTAATCAAAGTTTCTCTGCATTGTATTACTACAGCAAGATATATAAGTATTTTTAAAAGCTATTCACAGGATGATTGTACGCAGCTGCATAATCAGGCTGTATTTTACCATGAAGTGAAGAAACAATGCTTCACTCTAAAAAGGAATCAAGTGCATAGTTTAAAGCCTCGCTCCGAAAGGCGGAATGTCCTGAACTTTGACATCAAGCTGCCTTGACAGTGAAGAGTAACAGGATGAAAATAAATAAATGTGTAATCAACACCCATCCACAATGAAAGGAAAACAAACGAAACCAAATGAAATGATGGACTGATGGAGCATCAGACACAATAAAAATAGTTCAGTGCATAAGCACGGATAATTAAAATAAAATACAGCTTTTAAAAATCAAAGCCGATATGCATACAAATTTTCGTATATGCTGGAAACAACATAGAATGTTTCGCTGTTATTCAAGAATATAAAGAATATTTCAGAATTTAAAATTTAAAAACAAAATCTAACTATTAGAAGAGGCAATGCAATGTAGTACATGGGATATTATAGAGTTACTATATTAACTGAAATTTCATAATTTTGGCACGATATAGTTGATTGTTCGTACTTTGTTCTTGTAAAAAAAGCATATTAGAAAAGTTCCTGCATACAATTCCAGTCGATGGTTTCTCATTACCCCTTTACCATTAATTTAAAAATTTTAAGTTCAATCCATACTTCGATTTAGTGATTTGGTATTTTTTTCTATTTAGTGAAGTGTTTGTATCAAGCAGCTCATAGTTCAGTTTTTTTTTCACCATTCCCTGGACTGGCAATGAGAGTCTTTCTGCATTGCGAAAAGTCTTTTCTGACACATAAGAAGATCACCAGCTTCTAGGAATACCTGCTTGAAGAATTCAAGGTTTTGCTGTAAAGAAAAAAGTAATAATGTAGCACGTATGATTTAAATTTCATGTATGATAAAAATTAAAATCAGTAACTGTATTTTAGTATAAATAAGAATACAGGCTTTATGATGAATTTCTGTGCATTACAAAATCATATTTTAATATCAATAAGAATACAGGCTTAATGATGAATTTCTGTGCATTACAAAAACATGTATCTTTTTGAATAAATAATAAAAACAACATTTTGAATTTTATTTGAAAGGTATTAAAGATGAAATACAAATTAGGTATTATTTTCTGCAGATTGTAAGTCGAATATTTTAATAAAAAATAAAACATATTTTGAAGTTTATTCATCTTGGGTAAGGATTATGAATGATTTTTTTAACTTTGAATTACAATTTCAGCAACAGAATGATTTTTACTTCCTTGTACGAAGTAAAAAGGAAGTATTGTAATCGCGAAAAGTTTCAGACATCATATTTCAACGCAAATATCCATTTTCACCGCAATCGAATGCAATTTAACGATGCTTTTGCGTGACATCTGTACGTAAGGAGAGGATAAAGGGCTCTTTTCTCCCCCCCCAAAAAAAAATGTAAAACTAATTTTAAATGAATTCTAAAGATAATTTTTCATGGCGTCTGTGCGTACGTACGTATGTATCTCGCATAACTCAAGAAAGAGTAACCTCCGAACGTTGAAATTTTGTATATAGGACTGCTATAACACGTAGATGTGCACCTCGTATTTCGGTTGGAATCGGCCGCACCAAAAGTATATAAATATATGTATATATATATCCACTCTGTTACTCGGCTCAGTGATCTCAGTTTCTTTACTCTTATACGTTTGTAAATTTTGCATTTTTTGCTTTAAAAAGGATTGAATTAGGTTGTTCTTATCTTCCGGTTACGTTTTATGCCTTTAGTAAATTTGTATGCAATATTTGTACAGTTATCAATAAATTAAAAGTTGTTTAAGTGCCGCTAAGCCTAATCATTTTTGCAATGGGGGCCATTGCTTGTTTACATTTGAAACAGCAGAATAGTAAATTTGTTGCCAATCTAGAAGAAGTAAGCTCCAATAACAAAGGTAACGCCTTCTTTTATTATTGCGAATTAAATAATAATTAATCCGTTCTGGAATTTATTTGAGAAAATAAGTGTTTAAGATTTACTTCATAATTTTCAATACAGACATCTTGAGTTTTAATGCATTTTGCCTTGTCACGAAGTGAGAACTGAATTAATTGAATGAAAAATACTGAATCGTCTGTGAAAACTGTTTCTTTCTTTCTTTTTTTTTATTGTTGTTGTTGTTGTTCTTTGTTTAATTTCTTTTATACACCGTTTTAGATTTTTTATAGTATTTGAATATAACATGTGGCAACGATTAGATAATTCTTAAAATGATATAAATTTTGTGCATTCTGAGTTAAAAAATGTAACCCTACTTATATAATATATTGGTAAAGGCCGCACTAGGCCGATTGCCTCTTAATTGTGTTATGACATAGACATAGACATAGTTAAAAAATGAATGAAATGTAACTCTGTTAAGTGAACCTAGGGCCAGAGAGTCGCTATGCTAAACAAATATAGTGAATTTTAAAGAGTGCATTCATTCTATTGTGGTTTATGCGCTATCGACGAAGTAGATTTAATTCAATCCAATACGTTTAAATGAAATGCAAGAAAAAATGGGTATAATTTAATATTCAGTACAAGAACGTCATGTGGTGCACACATAGAATTTTTTAAATAGCTTTTACATAAGCATTTTCCCTAGAAACTTAAAATGAGTGTCAATCACAGAAATATTACGAACATAAAAATTAAGAGAACATTTACAGAAATATTAAAGCTTTTAAAGACAAACCTACTGAACTTTGTATAAAGTGTTCTACATTTTTTTAATGTTTCCGTTATTATTTACCATTTTGGGCTAATCTTTAGAATATGGTAACAGGTAGTTTGGCAACATTTTGGTAAGGCGATAAAGGTTACTAGCTAGGACTTTAGCAATAATCTAAGAAGTACACAGTTCGAATCACAGATTATTTTATCTCAGAGAAATGAGAGATCATGAGACATGTAATGTGGCATTTTCCAGAAAATTCCAATGGGGATTTTAGCTAATAAGCACTTAGAAACAATTTCGCTGCTGAAGTGCAGAAACGCCCACTTATTTGTTTGGCGCTTTTTACAAGAGTAAAAAGAATTGGATTTTTGTCAATTTTCTTTAACTTTTTAAGTGGAAACAGGTCGATGTGTACATGGCTAAAGTCAAGAGTGTGCGAAATGCCATTTTTGTGCAATTCTGGGATTTTTTTTTTTTAAGTGAAAATAGATTGACGTGTACATGGATACCGTGTATATGCAATTCTTAAAATCGCGGCAAGCAATGGACGATTCTACACTTACTCCCAATTTCGCACCTAAACTTCGTCATGATTAAGCACTTTTGTTCCATAAAAGTTCTAGCATAAGCGTAATTCGGCTAGCAGATTGTTGGAAAAAATGTTGAGGGGGAAAAAAAAACATGCCTTTACTTCGTGAAAACAAAATGACGTCCAAAACAAAAACTAGCAGGTTGCTGTAGCAGGGTTGGTCGCCAAAGTTTCGCCAAGAAATCGCCAAGTTACCATATTGTAAAGATTCACCCCGTTTTTTGTCATCTTTTGTGATCATAATTAACTGTGTTTGCTTTCTTAAGGTATTGAAAATGTGAATATTTTAAAATGCAGTATGAATTTTAAAATGTATTTTCAGTTTAACAATAAAGATAATCGTTTCTAAATAGTTAAAGATTATTGGAAATCAAATTATGGGTCAGATAAATACTTACGCTTTGGTCTTTGAGGACACACGCATCCAGGACATCTGTGTGCTGGGGCATTGGTTTCTGCATAACAATTGCCTACGCACTTTGGTTTTGGGCATTTGTAGCGACATTTGCAAATTTCACAACCGTCACTATCTATTTCCATGGAGCATCTGAGACCTGAACAGACAGGAGCCGGGCAGGTAGGCTCAGGTTCTTCAGTCGTCGTCGTCGTCATTTCGGTAGTAGTACTGGTCGTTGGTTCTTCAGTAGTACTTTCTTCTTCTTCCACTTCCTGTGGTTCTGTCTGAACTTCAACAGTCACTGTTGTATGCAGAGTGGATTGCATGGAGTCTTCATCCGCCACCACTGGTTCCACGATCCCAGAGAATGTCACCGTTTCTTGCAATTGAGGCTGTTGTACATTTTTAATAGTCTCTACAGGTTGTGCTTGTAGGGAGATATTAGACGGGGCTGAAGGATCAGCTATATAAGAAATATAATACGAATTAAAATTTAATGCAAATAATTAAATACTGAAAGACATACACATATAAATAAAATTAGATAAAGATACACAGTTTTTGATTGTTTAGCTTTAGTCGCAGTGGGATTCATTTCCTCAGAGTTCAGATCTTTAACTAGTAATTTTAATGAAGAAAATACTGTTAGTTAGAATCATATTAAAGCAAAGCAATATTATAAGTTAGAAAGATATTCGTAAAATGTTAATATAAAGCATTCTTACCATCCAGTGGAGCACTACATATGCATACAGGACATCGGCCATGCTGTTTATTTGTGACCACTTGACAACCGGGTTCGCAAACAGGAGTTTTGCAAATAGGATCACACATACAAATAGGACATCCTGCTGGTCCAGGTATTTCTCTGCATCCATAATCGGCGCAAAACAGATTAGGACAATACAGTTCATCATCCTCATCGTCTTCTGAAATGCATATGCGTAATGAGGAAAAGAAATTAAAAAAGTAAAATAATAGCTTTGATAATTTTATAAAAACATAACTTTCGTAGCGTTTCATAAAATATTCGTGTCATGATTTCAGTTTTAAAAATTTAGTTCAATATTATCAACAGAATCATAAAATTAGAGTTTTATATTATGAAAAAAAAACGAATGGAGTTATCATGTATAAATATTTTGAATTTCATAGAAAGTAATAACCCCTTTTCGTGTTTTTAAACGACAGAAATATTAACCAAGATTTGAGTTCTTACAATCCCCAAATTAATTAAAGACAAACGTTTAAGCAAAATAATTGCGTAATACGTTTTGAAGCATAATACAACGACAAACTTCAGAAACAGCAAGTTATTCTTTGATAAGAATAAGATAAAAGGTCTTGATGCGATAAATACGTAATCTGCTTGAGATCTCTCATTCTACTACTCATTACTAATGTCATGTATTTCTTCTGAGTTCTGTCTTTAAGGCATTGCAATGATTTCTCATAAAATTAAATCTTTTGGAATTACTTATTATTGAAACAATATCCAGTGTTCGACGTTCTTGAATCTCTAGACAGAAAATTTGAATCAATAATATAGAAAATACAATTTTATTTCCTTCAATTACTCACTTTTGAATTATTTTGATACACCACAATAAAAGTTTGTATACATATATATATACATTTCAAAATGACATAACTTACCTTCGTCTGGGAAGCTAGGGCATATACATGTGGGACACTGTCCTTGAGCAACATCAGCTTGTATTTCGCATCCTGGATCACACTTTGGTGGTGGACATGATGGCTGCTCACAAACACAAGTTGGACAACCATCTGGCCCATTCGTTTGTCTGCAGTTCTTACCAGGACAAGATATTGGAGGACAAGGACGTTGCCCTATAAAGATAGAAATATATTTTCATAAAATTGCATTTTACTAGGAATCCTTATATAAATTTATAAAATTTTTATTCTTAAATTTATCCTCTTCTTCTATATTTATTCTCCTAGCATCCGTCGCACAACCTCTCCGCAAAACTGGTAAATTCTTCCATGCACGTCATAGAAGAGGAAAAAAATTGTAAAAGACGAGAACAGAGGAGTATGAATATTAGGCAAAATTTGATGTTCCATGTCCTCACAGGCTTAGTTTGAAAAGAACATTATGTATCATGATGACAGTTGTTATCATGGAGTAAGGACTGGTTTATATTATCTTAGCAATTTCAACATTAGTTTATCTGATTCTCAAAAATATCGGAAGTCTGCATGCAATTTTGGACAGCTACCCTATCCGCAATCAACAACTGGTATCCCTGAATTTTACAATCGTGCAATTCATAGCCGCATTTCTATACACCTGGCATTATTATTTACACTGCGTAGATAATGAAACGGCCAAGTATTTGACGAAATGTTATGCTTATACGCTGCTCCACTTCTGAAATTTCAGTTTGTAATTCGGCAGAAAACAGCTACATTAATCAGTTGCAGACGGTCGGTACACGGCTGATCGCCCGTATAATTCCATTAAATAAAAATATTTACCCATATGGAAAGGGTTAAACCGTTATGAATGAACCACATCCTGCATCTGAGGTGCTACAGGAGAATATTTTATGATGGCTGCATGTGATCTAAAAAATTCTGCATAGTACCGTCAGATGTACTATGCAGAGGGAGAAGTGAGATTTAGAACTTACTATTTCTATTGACTTAGTATATGTATATTAGACTGAAACGAGCAACTTCTGCGAGCACATATATAGACCAATAGGCATATACAAAGGGGTCACTAAAAAACTTCTCCGATTTACGAATTCTTAGCGGTCTATCAGCACAATCAACCGAAATGAATTTTACGACATTGTTCTTTGAATCTACACGGTCGAGGTCGTGATTATCTAAAATAATAGAGCTCTCACGGTTGCGGTAAGAGTGAAAATATTTCGAAATTTTCGAATGGCAACACCAATGCTTTTCCTGCACGAATTGACCAGCGCACTGAAAAACCATAATTGGCGTTGAAACGATAAATATAAAATTGCCAGCGTAAAACATTTGCAAATAACAGCATTGTAAAGAACCAATGAAAACACAAGAAAGGAGAGGGGAAAGAACTTTTATTGGAATTAAAAGTTTTCAACGTATATCGGTTTTGAAAATATAGGCATCTCTCGTACCTTTGTAGCTTTGTCGCCGTCGCAATTCCTTCGACCCCATCCAATGGATTTCTGGTTCTGGGTTTATCTGTAATCTAAGGCGTACACATCAATTACAAGACATTTGTCTGAATTGAAAGATGCCATTAATTATGAAGTTATAAAGATTCCTCATGCGTTGTTATGCTCATCATTATTGTCAACCATATCTCGTATTCATTGTGTTATTGTCTGCGAAGTTGAATACCTTGCAAACTTGTAATTCCAAACTTTTCAAGTTTTCACAAAGAGGCTCTGTATATATATATATATATATATATATATATGTATACGTATATATGTATACGTACTGTATTTCCATAATTGTTTTACTAATTTTATCGTTTGAAAATCGAGAGAGGAAAATTATGCAAATAATATAATTTCTGAAAGGCGTGATTTCAATAAGAATATACAGGTAACTATCACAATTTTTTTCTCTTTAAAAGAAACCTATATTCGAGAAAGAATGCATAGTAACATTAACACTACAGTATCTAATATGGGGGCAGTTCGGAAACTAACGCCCTTTGTGACGTGGTGTTAGTAGTTGGCAGAACTCAACCATTATTACATCAAGCAATCTGTGATTCAGTAAAACTTCCTGCTATCCTATTGAGAGTGTCGTACTGCCACTCATATGCTGGTTATTACGCCACAAAATGTGCGCCGCTGATAGAAATCCCGCCAAATGCAAGTTATGAGGAGTGATACAATATTTTTGCTCAAACTCTCAGTGACAGACATTCATCGTGAATTGTGTGTCATATACAGTCAGTGTCATTATGACTGAAGGTGTAGTGCGTCACTGGGTGAAAATTTTCAAATGATTAGGAATATGCATTCATGATGAATCAGGGAGTGAAAGGCGGTTTGTAGGGAGTAATGATCTCGTTAAACAAACTGTTGACAAAATCCATAAATCTGGGAACTTTCACAATTTCCGAACATTTTTTGGACTATTTTTATAAGAGGTAGTCACTGGAAAATTAAGCTACTGGAAGTTCTGTGCTTGATGGGTACCGTAACTTCTCAAGGAGATTCCACAAAAACATCTGCTGCCTTAGAATTTCTTTCCCGGTACCACACGGAAGTAGAGAAGATTTTGAACAGAACAGTGGCTGGCGATGAGACCTGGGTAGCGCATGTAAATGCGAGACAATGTAAAGAACAATGACAATAGTCATTAGTAATAGTCATGGGCATGGGGTTATACCGGTTTTCCAAACTGGCCAAGGAAAGCCCATCGAACTTTGTCAGAGTGGCAGGTTATGGTGTCAGCGAGGGCGGTTGAGATGCTAATGGAATCTTATTTGCTGAATTCATAGAATGTGGTACGACAGTCAATTCTGAAGTGTACCTAACAGAGAAACTGAAATTGAAAAACCCGAAAAGAGACATGTACAGCAAGCATCGCGGTCTGCTGAATTCTGAGGTTGTATTCCTAGACGATAACAGTCGCCCTCACAATGCTCAACAAAGACAACAACTTTCGCTCCAATTCGAATGGCATGTGTTTACAAAATCTACCCTTCATCCCGGACATGGCTCTTTCCGATTACCATCTGTCCCCTGCAATGAAGAAGTGACTTGAGGTACAGCACTTCACTGATGATGAGGAACTTGAAACCTCTGTGACAGGTTGAAGTCGCACGCGGCTGGGTTTTATGCAGAAAGGACTGGTAAGTTGAACTATTCAAGCGCTATGACAAGCACTTAAATGTACATGGTGAATATGTTGAAAAACAGATGACAGCTTTACTTCTCAGATATAAATTGAAAAAAGAAACTTTCGAATCTTTGCGGCTTTTTTATTTAACGCGAAACGAGGGTTAGTTTCCGATATCTTCATTTTCATTTCCCTTTAACATAAATTTTGTCTCTTCTTATTGTTGTCTCTACTACTCATAAGACCTCAAGCCATCCAGAAATAATTAGAGAAGGTGAATGTAGCTAAGTGAAACTGAATGCCAGTTCGCATTTGGTTCGCTGTGACTGGTCAGTTCTTAGACTAGGCTAATATAAATTTCAACAGTCAGATGGGAAAAGTTCGGCGTGACTCTTTAGGGTTTAAAATTACTGAGTGGGTTAATCCTTTTTAAAGTTCAGGGAAGCTCGCTCTGTGAGCAGATTGAAAAAGGGTTTATTATACGAAATATTTTTTAAATTTTCAGCACGTAAATACGCTACATATCTATATACACATGAATAAATGTAAAATAAAATGCAAATCAAAATCTAGTCCAATTACGCGTTGATAGCAGCAACAAGTAGTGATAATAATTTAAAATAAAATAAAAAATACGTTTAAATTTTATCTCACATATTCATTTCGGAATAAATAACTTGCACAAACCAAGAAACCAGAAGCACTGTGGCAGACAGCAAGAAATAGTTGAGAAAATACATCAAAACCAAAATTTAAGTATGAATTGCATATCTTCCGTTGCATAGTCGTCGGGTATTTCACTTAATAATTTACTTCTTTCGTTGAACAACCTTTGATGAGGATGCAGAGGAAAATTTTTGGTTTTGGCATATTTTGCCGCTCTATTTCTTGAAGTTTGTCACTGAGATTTTGATTTCTTTGTTTATGCATGCGTTTCTTTCCAAACGGAATATGTGAGGAATTAAAAAAAATATTTTTTATTATTATTTTGCATTATATACGTCCTTACATTAATATGAAATTTTTTCTATGTAATTAAAATACTTGATTAGGCAGCGCAAAAGTCTGAAACACATTATGCAGCGCAAAAGTCTCCATACATCTTGAAACTGGATGGCGTGGTTCTGCTGAGTGGTATATCTAGTCAATGGCCTAGCCCCATTTGGTATTATGAGATTTTCCTTTCATATTACGCCCGGTAACTTTTGCTAATAAGCATACAAAGGGAAAGGCATGCAGCTACAAATCTCTAAATACTCTTCGGCTGGATAAGTACATTTACTACACAACTAGAAGTCTTTATATCTAGTATATTCTTGAAGCTGGCGTCATCACTAGTGTCTGCATATGGTGATGTGTGATGAGATTAATGGTAAGCATATAGAAAATATGTTATAGCTTGTAGTGTCCACTCAAAATAGGGCCTCTTATATGGAGACATTTGCGCGATTCTTTATGATCTAATGAAAATTTAGCACTTACTATGCACTACAGCTTGTACAACGGTTACTTTGCACACACATCCAGGACATTGACCTGGTGGTACATCTCTTAGAATTTCACAACCTGGATCGCACTTAGGTTCAACGCATTTTGGATCACAAATACAAGTCAGACATCCATCATTGTTACGCACCTTTCGACAGTTGGGTCCATCACAATCGATTACAGGGCACTGACGAGCAGAACCTAAGTAAATAGATACTTACGTTTATTTAGGGAGAAGAAGGATGCCTTACTTGGAATAGAATATATATGTGTTTGCATTTGCAGACAAGCCATGATGTAATGAATAGTATAATAAAGCAATTAATTAATATTACAGAAATTTGCAATATAGGTTTAAATTCGATCTCACATTCAAAGCAGAACCCATACATTCAAAACAGGAAATTAATATCAATAAACAAAATATGTAATTTTTCCCCACCCACTGTGAATGCCTCTTGAATTAAATGTAAATGAAAAGCAACAAGAAATGTTAATGCACTAAGAATGCAAACTTATTTTTTGAAAATTTTCTCGCTATTATGTGATTTCTCACAAATTTATATACTTCTGCAAACCAGTATATGTAAACGGCATACCGGAATTCCAAAATTTTCAACTTTTTCTTAAATTATGCACAATGTATGTGCTTATATATATACATACATATATATACTTTTAATAAGAAATTAATTCATTCCGTGACCGACCTCTTAGTAGATCTACTCGTATCATGAAAACATTTTTCCTACTGACGTACATTTAAATATAATTGATTCATTCCAGTTTCCAAAATAACGACCTCAATTGATTTTTATATGTTTTAAATAAAAAAGGTTTTGTATTGCACTGAGAATTAATAATTGGAGTTTAAAGAAATTAACTACTTCATCAATTGCGAAATTGATACTTAAAAATGTTCTGAATCCCTTCTAATAAACATAGCAAAAGATTTTAGGCAAAAACTTTAAGAACTGGAGACGAAGTATATCTTATTGTTAAAATTTTGAAACAAAATGTGCCAATTAAAATAATCTTAATTTTTTTTAAGGTACGAACCAAAAAAAAATATTCTTAAAATTGTTTTGCCTAAAAATGCATGCAATAGTATAAATAAAATTAAATTACAAATCTAAATAAATAATAATTCTGAAGTCCCGTTAATAAGTGGAGAAAGGCTTACCTATTGCTGCTGGTGGTACAACTGTGCAGTCACAGATAGGGCAACGTCCCTCTGACAGTGTCTTCGTTTTCACGCAGTGTTGTGGGCAAGGAGCACAGGGTGAATCACAAACACATTTTTGACAGCCATCGGATCCTCGTATAAGAGAGCAGTTATAGCCATTGCAGTGTGGTGTTGGGCAGTGATAAGATGGTACCAGGCTTGCTGGAGCTGTTGAATACTTTTTCATCCCATATGCCTCCGCTGTTGGGGATACTGTTGGGAGAGAAGTAAAGGCAGTTTGAGATTTTGTTGTAGAAGGCATTTTTGTGGAAGGTCGGCGGGTTGTTGAAGTGCGTACAAAAAGGAATTTTTTAGGTGTTGTGGTTTCAAACTCTTCAATAAGTTCTTGATTATCTATAGGATCAGGCTGATGGTTATCGAAACTTTCTAAAATTTGTTCTTGTAAATTAGGTTTGCTAGTTGTTGTAGATGGACGCTTAGTTGTGCGTGTAGTAGAATATCGAATAGGCGGTCTTCTTGTAGGCTTTATTTTTGTGCGCGTAACAGGGCGTACAGAAGGAGGACGTGGTTTTTGAGTTGTAACTGTTGTAGTTGTTGGCGTTGTTTCTTCCTCAAATTCGTATTCATCTTCGAAAGCAGAAATCTCCTGCGGAATATCTTCCTCAAAAAATTGTTGATCAACAAAATCTTGTTGTTGAATGGCAGGTTTCCGTTTCAAGGGTCTAGATGCAACAGGAAACAAATCATGAACCACCGGTGACTGTGTGGATGACGGCTGCATACCAACAGGATGGAAATGGGGCCGAACAATGGGACCTGGGCGTGTTTTAATACTAGAAGAATGTGTTAAATGTGTTTGTTCAAAGGGTGGCACAGACTGTTGACTTAGAGTTGAAACATCTTCTGCGGTATCATTTTTTTCTGGTATAAGATCTGCAACTACTTGGTGTATGGGATCTTCTTCTTCTGAAGTGAAAATAGGAATCATAGTGTCTTCTTGAATTACATCATACTTGTCCGACTGCGCTTCAGCAGTAAAAACTTGCGCGAGAGGTTTGAGAGCTGAATATTTATCATCATCGAACATTTGTTGATTAGTTTGTTGTTGAAGTAGCGGTTTTTCATTGGTATTGATATATTGCTGATCATCTTGCTGCTCTTGATGCATGTAGTCATTCTGCATTTGATGGTGTTGATCCTTTTCAAATTGCTCAACATGTGCTTCTTGTTCAAAAAGATTATCATCTGTACTGACATCTGTTTGTTGTTCATGTTCAGCTACGTGCTCATGTTGCTGTTGAAGTAGAGGCCTGTTAGCGTCTGCAAACTGCTGGTGTAAATTGTCTTGAAACTGTTGCTCTTTCATGAACTGGGGCTGTTCTTGATTAATATACTGGTTATCTTCGCTAATAAAATGTTGATCTTGATGACCGGAAGCATTATCCACGTACACTTGCTCAGATGCTTGCGGTCGTGTTAAGGTTTCTTCTATAGAAGATTGGACTGGCTGCTTGTACTGCTCTTGAGTATTTTGCTGCATTGCGGACGGTTTAACATCATGCAAATTTGAAAACTGTTGTTGCCCCGTTTCTTGTACCTGAAATCCAGGATTTCCATTCGAACTGAAATATTGTTGATTTATTTGTTGCTGGTGCTGCTGAGGGGAAAGTTTATCTTGAGAGTTTATGTGAAGTGCTTCAATTTGCTGCTGATGCGAAAGAGGCTTTATGTTGTGATTAAAGTATTGTTGTTGAACTTGATGCACCTGCTGATAACTTTGCTGTTGTTGAACAGATAATCTATTCTGATTATTAGTATTATGTTGCTCCATTTGCTGTTGTAAAGAAAGGGGTTTCTCACTTGAACTAATATATTGTTGCTGAGCTTGTTGAAGTTGGTGTACTTTATCATAAAAATTCCCGTACTGTTGTTGGATTTGTAGCTGTAAAATGTTAGGTCTTTCAGTGCTGATATATTGCTGTGAATGGGGCCTATTTCTTTCATCAGAATAAGGCTGATTTAATGAAGGATTTTTGTGGGCATCATGTGACCCTAAACTGTCTTGGAACTGCTGGTGTATAACAGGCGTTTCTTGAGAAATACCATGTATGGTTTGAGCAGATGTGTCTTGTGAGACTTGATCATTTTGTAACTGCACATGGCTCGTAGGACCTTCTTTTATACCGTAATTTCCATGGATTTTGTCATTTTGATATTTTTCTTGTGAATTAGAAAACTGTTGCTGAACATGATGTTCCTGCGATGAAATATATCCAGGTGTAGTGGAATGTTGCTGGATCAGGGCAGGTTTGAGCCTTTGATTATGATATTCTTCATATGATTGCTGATGTTGCTGGACAAGAGGTTTACTATGTGCGGTTTCATACTGTTGTTGAGCTGGTGGTTGTTGTGATGTTAATTTATCTAACGAACTCAGGCCTTGTTGTAATATTTGTGGCTGTTCATAAACTGGCTTGTGCTGAAAGCTTGTTTGTTGATAAAATTGATTTACAGCAAGTGGTCTTTCATGTCCTGCAAGAGGCTGGTGCATTTCTTTATGCTGAGAACTATCTTGGTGGTGAACTTGTTGTGCAGGTGAAATGGTTTGTGAGAGAAATTGTTGTTGAGGTTCTTGATTACTACCTTGTGCATTAATAAACGATGTAGGAGCTTGAGGTGAAGGGAAATGACTTTGGCCTACATAATGCTGTTGTGACTGCTGAGGGATAAATGGTTTATCATTGGTACTAGTCAAATGCTGATGCTGTTGTTGCATTAAAGGTTTGTCTTTGTTTAGGTACTGCTGATGAATTTGCTCCTGCTGGGATGAAGTATGAACATTGACAGATTGTTGCTGGTTAGATGCTACATTCTGAAGTATGTTTGATTGCTGCTGAGCTTGTACCACTGGATTATTTAGAGAACTTATATATGTCTGTTGGTTTTCGAAACTTGTATATTGCTGCTGAGGTTGGATTGAAGGATTATTTATGGTTCCTATGTAATGGTGCTGATTTTGTAACTGATATGAAGGTTCTGGTGCAATATTCTTATTCTGCTCGAGTACAGGAATGCTATGATCATTTAGATTAGATTTTTCAGGCTGCTGAGGATGACTAACAGGCCTGTTTCCGTAACGTTGTTCTAACTGTTCTTGTTTATGGAATGGATCTTGCGTATTGGCAAATTGTTGTGTGAGTTGATGCTGTTGTTGTGATGAAATTCCATTCATCTGACTTTGATATTGATGATGCTGTGCAGCTAATTTATTTATGCCATTTGAAACTTGCGGCGACTGCATTGGGAAAGCCTGCGTTTGTTCACTAGAATATTGATCTTGAATGTTTTGCACAGACAAAGGTTTTTCATGGCTACTTAGGTAATGCTGTGACTGATAATGATTGCTATGTATTTGATGATGTTGATTGTTTCCTAAAGGTATTTCTGATATGCTTGATACAGAATGCTGTGTTTGAAGCTGTTGATCCAGGTTTTCATGTATGTTAATAGACGGTTGCTTCTCTTGATGCTGATTAGTTAAAGGTTTTGTTTGAGATATTACAAATTGGTGATTAGAATTTTCTTGAGACAAGGGAATATTGTGGTTACTAATATAATGCTGTTGAGAATTTATCTGTTGAATATTTAGTTTATCATTTACGCTTTCATGCAAGAATTGGTTCTGTTGTTGATGAAATGAGTTGCTAGGATATGTAGCTGCATGATGTACATGTGACGCTTCATTTTCCTTCAAAAGTGAATTAGCCGCTTGTACGTCATGTTGTACAGCATTCTGCTCCTGCACTACTAAGGGTGTATTATGATATTCTTGTTGATGGTTTTGTACAATTTGGATATTGTGTGGATAATTTAACTGGATATGTGAATTTTGCTGTGCAAGAGGTTTGTTTTCAGCAGAAAATTGAAAATGGTGATTTTGTTGATTCTCATATGATGTATCATGGGGATTGATATTTAGCTGATACGTAGAAAACTTATCTTGGACATTTTCCTTATTCGGTTGATATGCACCTAACCCATCACTTGAAATGGAAGTCTGTTGCTGAGTAGGATGGGCTACTGCTGGAGGCACATTTAGTAAAGTTTCACCTGGCTGATTTCTGTCATTCGATAGATAGGTTTGAGAATGCATATCAGTCTGCTGACTTGGTTGCTGAACATGATGTCCAATAGAAGGGCTGGGTCTAACGGCTGACACAAACACATTTTGAGCTTGATGAACATGTTGAGCTTCTGAACTTTGTTGTTGAGCTTCTGAACTTTGTTGTTGAACTTCTGAACTTTGTTGTTGAGCTTCTGAACTTTGTTGTTGAATGGGAGAGGATACAGATATATTAAGCGGTCTAAAATGAGAAGTTATATGAACATTGTTTTGACTGTCTTGATGAGTCTCTTGGTGATACTGAGCATTTTGTAAATTTGAAGTCTCATGGGGAGCAAAATGTGTAATTGTTAGATTAAAAGGCCTAAAATGAGAAGTTACGTGAACATTGTTAAGGTTTTCCTGGTTAGCATTTTGATGATGTTCACTCTGGGTAACAGAAGAAGTCTGAGCGGGTAAAACATGACCTACACTGCTGCTGTCTGCAATCTGATGATTATTAGTTAATGGCTTTAACATCTGATTTCCACTAGGTGGCATATATTGCTGCTGCGCAGACTGTATTAGATTTATCTGACTTTGCTGTTGAGATTGCTGCGCTTGCATTTGCTGGAGTTGAGCTTGTAAATTCTGACTCTGAATGGTTAGTCTATCAAGATGCTGCTGCTGTTGCGTATTTTGAACTTTCTGTACAGAGGTTTCCTTCTGCTCCAAAAGGGGCGTAAGAACCGAGGAGACCTGAGAGAAAGATCCATTTGTGGGATATTGGTGATGTGACTGGATTTGCAATGGTTGATTGAAGTTTTGGATATGAATACTTGGTACTTTATCTTCACTTTGTGATTCACTTGACTGTTCTCCTTGACTTGGAAACTGAGATGGAACATGATGATTAAATTGATGGAATTCAAATGTAGCTTCGGGTGAAGCTACTGTAATATTCGTTTGCTCCTCGCTCTGAATTTCGTAGGCAACGGAGAGCTTATTTTCATTAACAGCAGAAGAATTAGAAAAGTGGGGAAAAGGCGGCATCATAAATGGTTGGCTTGAAATGGATGCATTTGTTTCAGTTTGATTGACAGCTTCTTGTGCTACTTCAGGGAAATGAGATTCAATATTATCTTGTTGATTTAAAGACACGTGAGAGGAAGATTCATTGAGAAACTGCTGTCCTTGCAAGGATGTTTCCATTTGCTGCTGAGGTAATTGTTCTTGTGGTTGAGTAACGTTTTCGTTAATATCTTCGGTTTTATTTCTGTTAGATGCATGGTGATTTATCGTTTGATCATTAAAATACTGCTGTTGTACTGATAAGGTGACGTTACTTGGTTCAGAAGTTTCTTGCTGTTGTGAAGCTTGCGTTTCTTTCTGCTGATGTGATAAGGAATTAGAATCATTCTGAGAATGAAGTATTACTTGGTTTGATGGCTCTGCTTCAGAAGCAGCAGCGCTTGACTGTTGTATATGCGATATTTGTGACTGTACAGCTTGTTGTGGAAGTAATGGATTATTTACTTGGTTAATGAAATTTTGTAAAATTCCCAGAGTTTGCGTTCCAGCATTGAGTTGTTGTTGTAACGATGGAGGAATTGGAACATTTGTTTTTAGTATCTGTTGAAGTTGCTGGGCTTGATTATATTGCTCATGCTGTAATGGACTTACATTTGAAATAAAGGATGGCTGTTGTAATGACGGATAGTATGAACCTTGTTGAGAGTTTAATACATTAGGCTGAGATCCAAGAGGAGAAGCATGCGAGTTAATAACAGCAGGTGAACTGTGAATAATAGAGGAAGCAGGATGATGCTGTTGAATATTGCTTTGATACGGAATATTGCCAATTTGAGGCTGATGCATAAATCCGATAGCTTGTAATCCAGCGTGATTACTTTGATATGGAAACTGAGGGAAAATATGAAATTGAGGATTTATACCTGACTGTAGCATTGACTGTACCATTTGCTGATTAGGTAAAATATGTGATGTATATATACCTTGAATGCTTGGGTTTCCCATATAATGCTGCTGCACAAATGGTAAATTTTGGCTACCGTAAGTTGGCTGCAAAATTGATTCATTTTGAGTCTGAGATTCTGGCTTTGTATCTTCTTCTTCTTGACCTTGATTTGGTATTTTTTTATTGATTGGTTCCTCTATCTTTTCTTCTGAAGTAGTTGCCTTCACTTTGGATGGTTTGGATCGGTCTCTTTCAGAAGCAACATCTGATGATAAATGTGAAGCAGATGGATCCTGAGTACTTGTTTCTTGTGACTGAACCGCATCTGGGATCTGAGCAGTCTGCTTTTGTGTTTGTAACTCTGACAATTTAATGTTATCTGAAAATGTAACATTCTGTACTGCATTATTTTTGCTTGCTGTATCAATTTTGCTATCTAATACATGCGAAGTAGCAGCTGGCTTCAAACTTTCCACACTCCCTCCAATAGTAGCTGGTCTTTGATGATTTGAAAGAACTTGGTGTAAATTTGACATAAGCTGTTGAAGATTTTGTAAGATAGGTTTCATACTGTTGTCAGAATCTGTTTCATTACTTTTTAGTACAGGCACCTTTTCAATGGGCAAAGAACTTTGCGGCTTGGGAGTTGGTTTCCGCTTGTTTGAGGAATTGTGATTAGCTACAGGTCGAGTACTGTGGAGCCTATCTGATTCTGAATGGATACTTGAAGGTGATTGATAATTTGGTCTAACTTGGGGTTTCGGTTTTGGTCTGGGATTTGAACCTTGAGGTCGCACACGTTGCGTCTCGGGAAGTCTACTACTTGTCGCCTCGGAAACTGGTTTGCGTCGAACTGGAGATGGCTTTCTTTGAGGTTTTCTCGTTGATGATTGACGAGTTGGCTTTGTATGCCTTTGTGAGTCTAGATTTACAGTAGGAACTTTAATGTCTGGAGTAGTAGATTTGGGTTCTTCAGAAACGACTTCATACGGTTCAACTTCAGCATTGCCATCTGATACATTTGGTTTTAGCATACATGGCTTCGATGTTGCTGTTAACTCTTTTTCTGGTATTTCAGCAGAAACAGTTGTGGCTTCCACTAATGGTGTGGTAGATGCAACAGGTACTGATGATTTTCTTTTAAATGGTCGCTGTGTTCCCTTTGAAGGCTCCGGCTTTCGTGAAGTTAAAATTTCTGAATCCGAAATTTGTGTTCCTGTGGCAATTGCAAACGAATCAATTTCTTTGATTGACGTGTCTGCTGATTCATTTTCAATTATGCCAGATGATGGCTCAAAATCATCTACAGGTTTTACGGTCGTTGGTAGATTTACTGTAACAGTAGTATGACCATCAAATTTCACTTGCTCTTCAATTTCTGCTAAAGAATCATAAAAGTCTGCTGAGAAACTATCTCCATCGAATTTCGCTTCGTCTGCCAGATCTGGTGATTTTGTCTCATCAACTACGTAATCATCTTCTTCAGATGAATTTTCCTCCACTGAGTCTGTTACAGGAGATCTGCTTGGGCTTCTGACTTCGACTTCTTCTTTATTTAGAATTGTTTCGTTAAGTGTATCTTCAGTATGGTACTCTTCTGAATCCTCAATCGAATCTTCAAGGATTTCATTATCACTTCCAGATTCTACAAGAGGTCCTGTTGTGTTGTTGGCGGGAGATGTTCCTGAAAGATTCAAGAAACAGGAACATTTTCAAGGAGCAAGCATAATTAATTAATTTTTTGATTATAAAACATCAATTTTTTTATTAAATGTCGGCTATTTGAGGATCAAGCTGCCTATCAGCAAAAAGCCGGCGTCTGCTTAATTGATATAAGATTGTTTGCCAATTTTAAAAGATTATTTGGTTAGTAATGTTAAAAAATATTCATTAAATATATATCTGAAACTACAGCAGATAATTCTGCAAAGTGGAAACTATTGTATAAATACAACCGATCACAGACTTTGGCAGGGTACGAATAATAGTTTAATGATTTTAAGTCTGAAAGAAGCTTTTAAACGAATATATGACACAGTTACATTTTTAACGCCCTGATATACTTCAGCTTGCTCCTTTCAAACGTTTTCACTGTTTTTTGAAAGAAATGGAGAGGGACATGATAACCCTGCCATCATAATTAAACTAGCTATATTAGCTGCGTACTGTCTACTTCATGGTGCACCTGGTGATCGGTCATCGTCTATTGTTGTAAAATACCTTCTTCTGAAAGAACTTGATATCCACAACTTAATAATGAAATTTCAAGCTGTATTATTCTAATAGTCTACTTCAGCATGTCCTTCTTTATATTAGTTAAAAAATTAAAATCACATTTCATTAATTTGTTGATCTTTCAGAAGCCATGCTCTTTACATTTTCTTTTCTTCATTAATTCATGTCCAGTTTTAAATCAATGATGATCAATTCAATGATCTATTGTATTCTTTAATATACTCTTGAAAATTCAATTGAAAGAAACTGATTAATGGTGCCACGCTATTTTATTACTGACAAGTTTCAGACTAGTTAATGAATTAAGCATAAGTAGTAAGTTTGTTAGTATAACAAAAATGCACAAAAAGTTCTTTTATATTCATTTATACTGTATATACATTTATACATTTATATATATATATACATTTATACTGTGAAGATCATGCAAAAGGAACAAATGAGAAATGTTGATAATATATGCAAATAAACAAATTTCAAATAAAATTCCAAATTTTAGATCAAAGCCAAACGATGCGATCTTACATATTCCATCAAGATACAATAAAAGCATAATAAATATATAAATAAATATGATGAAATAAAGTATATTTTCAGAATGTATGACATGAAATAAAAAGTTCTATTTTTCAGTCCATATTATTACAAAAGTAAGAAATTTCCAGATACAAAAGGCAGTTTGTGCGATTTTATCAAAATAAACTCTGTAGTTACAAAATCGATGCAAATTTCATTTTATTCGTGGCAATTAGAATGGCGTTAATTTATTTGTAAATTAAAACTCCGCATCAACTAAAATGATAAAATATTTTTATACGTAAGTGGCACAATATCATCGCCCGAAACATAAATAACAATTAATAGATGTAAAAACACTCTCGGCATTTATTTATTGATGAAATAAAGTTGCAGATTGATGCTTCCTATTCAATGAAAAAAAAAATGATTCTGAGATGCTTTTCATTTATTTCTTTTAAAGTAGTTTAGTAATTCAAATAGCGATAATGTATTTGATATGAAGTATCTGCAGAATTTTTTCTTTTAATACTTTTGAGAGGAAAACGGCTGAATACAGAAGAATACTGTTATAATAAATTAGTGTCAATTATGCATAATGAAACGCGGCAATGTGAACTCCTCCCCCCCAAAAAAAAACAAGTTTAAAAAATAAAAATCTGAAAACCTTCAGATTTTATATTACGCACAAAGGGGCGTTTTTTTAACGTTTTGAGTGTTACCTTTATTTTTTAAATATCATGTTCTTCGTACTTAAACCATAAAATTGAATTCAACAGCAGTATCTCAAAATAATATTAAAATGAGCATATCTTTAGAATTTCCGATACACAGCCTCGCGCACTGGAGATAAAAATGCTTTTTTTCCCGTGTATTGTTGCCATTGTTCGGTTTGAAATCGTTGAATTTCGGTTGGCGACGTACGTTATTCAAAATTTGATGGCTCTAGGTACCTTTGTTTTATCACAATGCGAAAAACATATCTACATTTATGCAGATTCTTCATTATTTAATTTCTTTAAATATAATACAGGACGATAATATTAGGGGACAAAAATTTAAAAGTGATTCACCGTCTATAACGAATAAAAGCAAAATGCCAAAACGCAATAGACCTCCTGGACTAACCCCCTTTGGGCTAAAAATGAGGGACAAACACTATATAAATATATAATATATATATATATTGGCGAAAGAAGATTATATTTGTGTTCAAATGCAGAAGTTTAAAAAAAATTATGCTAACGTTGTATTCGTGATTCATTCTTTTCAGCATGTTACCTTCTTTTATGGAATATATTCCTGATAATATTGCCTGAAGATATTTAAAACTTATAAATGAATCTTTTCCAAGTTCTGAATTTCAACACTCCGATTTAAATGTTTGTAAAGACTGTTAACGTTTAATTTGTATTCTATTTGTGTTAAGCAGACACTCTAACTTGTTAAATAAAGATTTCACAGTTAATCTAACTTCTGATTATTTAATATGACTTTGCTAAATAGAGGATAGTGTACTTAAACGCCTTAACTGTGAAATACACGATATATCAACTATCAAATCTGTTGAAAGCTAAGAAGCATAAAACTTACTGCCATGAAAACAGAGGCATGAATATTTTTTGTTGAAAAGTTGCCTATTCTAGTAACGTTTATTCCAAATTATTTCGGCATTCTTTATGTCTTTCGGTCGAAAATGCTTTAAACTGACTGACGCTACCGTTTCTCAGTTTGGTTTTTATATTAAATTAATTGCAATGATTCGCTGCGTATCGCTGGGGCAATTACAGTAATATACAAATAAGAGAGGATAATACCTTTTCAGAAATATTTCTTGATTTAAGATTTTGGAGTTTTGAAATTTTTAGGATAATTCAACTTCAATTCAGCTATAAGCAATCGCATAAATAAATTAAGGTATTAAAATTACTTTCATTTGAAATAATAAATGTTGTTCAGTTTATATGACCAACTTATTACTTATAATCAACTTACCTGCAACTTGATTAGCAACAGATAGGTTTTATCTTATTTTGTCCATTTAAGATGCATAGTTCTTTTCAGATTTGGGAAAACTGTAATTTTTTATCCTAGCAAATTCCAAACCCGAAAGCAGTAAAGAAAGGAATCCATCCATTTTCTCTGCTTTAAGTTTTTTAAATACTGCAGTTTGATTTCGCTACTTGCTCTCCATTCTCTTTTTCAACAGTGTGTTATACTACTTCAGTATAATTTAAAGCAATTCTTAATTGAAAGTTCAATTCGTAGGAGTCGGATCAAAGTAAAGAATAGGCAGAATTTTCTATATACATTTCTGTTTTCAAGGATACGTTTTATTTCTGCCATGGAAAGATCAAACCATAAATGTATGTATCGCTATGTATATTTCGAACCAAATTTCGATATACGTAATCCTAAACTCGGCAGATATTTTAATATAAGGAAAGTGTCTTGAAAAATATTTTTATTTCACAGTAAAAGATTCATTTATTTCCAAATCCTTATTTATTCTTTCTCCAAATGCTTATCCTTACATTACGACACTTTTTGAAAAGAATTTGAGCTAACATTCTCTAAGTGATTTGATAGTAAACGATGCACTGTAAATATCATATTTTTTTCATTAATGGCACGTTTGTTTGATTAATAAATTCCTTCTTCAAAAGTAAGAATTGTTTTGTTTTACAAAATAATTTAAAACACTGCGGATATATAGGTATATTATTGTATTCAATAATTTTATTAGTTACCTGGAATTATTGGTTGCATTATTGTGCTTCTCTGTGGGCAGGTACACGTGGGACATTTTCCTTCTGGAGGATCAGATTCTACCCAGCATCCATCACTGCATTTGGGTGGAATGCAGATAGAATCACATTTGCATACAGGACAGCCATCATCTCCAATCACGTTATAGCATCTTCTACCCAAACATCGTGTTCGGGGGCATACACGACCTTCAGCTGTAAAAGCAAAACGTTTAAGTGTTGAAGCGAAACTTATCAGTATATTAAATACAAGAAAGAGAAAACAATGTACCATTCTACCACGAATATAAGAACATTTTATCCTTCATATTAGTTTGTTAACTTGATCCAATACACAGCATAACATTTACAAAATTACTTTAATGAAATTTAACATTTATCTATTTGTTAGCATTTATATTAAAGAGAACACATTTGCTTAGTTTTATCTCAAGGTATGCTTTCTTAAACTCTTTATTTACCTTCAGTACAGAAGACTTTCAACATTAGCCTGATATACTATGTTTGGCATAGTATATTGAAATTGTATATTTTACGTGTATGAAATATCTTACGAAAATGCACAGTTTCTTATATATTTACACTAACTATAATCTAACTTGCATTCGAGTGAATACTGCACTTTAGAAATATATTATGTATATTTATACTAACTAATAATCACTAATAATCTTTATATGAAAATACAACAGTTGCGGAAAAATAATAATAATAATTTTTAACTCAAAATGAAAACACTGAAATTTCGATTGCAAATGAATGAAGTGTTTAAAGGAAGCCCAAAATGTTTCTAAATTTATCTAAAAATAAATTTGCAACATAAGGATGATATTTGTTACATAAGAACAAATTATTATAAACTGATTGGTTATCTCACAGATCTTGAAAAGACATAATTTATTCATGTGTTATAAGATTAAAATGGTTTTACGTTTATACATCAGCAATATATTAAGGAATTTTTAAGTAGTCTTTAAACGCATAAGGAAGCCTCTCAGATTTAAATAAGCTATATAGAGGACACTGAATTGCGACCATGATGACTAAGTCGGTTCACGAATAAGTTATCTGAATGAAAAATGTCTTGGGTTAGGAATGGAGCCTCGAGTAATGAACGCTCAGACTGAGAGCTAAAAATTTTCAAAGATGTTTTGACATACACTTTGACACAGAAATAACACTCATGGACCTATGGGAACAATCTTTTAATATTGTTCATTTTTACCTCTCATTAACAAAGCCCGCAGTAGATGACGTAAAGGGCAGTAAATTCGGTCGAGGAAATTACACCCTAATTACGTTAAATGAAAGACTCTGATTCTTTGAGATTATGGATGTTATAGTTATGTGTGAAAATGTGTCTCTAAGCAAAGCCATGGATACGGATGTTATCTGTGGAGATGTAAAAGAGTTACTATGAGAATAACAAAAATGAGCTAAAGAAGAAAGAACTGTAGCAACTTCAAAGGCAGCAGGAAAAGATTATTATGTAGGATATGTCTTCTTAGAAAGACGAAGAAAGGGATGATGATCTTAGGTCTTTAATCAATGAAATTTGTACAAAATGGGGTAAGGTTCAATTCTTGGTATGACAGCATAACCTGATAACGTTTAGGAAGTTGCAGTATGAACAATTTCAGTGGCAGTGCCCTGAGTTACTTCGAAAACATTTTAAACCTGGATAACAGTAAATCAGCATAGAGAAACGTTGAGTGAAATAGAGGCCGAGTGAATCTCAAACAGAACAGAATGGCACTAAGAGACAGGAAATATGAAAGAAGAGGCCCAAGAAAGACAATTGTCTTATGTTTTTATGAAAAGGCACTTCTCATCCGAACTATAAGGTCCTTCCCTTTCATTCTCTCACCAATTCTATTTACGCAGTCAACTCTTCTTCGTACAGGGATGGTAAAATTAAATTAAAGTTACGTCTATTTTATCTGTTTAATTTTGCGTTTATCGCTATTTGACTTGGAGTTAAAGTTTCCATTGGTTCTGTGTTACGAACTTGTGCACAAGTACTGTTCTAAAAGTTTAAATAAGCAACTATCTGTAGTCCAGAAACTGATTACATCATTCTACATCAGCTCTTATGGAAGAAACAGGTACGATCTGAGAACATTTTGGATGACGAAATGCTATCAGAAACGAAATATATAAGTGACTGAGAATTTCACTGTATGATAGATTAATTTATTGAAAATGAATTAAGACATTTATCAGACATCAGATTTAAATAAAATTCCTTTAGTATTTCGATTGATCTCTATAAATGATTAAATTGTTATATATTGAGTTATAAAGGTATTCCATCGAAATTTCAAATGCTCAGACTTTGTGAAATTGTACAAAACTTATCAAATTTATTTTAATGGAGCATAAAACCATATGTGTATTATAATACAGAAACTTTAATATATCATACATAAATTTTATCTTTGCCACTCCTAAAGCTTGCTATGTTTTAAAATGCTCCACATTTTTCTCATTAAAATCATTTGTAGTTAAAATGAAGATTTTATGTAAATTTGCAGAATAAAGTTTAATTAGTTAAATTCCAGTCATCACAATTCCTGGATAACTTATTGATTTGAAATGTATGTAATCATCGCGAACTCCCAAGTCGCTTGCTACAGTATTTAGTAGCGAATAATAAATCTAAGGAACTCTTATTGTAATACTAATTTTCAGGTTTTCAGGTTAAATGTTCTAACACAAAAATGAAGCTGGCTTTAGTATATATCCAATCAATTTGAATGAAACGACAAAAGTGTTTATTATCAAAATTTTGTTTTAGAGAAGGAAATCTTACAAATGCCTTCAGTGCGGAATGCCGTGTAAGTAGCAGCTGCTAGTAGCTATCAAAGTGGTTAATTTTCTTGCACGTATACACCAAAAATTTAATTTAACTAACAAATAATTTACTGTAATTAAAATATGAAATTTCATTGGGGAAACATATGGCAATAAATCGGCCAAAATATGAGTATCCCTACAAATATTCTCCAAAACTGTATTTGTCTCAACAGCTCTACCTAGCATGTAAAAATATATTACGGAAATATATGACTTATCCGTCATTTTAAATGAAATTTTATTTTACCACAATGTATATCACTTGTAACATTTGAATGTCTCACTTGTAAAACAACATTAGCATATATAGTTCATGAATGTGTTGTAGTTTAACACTTAAGCACCTTTTATTTCCTGTTAAATAGTTTTAAAACTACAGGTCATAGTCCATATGTGAGCTTTCTGATAACAGAGTGAATACGGTAGTTTTAATTTATTTTATAAATAGCTCCGAAAACTCAGATAATCTTGAAACCTGTAATGAATTCTGCGTTTTCCTGCCATGCAAACAATAATTAAAATCAGATAGCATTGGGAAGTTGGTTCTGTTTCATTGTTCGCATAATTAATTGCTTTAATACTGACAGATGTACATATGTACACTCCAATCAAACTATTGTGTAGCGTTATGGGAAACATGTTAGATTAAAAATCAGAAATCTAATACAAATCATAGGTGTACTTATTAAAGGTACCTTCATTTCAGACACAGGGTTTATTGCATACTATTTTCCTTCTCCAAAGCAATTTTGGAATGTATCCACAGTTTTCACCTTCAGTAAAATTCATAAGATCATGCAGATTTATTTTTCATGTTTTTCTAGAGCTGGGTAATATTATGTAATAAATGAATTAAAACAGTGTATAATAATAATTGTGATACAAATACCTTTGTCTGTTTTACTAATTGACTGCGAGCCATTAAAAATCATTAGGTTATTCGAAATTTTATCCTTTTTTGGTTTCTAGGTGATTGTGTCAGTTAGAAAATTCCATGAATAAGAATTAGAACGAGGAAAACCGAAGAGTTTAATATAAATATGTAGAACTTTATCAGTTTGTTATTAATTATTCTTCTGTTATCTTGTTTGCTTTCATTTCCTCTTCCATACATTTCACCTTTTCTACTTTAAAAGCATAAGTCTGGCTGTTCCATTTATCACAGCAAGGTATTTTTTTTAATCTAAGATTTGAAAAAAATTCATTGTGTTTTGCATACCGACAGAACTTATATGCTAGATTGATGCCACTGAATTTAAATAATTTAAACATATTAAGAATTTAGAGATTGTCTGGCAGGTTTCAGATGCATTATTAATTTACTGTAATATTGAAAATAAATCCTTCAGTGTTGTGTTACAAGATTTCAAGTTCTAAACCTTCACCTGTTAAAGGTTGTGAACCCAAGTTTTGTTTGTAATAAATTTTAATTTGTTAGTCTTGCAACTGTGTATCTGCTTAGACCCTTTGTGTTAACCTTTATTTAGTTGCCCGTAAACGATAACTTGTAAAGAAAGAGCTGTTATGATTAAAACTGAAAGTTAAAAATGTCTATTTAGAGACATCTTTAATCCTCTGCTATATTTAAAAGAGTTAAAGAGTTCATAACATAAAACATTTTGAGCTTCATTGATTACCATTTAATTTTCAATATCAGATATTTATTTCTCTTTAAAATACGATAATAATCATAATAATATACAAGCCATCTTATATTAAGAAAACTTTTAGTGAGCCCAAAGTTACATAATAACTTACGAATTTTTAACTACTAACATTTTGGTATACTTACTCTTTACTACTATTGTTATACATACTTTTATCATGAAAAGAGTGATTTTTATTGAAACATTTGTCCCGTACCCTATGTAATAAATGTAAGCAGACAATCTCTTGAAAATTCTGAGCACTGAATATTGTGTAATAGCCTTTTTTGTTTTAATAAATTTAATGATGTTTAAATAACAGGTTTCTAATAAAGAGGTGATAAATTCCAACATTGTCTGAAATTTATCCGCCCTTTAGTATTCTGAATGCTTAAAATGTTCAGGGATTAAATGATGAAACCAATGGAGATTTTGCCTATAATGTAGTTCTCATATGTTTTTGCTTGTAATATTATGAATTACGATTAACATAATGCTACTCTTTCACAGATACTTTCACAGACACTTTCACTACTCTTTCACAGAGACACTACCTTATGTATTACGATAAACATAATGCTACTCTTTCACAGAGAGTTTGCATTATTCAGTCACCAGAAAAGTTTTGAATTAAGTTTAAATAAAGTTTGACCTAGCTCAACCATCATTAAGAGGACAGATTCAAAGGTAAGGGATCATAAATGTTCATAATTTACTACAAATTATTCATTCTTATACGGGATGTTAAAAAACGGTAACTACAGGTTTTATCTTTACATATGTATCCTAGAGATGTATTTCCAAATACATAGTTTCATAGAATAGATTACCGAAATTTTGAAATTAGCTTTAATACTCTGAGTGATATTTTCTGCAAAATTAAAATTGAAATTTTCATGCCTACAATTACGAAGAAATTCAAATTAGAAACACATTAATTGACACATAACAATACAAAAACAAGTTACATACTTCAGAATGCAAATTTTCCACGGATAGGCCGAATTAGTACTTCAAGGGACCAGTTATAAATATAATAGCAAATGTTTTTTTGGTAAGATAGAGCCATTAGCTACCAAAACGAAAAACATTTATCTCGTAGATATTCCTTAAATTTGTTTTCAAAATGGTTGAATAATATCAGTAATAGATATGAAAATATGTCTTGTCTCATAAAAGAAAGACTGTAAATAAAAAACAAAAATTGGCAGCATAATTCTTTTTGAACAGCTTTGAAAATATTTTACACAAATTAACAGAATGTTTTTTTTTGTAATAAATTAATTTATAACGAGTATATGGCTAAAAGAATAGTTTTTTTCAGGAGGTCATTTAAATGTTTCGTTTTTTCACTATTTTAGAGTCTTTCGAAACGGCAGGTGTTGCGAATATTTCCATTAAACCCTGCAAGCTGTTTTTAAAATGTAATTGGAACTTTATGTCTAAGCTAAACAGTTGAAGAACCATAGTTTATACAGTCATTTTCAAGAAACTGATTGCATTGCATTAAAAATATTGAGCTATATTTAAAGAGAAATACTTGAAAAAGTAATAGTTTACCTCCTCTGATAATGCCACAGAAACAGGATGGACAAACTTCATCATCCCATTTCATGACCATACAACCTATGGCACACATTGGTATTGGGCAGCGAGGTTCGACATCAATGCCTGCAATAAATTGTGATGTTAATATAATAAAAAAATTGGATTCAGAAGATATGATTCTTATTTTAATAAACACGCTAAACTTACAGACAGGTATTGTTGGACAAGGAGTGCGAATACACTGAAGTCTCCTGATTACACATTTCTGACCTTCAGGGCAGTCCTTTTGCTAAACAAATACATATAAATCCAACTTAAAATCATTTGACAACAACAAAAATAAGCATTATATTTTTAAGTTACAAAGAACAAATAACTAAATTAAACCTTTCTTTTGCTCTTCTATTCTTGAAATTAAGAAAATTTAATCTTCGTTTTTAAGCAAAATGTTCTCTTATATATAAATTAGTTTAGCCTTTAATCGGTACGTTAGGTTTTTATAAACTCACAACATTTATGAGCATTTTCTCAGCACATAATCAGTTATTTCTCTAAGTAATTATTAACTGTTTAAAAAATTCTAATTCTAAGATAAAACACGTTAAGCATTTTCATTGGAAATGCTAAAAGGGCAGGCATCCCTGTTTTAGGAAGGGATGCCCGCACGGACTTTCGACCTGTAGGAAAGTCGGTTTTACATCTCTTGGCTTTTAAAAAAGACCTATATTAGTATCTTATTCAGGATACGTCTGAATAAAAGATTCATCTTTTATTAACACGTGATCGAAAGACGAAAGTACTACAATCAGCATTTGTTTCAAGTATGGTCAGAAAAAACTGCATCTTCAATTGTGAAATGCTGTTTGAAATAAACAGTGCCCAAATTTTAACGCTGGAAGCTAAAGCCAATCTTTGCATTTTCCTGTAGCGGGAATGGATAATTTTATGTTTGCTAACTTTACTGCTTTGCTTGAAAATGTTATCTACCGTGACTTCAAATATGCACGTATTTTAATGATGCCCTTTTGGCATGGTAGCACGGAGAGTGGCTGCCTTAGACCGGGTTCGAATTCCAGAAAATGTATTGATATTTGTAAATGTATGATGTCTTTCTGGCATGGAAGCAATTAGAAAGATCATGAGGTGAAGATCCTCTCGAGTGGAAGAGGAATGAGAGTATCTCGGATCCATCTCTTTAGGGATTTTTTCTCAAAACGTACATTGAAGCTAAGCAGATTTGCATTGTCGCTGACAAAGCATCCAAAGTACAAAGACAAGCTCAACCCTCTATAATAAATGTTGTGGACTTATCATATGTGTACTGTCAGATGAGAGAGATAAATCGCAACGTACTTTTCGTTATACATATATATTTAAGAAATAAAATGCAGTAATTTATCTGGAAAAATATTATTTTAATTTAAATTCGTTTAGGCTACGAGACGCACTACTAGAATTTGATGTTAGTGTAGTTCCATGCTACTTCTTGGACAATGTATATCTGATCCATAATCTAAACTAATTACTTAAAAATGTTAAAATAAAGCACTAAATTTAGAACATATATTAAAATACTACTAAGTAGTGGTAATCTTAACAAATTAAATAGTTGAATATAGTGATAAAAGATACTCCAAATGTTAATGATAAAAAAGTGTCTAAGATTATTTCCTTGTTCAAAAAAAGCAGTGAACAAATAAATAATGCATTTTGAATCGTAGCCCGCAAAATTCATGAGATGACAGTATTCTGTAACATACACATTGCGAACGGCCGCCCAGACCGTATAGTGGTTAGGCGAGGCTGACTGCGGTACCGAAGGGCCCGGGTTCCAATCCCAGAAAAAAAGAAGGCATGGATGTAAAATTGCCTGTCCTTTCATAAGATGTAATGGTAGCCGCGTGTTAAGTGCCTTCCCAATAAAATGACCACCACTTCTGGGCTTAGGATTGGCCAATGACGTTATAGACAAGTGCCTGCTATTGGAAAAAAAAAAAAAAAAGAAAAACATTGCGAACAAAATTCGTGGTGGAAGTAATAAGAGTTCGTCAAAGTATGTTGCTTTAGATTTAAAAAAGGGAGTCCATTTGCTGAAAGATTCTACTCTATAGCGACTTGATGACCTATACCGAGCGGAATAATCCTGTACAGTGCCCAGCTTTCAATACAGTACCCAGCTTCAGGATAATATCCCGAAAGATAATGTAAATATTGTCCCATGATGTTCAATGACGTAAATTTTCTCAAATACTGAAAATATAGTTAGCAGACACGAAATTTACTAGTCTTGCTTCAGATGGCCATGTCTATTTTTTGAATTCCATTCTCCATTAACATGTTCTTGCGTGATCAAAAATATATTCATTAATCACAGGTCGACGTTCTTTTCTAGATATAAGTTTAAGGAAACTTTCAAGGTTAAGAAAAAGACTGGTTTGTGAAAGAATTTTTGAATTTCTATGTCAGCTGCATTTCATGCTTGGAAAATGGACATTTAAGTTATGCCATCTAAACAGTTTGATCACTTTTTGAAAATGGCATATAATATAAGCAGGGGAAGGAAAGCGTAGCTTCCGAAAGAAAACATTTTGGTGAAGAAATATTCAATTATTCAATGAAATTTCAATGAATTTATTTAAAAATTATGAAATACCTAAAAAGTTCAACAACTGTTAGAGCATATAAGTGAAAGCGTGAGTTTTTTTTTTTTTTTTTTCATAATCAGAGCAATTATATTTCTTTCACATCTGTAACATTAATGACTGAATTTAGATTAAGAGGAACATTTGCAGAAATGCAGGATATATTTTGATAATAAATATAACGGAACCTCTCATGGCGACCACAGCACAAATAATAAACGCTAGAAATGAATGTTGACAGGACTCATGTTCTCTAAGATTACCACGTCTAGTGAAGGAAGAAATGATTTGGAATTATCGAAATTTCATTGAGTAATTTGATATCAGTTAATATTTCTCCACCAAAGTACTAGATCTGTTTGGGTAGTTTCTTTTGCCCTCAGTGGCTTCGGGATTATCTAGTCATCTGTGTCTAGCCAATGCTTTGAAATCTATGAAGTAACAGTTATGGTGCTAGTATCAAACAAACAGTGAATCAAACAAGAAAACTTAGTTTCCATTCAACATACAACACTTTAACAGTGTTTAAGGTATTTATATATAATAACTTCAAGATTAAAAATCTTTAAAAGCTTAACATCTAAGAAACTGATATTCAAAAGCGAGTGATGTTTTTTTTTATGGTTAAGAAGCAAAACAACGAAAGCATACACAGTTCGTAGAGAGTTATTAATAATAATTTTATTTTTATTCTTTACTGTAATATTCAGTCAGAATTTAAATTGTAATATTATTATAGTATTAATTTTAAATTATGCTTTTATGATTTTACGTTTATTGTATAATTAAATTTATTTTTGAATAAAGTGCCCTGTAAACTTGTAGTCATTAGCCATCAATAGGTTTGTCGAAACAGAAGACATGAGAAATGTGCAATGCTGTCACCCTGTTTCGATCCCCGAACATCCACACTGCTATCCGGACGTACTTTCAATTACATTTTCCCGCATTTAAAGGGCGACTGTAAAGGGAGGGTAGTCGCCAGATCCTCCTTGTGGCAAATTATCGTCCACCACATTTTAGTTCAGGTGGCGCTTTAGAGTCTTTTGGTTTATGGAAATAGAAAACATGAAAAATATGCAGTACCTTGGCCAGGATTCGAATTACGGACCTAGTTTTACAAAATTCTACACCTTTTGTTTCTTAAGTCTTGACGTGCAAGAACTATGAAAGAGTAATCAAGCAAAAACTATAAAAGGGTAAATAACTTAATTAGAAAAAATATTGCATCAGTGCGTTTAAAACAGGACACTATAAGGGTCACGTTTAAGCTAATTTCCTTTCTCGTTTAAGAACTGGGAAACTGCTATTTAATTAATATTCTTAAAAGAATTATTTTGAAAAAAATCACTTCACTTTGAGTATTGTTGCATAAATTTTATTCTTAAGCTTATCTGTACACTCAGTTTTGAATATTCATGCACAGAAGAATCTCGCTTAACTAGAATTCGATACGTGCGATAAAATTTAATTAGCGAGATCTAATGAAATGATGATTCTTTCCCGCTTTAACGAATGATTAATTAATCAACCTAGATTTTTATGTTGCAAGATATATTATTTTGCAAGTCTGCATCAATAACGTTTTTTACATTTGACAAGAAATTGGTAAAATGAGATTTTTATTACATTAATTAAACATTGTGTAGACTTCGACATTCGTGATGTGATATAATTTCTCAACAAAACATTAAAACATTGCTATGAATGACACTTTAGTTTTAAATATACAGGTATGTTAGATAATACTTTTTAAATAACGTATCAAGTATTGATAAATGGCAAAATTGTCGTTTTTTAGTGTTTGTTTGGTGTTATTTTTAATATGTTTAAGGTAAGCGTGTTAAGAAAAATGCAGAGTCTCATTTCATAAAAAACTTTAAGTTAGGAAAAAGATAACTGCTAAGGAACTATGTTGAGTACTGATCCTGATATGAGTTAAGCGTCGATGTCCGCCCACAAAACAATCGATAGCTATCGGAATTTTCATGACAGACTAAAAAGGTCCAGCTCCATTCAAACATCTTTACTTAAACGTTTTACAGAAAAGAAACTCATACAAAATTTCTAAGTTTGTAGGTTTTTAGGAACAGGAAACGTGTAAACTGAGGCGTACCTTTACCGGGACTCGAACACTGAATCTCTCGAATACGCGTAGCTTATGCTTCCAATTACACACGAAGGCATACGGAAAGGAGGGAGAAAATACCTTACATACTCAACTTCTAAACGGCGACAAGGGATTAAGGGCCCCAGTCGCCAAATCCTGGTAATGACGAATTGTCGTCCAACACCTTTTAGTTTGAGTGCCACTTGTAGAGTCATTAGCTTTTTTTTATTATTATTGTAAAGCAGGAGACATGTAACTAGAACCTGGACCTACGGAATACGCATCGAGTATACTTCCAATTAAACCCCAAAGGTATGCAGAAAGGAGAGAGAAAATGCCTTATAAGTTTAGTTATTAAATAAAAATTGCAGGAACTGATTTTGATTGCTTTACTTACTAATAAAACATATAACTTTAGTTCTTACTCACTTATCTCTCTTTCCCTCTCTCTGTATATATATGTGTGTGTGTGTGTATGTCTGTGTATTTACTTCTTTTTCTAACTAACGTTAGGTAATGGATAAAGTGTATTACTCCTACTGCTTATTTTATTTCTAAGCGCAGTTTCTTTTACCATGGATTAATTATTACTTTAAGGAATATTTTCTCTTCTTGTTCATTGGATTTACAGTTTAAAAAGTTCACGTTTATACAATTCTCTTGAGTCATTTCTCTCTTATAAAACGCTATATAGGTTCTTCCGAAAACCGATAAATAGTGCAAATACTTACCGCACATTTTTCATCTTCATCATCCTCGATAGTCTTCTCCTCGGCATATTCTGGTTCAAAAGAGTTTTCCTCTCCTTCACTGCCGTAATTTCCTGCCAGTCTGTCTTCATTATTTTCGTGGTTGAAATGTTCTTCTCGACTTTCTTCTGGTTGATCACTTTCAGCCTCTTCAGGCACATGATCTTCTGTGTTGTACAAGGCGGATTCTAAATGTTCTCCGAATACTGGATAAGCATGGCCACCATCATAATGATAACCTGGCACACCAGCATACTGATCTGGATCATGATCACCATGGATAAGGAAAATTTTGTCGACGCTAGGAACAAGTTCTTTGCTAGGTAAAGGTATGAAATCTGCCTCCAAGTCTTCCCGTTTTTCTAACTCGCCGTCTTCTTCTGTACCATCAGAAGCTTTCTCGTCATCATGTGATGGCTTTCCTTCTGTATCTAAAATAATGTAACATGGACAGATATTTAAAAATCAAAATAGTCTATCTTAATATTGTTACTAATATGAAATGAGAAACGTAATTTTAAAGCATATTTATTAGCAGCTTAATGAAATTATAAGATACTTACTGCTTGTTTTGCAGTTACATGAATAAAAATATCTCATTGAGATCGAAAGTTTAGGGAAGTAAAAATTGATTAAAGTCATTCTGATTATTTATTTCGAAGCAAAGAAATTTCTTATGCTCTGAAACATCATAGTTTCTGTAATTGCCTTGAAGAAATTTTCAAAAATTATGCTAATACATTTTCGCGAAAATCCATAATTCTGATTTCTGCAAACATGGTAATTAATTAGAGATATCAGAAAGTCAAAATCTAAGTCAAATTTTTTAGATATTCTGCAGACTCAATATAGTAATGAAACTTTACACAAAATCCTAAACTACTACAAAACAGTAAAATTGTTTCAAAATGGATGTTATAAAAATTTACAAGAAATGGATTGCAGATACGAAATGAAGTTTCAGGAGATAAAACTTCTTAATAAGTTGGTAATTAAAATATAATCTCAGCTATTAAATTAGCTTTTTGGAAAATAAAATGCAACTAAATTTATGAATTTTCCATAGTTTTAATGTAGCATGTTCATATATTAACGAGGATGCTGACTATTGTTATTTTTACAAAGAATATTGCAAAAAATCTGTTAAGTATTTCTTCTGTCTAAACTTAGCATAGATATTTTGATACTGCACAGAATCTATATTAAGCTAACTTAACTAAGCATGTTAAAAAAAAAGCCGATAAGAAATTTTAGATTAATTTTAATCGGTTGATTGCTAAAAATAGAGCAAATTCTATTTAGAAAATTGTATTAGATTTGAAAACATACAGTTGTTCTATTTTATCAGTAAAATATAATATTTAACTTGCTTTACACATCAGCTCACATAAATTAACTCCTTTGAAAATTTAATAAAATTTTACACTTTTATAAATCATCTATAAAAGCATGTTTTAAAAATATTTTTTCATAACTCGATAAGGGCATCTGCTGTTACTAAGACAAAAATGGACTCATCTTTGGAATATGGTAACAGGTAGTTTGGCGATATTTTGGTAAGGCGATAAAGGTTACTAGGTAGGACTTTAGCAATAATCTGAGAAGTGCACAGTTCGAATCACAGATTATTTTGTCTCAGAGAAATGAAAAGATCATGAGACATGTCAATGTGAACATTTTCAGGAAAATTCCGATCGTGATTTTAGCAATAAGCACTTAGAAACATTTCGTTGCTAAAGTGCAGAATCACCCACTTATTTGTTTAGCGCTTTTTTACAAGAGTAAGAAGAATTGGATTTTGTCAATTTTCTTCGCCTTTTTAAGTGAAATAGGTCGATGTGTACATTGAATAAAAGTCAAGAACGTGCGCAATGCCGATTTTATGCAATTCTCTGATTTTTTTTTTGGGGGGGGAGGGAAAATAGGTCGACGTGAACATGGATACCGCGTTGTTGAGTAAAAAATGTTGAGTAAAAAAAAACAAAAAAAAAAAAAAAAAAAACTAGCAGGTTGCTATAGCAGAGTTGGTCGCCAAATTTTCGCCAAAAAATCGCCAAGTTACCATAATCCGAAGAGTCACCCAAAAAATGATTTCAAAACAATAAATGTAAGCAAATATACTTCAGCAGAAATGCTTTCAGAAGTATATTAATAAAGAGCTTGTAGGGTTTATATTTATTTTAACTAACATTTATTTTAAGTTTAAACTATCTTTCCTGTCAAGCCTTACTTTCCCCTGGAACTGCCAATGCCAGAATATGTAAATTTGAGTAGAACGCGCAAGCATTCAAATTATCAGCGGAAGTATTCTGATTTAAATAGAAGGTGGTGTGGTGTGGTGTATTTAATTATGGCAAAGCACACGAGGGCTATCTGCCTAAAGGGAGGGATGCCTTCGTGGAGGCTTTCTAAGGGAAACTGGCTCGTACACGTTACACATGGGAAAAACCACGAAAAACGCCCATGCAGCCAGCCCGTTCGCGGGATTCGAACCTCGGACCGACTACCATTTTCAGCGCTTTACCGCTCGGCGCTGGTGGGCCTTTAATAGAAGGAAAACGAGTTCGGGTGTGATATTCTTACTGCACGAGCGCGGAGGTAGTTAGCGAGAATTGAAGAACCCCGCGTTGCGGCCTATGTGCTTGGCGGGAAGTAGTGGTAATCGTTCCAGTGAGCTTCAAGTCTGCTGAATTAGAAGCAGTATTGTAAAACGCGGTGATTTAGTTATTTTAGAGAGCCTCGTAGTTAGAATCTTGTCTTTACTTTCTTTTCAGGTTATTATTTTTATTTGACTGCCAAGTTGGCACAGTCTGTGAGCGTCAAGAGCACTCAATTGTAATTTATTACGTTGAATAAAAAGGGACTTAAACCCTTCACAAGGCTCTATCTTTTATACAAGTTTTCACAGTCACCTCTTGGTTGCGTGCAAGTTAGAGGCGCGCAACGTTATAAGCTTGGCTTCAGTCTCTGAAGCCAATCTACGCAACTTCAAACTTTTAAAAAAGTTAAAAAGCTTTAAATATTTTTGTTAGCTGAAAAAAACTTTGAATTTTAAATTTTTAACAAGAAATGTGGATGAATCTTTTAAATAAAGTTCTTATTTAAGCTAATAAAATAATATCCTCTTTTATCGCAAATCATTCGAGTTACCGCAAATCATTCGAGATGTAACAGAAGTAAAATTTTAATTATCACAAAATATAATCTAGGAAAATAAGGTACATGAGAAGCATTTAATTTAAAAATTTTTCCACGAAACAGAAGATTTATTTATTGAATATAACAAATATAATTAAATTTGAATGCTATTAAAATTCACAAATGAAACAAATTACACACATGCTTATTTTTTATGCGTTTATAAATAAATACATAATTACTCAAAGACAAGTTAGTTTTTTTTAGTAAGGTAAGAGTTAGTCAGAATAAGGTTAATGAATTTATAAAGTTAATCGCTTAACATATTGATTCCTTAAAGAGTTTTTAATTAAGCATCAGAGTATACTAAAGTAGCCACCAATCATTTGTTTAGTGTGAAATAAATATAATCTCCTTATTAGCGTCTGAGCCTTATTATTAATTCAATTAACCTCATTCATTTCTGAGCAACTGAATCATTATATGCACATTATTAAATATTTTTATCACTTAACCCTTTATAAAGCATGCAAACATTATAATAGTAAGCAACCGGTTATCGCAATGAACATGATTCGTGCTACATTTTTGAGGTGCTGCAAGTTCTGATTTCTGAGATTTTACAGTAAGTGTACTTAAGAATTTCTTAACTTCCGTACTGCTCAGTAAATAAATTTCAATTCATTCGTCTCGATAAATGTTGGCTCGGTGAAAGATGAGATGGGCTTAATTTAAAATATAGAAATCTAAAGGTTTAACATGCTATATTAAAACACCCAGCAGTGAGCATGCTGAAACTTAGAATTCGCTGAATTATAAAATTCACGAAAAACGGCTGTATTTTTGAGTTGGTGACAACTCGTTTGGTTTTCTAATAACGGAAAAAAATTGCGAATGTTTTCAACTTTAAAATATTTAATGTGATGTTTTTGAAATCGTTTGAAAACAAAGAATAAACAACGTAAGAGATAAAAGAAATAATACATCGTATTTGGGCTCACAATTTAAGGCCGGTTCAAATTTTTCTTTCCCGCATTTTAGATCCCCTATATTTAAACTCCAAGGAAATAATCAATAACATTTTGATTTAAAATTACTGAATTTTTACAATCATGAAATTATTTCCGTGGTTAATGCCATATGGCTAGCTTATAAATTTTGTCACCTACTTTAAGCCACTCAACATACACTAATTTGAACTTATGGTGTGCATTCAGTCACTTAAGGCTGTTTCTCAACAGAAGATATTTGAAGTCTTGTATAACTTTACAGAAACTATGAATACTTATTTATTTTTCAAAGTGCAGCTGTAGTTACAGAGTATAGAAATCTCCTCTTACTTCTTAGGCTTATCATGCATTCGCTCAGTATATGAATGTAGTTGACTAAAACATGAAATATTCAAGTAAGTAAAGCGATGCTTGAGATTAATCATTAAATTATCTAGTATTTCCAAGTACACTAATGGTGTAAATTAACCTGCGTATAGCTAAAGAATTTGTGGCCACCTTACAAAGGGTTAAGTATAAATCATCGCACAAGTGATTGACAATTTAAACTTATCTGCCTGTTTTAGGAATCACTTACCAGAATTTTCGCCATAGGAACAAACGCATCCCCTGCATCTCCCTTCGGGAACAGTTTTCTCCAGTTCGCAGTGGGAAGGACACTGCGGGTTTTCTTCGCATGGAGATTCACAAAGGCACTTTTGGCAGCCGTCCTCTCCCGTTATGACGCTGCAATTGTAACCCAGGCACGTCGGTGGGGGACATTCTTTTACAGCGTTATCTACCAGAAGGACAATGTTTGAAGCTGTAATAATTCAGTTTGCACTATGAAATTTAAAATTGTTCAAGAAGGGAATTTATTGTTATACGTCGTTTTAAGTTTACTACTGATGTAACGCATATTTATGTCAAGATATGTAGTGCATACGTTCTCACACTTAAGGCACTTGTTCACACAACCACCGACGTGCAAACGCTTCAATTATGTTGTATTGGCAAGTTAATAAACTTTTTAACACAAGGTAATGCAATCATTGTTAAGTTTGACCATTTTTCTAATTGATCACTATACTCATATTGATAAATTATGAATGACTGTTACGTTTGTCAAATTGTGCGGTGAATACACACCGAAAATAAATCAAATTTTAATTAAATCTGAAATAAAAGAGATCTGAATATGCTATTTCAAGCCTAGTTCTATGATATGAAATGCGTGCTTGTTTATGTCAATGATACGAAGTTTACAATACTTTAATTTAAGTGTTATAAAGTTATAATAAATATTTTGTATAATACAATAAATTATTTATTGAAGACCCAATAAGTAAAATTAAAGATAGACCAGGGAATGCGTCTTCCCTTGTTGTTATTTGTATCATAACCTTAAGTCTGATGCTCTTCTCCGCTTCTGCACATCTGTTTAGAGTATTAGAGTATGTGTATATAGATATGTATGTATGGCGTGTGTGGTTTTGATTTTTTGCCACCTTCAGCTCTGAACACTTCAATGGTCGTTGTAATCAATGTATGCAATATAATGCAAGTCAATATATGCTCTGGCTTTTACCGTTTTAAACATTGTATTTTAATACACTGTGCCTGAATTTATGCTTCCTTTTTAACATTGAATCTGTTAACAATTATGATGTTGATTATATTAATATATGAGAAAGATTAAATATGTAATAGTCTGAAATATTGATTCATATATTATTCTCCTCGATGTAAAATTTTAGAAATGTGTTTCCGGTAGTTTGAGTACATTTAAACTGTTATAGCATATCAGTCTTTTAAATTTTTATAGTTCCCCGCCCTCGCTTAGAAATGGCATAAAAGTTTTCCTACTGTATTCTAGCCTGAGATTTGTTAGAAGTATCAGTACAAGAGAAAATGTGTAGTTATATAAAGTTAAAATTAAATCTAGAGTATGATTGAATCTAGTATTGCTTGAATTTAAAAATTAAAAGTATGTCACACAGCGAAAGATGTTTACCTTAAAAATGGGAATGCATATGCTTTATCAAATGCGTCTGGGAAAAACACTGTCCATGTAATTAGAATCTAAGTGACTGTCGTCATAAATGCTATGTGTTATAGCAATATAGCAGAATAATTATAAAAGTTAAACCAGAAGTTTAGTGGCATATTTCCACCAAATTGTTCCACAATAAATAATATACTGTAGCTTCAGATGTTAATCGTCGACTTACACTTGGGAGTCCCTATCGGTTTATTATGAATTTCTATTATTATTTTGATGATTTTGAAACAATTACAAAACACTCTAATTATAAAAGCTTTTTACTGGAATTTTAACAAGCGCTAATTCTTTTAACGAAATAAAGATTATGAGCATTTGTATTATCACCTACTTCAAATTAAATTTACCTGGAACAAAAATATCTTAACTTTCCATAATTTACAAATGTTGAGAATGAGTAAGTAGTTAGTACGAGCATAAAGATTTAATATTTTCAAGGAAAGTTGAGCATTCATAATTTGTTGAAGGATAGACTTAGTGCAAAGATAAAGTTTAATGATAGCATGCAAGTTTTAACACAACAAACATAACAAAAGCTATAAAATTTTAATCAATAGGCCAGACTTACCCCTTTCTGATCGTGAAAGTTTACACACGCACCGCGGACATCGGCCAACTTCGGCAACCTCTTTTTCCACTTGGCATCCTTCTTGGCACTCAAGAGCTGGACAAGGAGATTTGCAAATGCAAAATGGGCATCCAGATGCATCATCGCCTATTGTACAATTAAGTCCTTGGCAGGATACTGGAGCGCATTTTTCTGGTATAGCTTTAGACCGGATGTATTCCATTGCTGAAAAAATTACAGGAAGAACGTTTAGTTAAAATGTAAGTTAAAATAAAATATACTATAAGTGTTTTGTTTTATATAATATACTATAAGCGTTAAAAAGCAAAATATAATATAAGTGTTAAAATAAAATAAGACATCTGAAAGCTTTCAGATTAGATATTTCGCCCAAATGGACGTTTTTTGTATTTACATATACACAAACGTTTCCAAAGCATTTGAGTTAACGTCCCTTTAGACTAAAAATATTTCAAAATAGCCTATCTTTAGAATTTCCAATGGACAGTCTCGGGGGCTGGAGTTAAAAAAAAATATTCCCCACAGTGTATTGCCACTTCTTGCTTTGGAATCGTTGAGTTTATTAATTAAAAATTCGTTAAAGTCTAAAAAATCTGAAATAGATAATAAAACAAATTCGGAATTCAGGATTTGGGCTTCCAGGTGCCGATTGGAGGACTACGTGGTTTAAAATTTGATGGCTCTAGGTATCGTTGTTTCTTTTACCATGCGAGAAACATACATGCATTCATGTATGTTCTTCATTATTTAATTTCTTTAAATATAATACACGGCGATAATATTTGGTGGCCACAATTTGAAAAGTGATACATCTCTTTACAGTGATTCCACGCAAAATACAATTCCGAGTTTAAAAACTCAAAAGGGCATTTTGGGCTAATAAGTGCTTTTGCAAATGGAATGAAGATTTTGATCCAGATTTGTATGAAATTAGTGTTACCTTTCTTGATTAGAAAAGGCATCGCAATTTGTTTGAATGTGTATCGTACATATTAACAAAAGTTCACTCTTATTATAACAGATTAGTATAATTAAGGTATTTCTATATTTTACATAAGAAGGAGTAACAGAAAATAATTAATTGAGCTGTTGAAGATGATTGCGTAAATTTAAATCTGAATTACGTGCATATTTATTTATCCATTTGATTTTCCTTCTGTCAGAGAACTGCAGTATCGGAATTTTCACGCATAGGGATAAAAATAGAGCAAATGTTTATATAAATAACTACGTTTTCGGGTTAGATACTAAAATTGCGAAATACACAAGTATAAAATTTTCCATGAAATTTATGCATAATTTTGTTTATCTATAAAGTGAACATTAGTTATATTTCCAATATACATTTCAAAGTGTCTTTTTTTGGAAGCTAGTAAGTTTTGAAATAAGTAGAATTTTAAGAAGAAAATCGCAACAACTTAATAACTATTCATTTTGATTTTTGACCCCTCAAAATACGAAGTATACATTTTTAATAATGAATACATGCCTCAATTGCTCTAATCTTAAAATTCCGGGAAATGTTAACTAATAAATGAGAATGTCACTTTTCTAAATAAGGGAAATAAATCAATATATATTTCCTTTAGTATCTCGTGCGACGAAGTTTAAAATTTTATCGAGTTTCTGCACGTAATTTAAACACAAAATATCAATTTTTAAGTTACAGGAAGCTACGTGGGAAAAATAATTGTCAACAATACTAAATTATAAGCAATAGCAAACATTAAAATCACAGCATTTTTCCTCTTATTTAATATTTGAAATTAATTGGCTAACGCAAGAATTTAAATCAGTTAAAAAGGTATTTCACAGCAATTTGGTTTCTACTTCGATTATTTCTACTAGATTACATCTACGAATGAATTAAATATACGAACAGTAATTATTCGTTTTATAATATACCAATGGCAAAGAATTTAAAAACATTGAACGAAAACCGAGTTCTATTCCCGGCGAATAGGCCGACTACATAGGATATGGTATTCTCCATTTGAGATGCCAGTACCAGACAATTTCCTTCGAAAATTTCTCCACGAAAACATTTCTTCCAAAGCTCTTGCGTAATTTGCTGTAATCGATTAAACAATCGATTAATAGCTGTAATCGATTAATTACCCTGTTTACAGTTTATAACTTAATATTGTTTTCAATACTCATTACTACATTGATGATCTAATTCTACAAAATGTCTTATTTTTCTGAAAATTTATAAATTATCAGTATCTTCAGGATGAAGCTAATTGACAAATTATCCAAGATTATATTGGAGTAATAAAAGTAATGTATTTAGACTGATTAATTTTTAAGCTCTTAAAATGAAAATCCCCCAAAATAAAATATACATATTATACACTTAAATTTCTAAACCATATATCGCTTACGTAATTTAAGTGTATTTCATCTATGAAAATAAAGAAAGTTAGCACTTGTAAATTATATATTCAAGTTTAAAAAAGAGCGGAGATATTAACAATTTGCTTAGACTGTCCACTATATGTAATAATTTAACAGCACTGTGCTGTAATACCTACATTACTATAGATTTTTACAATAATGCTGCATGAAGTTATAATCTGTCTTATCACCCGCATTATCTCTCTAATGTATGAAGCACCGCTATTTCAGTCGAACTTGCTTTGGCTACCAAAATTTCTCTTCAAGCCTCAATGCAAGTATCGATCAGACCCTATACAGTTAAATAGCAAACTGTCTGAGTAATTACTAGTAAATTTGATAGTAATTAAATCTGTATGGTTATAATGAAAGATTTTTTTATATAGGGAAAATGTCGCACGTTTTATATATACAGAATTTTTTTTTAATTATTCAATTTAACCACTGGAATATTTCTCGATTATTAACAAATTCCAAAATCATAACTATAATCGTAAATTAGAACTAGAATTTTAAAATGAAATTTAATATTATTTTTAACGGATGTCGAGTACACTAACTTATCAACGAATTTTGCATACAACGGTTATTAAATTTCACAATATCTCTTAAAGCATTTTGGAAAACATTCAAAAACTCAGAAATCTATCTGCGTTTCCACCGACTGATTGATTATCATTATTGTTTTCAAAAACCTTATAACTGAGAATTTCATGGAATTAATTGCATAGTTTGAATATTAAATTTCTACAAAATGGTGAATGCTTGCAAAATTAATTTAATTCAATAACCAATGGAATAATTCACCCTTAATATAGATATCAAATGTCGTGAAATCAATAATCAATAGTCTACTGATATAAGTTTGAAGTGCAATATATAGAAACGAATATTATTCCTGAAAAATGATCCTGCTAAGTTAACTATTAAACTAGATATTTACCCTTTATTTCGAAATATAAATTATTCCAATAATTAACCTCCTTTTATGTATTATGTCCTACATTACATGTCTTTTTAAGGAACATGAGTTTTAATCTTTCCATCTAGAAAATGATATTACTATACCACCCAGAAAATACATTTTTTTGTGTTGTAGGTTCCTTTTGAGATTCAAGAGATCCGAAAATTAAGTATTCTAAAGGACCAACCTGTTGACGAGTTTTTGCATTGACATCCACATTCTAAGCCACTGTTTTCCGGTACGTCAAGATCCATGTCACAGCCAGCTGGACACTCTTTAGGTTTGCAGGATAACTGGCATCGGCACTCAGCACAACCCAAGGAATTCACTGCCATTGTGCAGTTGTATCCTCTGCATGGAGAATTGGCGCATGCACGTTCTTCTGTAAGCAAAAACAGTTCCGTGTTAAGAAACATACGTACCTCAAGGACAATTGTGGAAAACAGTGAAATATACACTTCCCATTTAAGAAGTCTGATTTTTAAAAAACTGCAATTAAATTCGAAAGATTTATATTGATATTAAACTATGAATAGGGATATGAAATTCTGACTTGCTATTTCTTTTCTCTTAAGAGGTCTAATCCAATTAACGAACTTCGTTGATATCAAGAGTAAGTGTTCTTAAAGATGTAAAAATTTTATTGTAAAATTATATGTCCTGTGAAATTAAGAAAATCTTTTGATTTTAAATCGTTTGAGAATAAAAGGATTATCGATACATGTTACGAAGTCTCTGCTTATATAACTGTAAGAGAAAAACCTCGGAAAATTTCTCATAGGTTTTCAAATTGTAAAGCCGATACAATACGATGGTAGATACGCGTTGATCACATCAGATTAGCCTATAAAATGAATCAATATACACATGTCAACGATTAAGAAAATCTGCGTAGGGCTGCTGACTATCAAACCTTACATGACACTGATGACATTAATGACTCCAACAATATGACCTATTAATTTTTTAATCATTAAAAAACAAGTCAGTTATTAAATTTTACACATTTGGCTATCCATTTCAAGTATATAGGCATAGTTAAATTATTTGATAAACATGAATATGTAATAAAGCTTACCAAGATTGCCCTGAGGACATTTGCAGATCGGACAGCCTCCTTCGTCTCTGCCGGTCAATACGCAGTTCTCTTCACAAGACTGTACGCGGCACGTGAGTTTGTACTGTGAAGCTATGAAAAATTATTAATTTAAGTAACAGAGATTTCGAAGGAAACTCTTAATCAAATTTAATTAGAAATAACAATACTTTTCTCTGAATATATCTTTTGTACTTGGAAAATAATGAAATTTATTATGAAGTACACTATTTTATATAAACGACGGAACTGTTTTATGTGTAAAGTGTATGTGCATAGCTGTATACATCGTGTGGGGCGATTAAGGCACTTGCATGTGATAAAATACAAGAAATAGCGGGAAATGAAAATATAAAGGTTCAACTATTAGTATGAATTAAAGTGACACAAAATCAAGTTGGCACAATTTTCAGTGGTTCATCAAATATCCTTCCGCATTATTTGTAGTAATTAACGATTATTTAAGTAATAATTACATATGTATGATGCTCTAATTACTAAAAAGAATAGAAAATAAGATAACGAAAAAATTAAAATAATGGCATGTTATCAGATAAACTGCAGTTTTTTCTAAAGCAAAATTCAGATGAGCATTTTAACATAATGTAATAAAGGGGCAAATAAACATGGCAAATAACTTGGAGGCAGAACACAGCAGAGAACAAAACAATTCTTAAATTAAACAGAAGTTCTTTGTTCAAAGCAATATCTTTACAAAAATGTAAATGAAGTATAGAAAATTGTCAAATTATCTACTTGTATTTCATCAAGGAAGGAGAGTTAAAATTGATCAGATTAACATTTTAAATTGAAACTTGGTTTCAAGTCATGGTCAGTAGTCATGGTTCAAGTCATGGTCAGAAGCAATATTTAAGCTGCGTTTCAAGAGTTCGAAAAGAGTAGTAGCGGATTTAGTTCCGAGTTTATTCTGAGTGTTTGAATTTAGCTGTCTAGTCGGTGTTACACACCTTTCAGTTAATACTACTATATCTAATCTTGGCTTTGCTGTGTGTAGCCGATTTAAGCGGTTTAGTTAACTTAACGAGCCAGTCGTTAGCCCTTTAAATTTAGTAGAAATTCGTTACATTTTTATTTTCTGTTAAATTTGCGTTAGCCACAAGTGGTGGTGAACTGCGAGCCCCAGTTGCGAGCATCTGTTCATTTTAGTTAAAATAAAAGGTTATTTAAAACCTTCTTCAGCAGTAGTTATTCTTCAAAGACATAGCGAGTATTCGCTACTTCGTCTTCTATGGAGAGTCTACGTTGTATGCTTCCAAAAAGATTGAGACTCTATAAATAAATCAAACAGGGAAGTAATCTGAAAGTGTTGTTTATATTGACATTTTGCGCTGTAGTAAGTGCGGCCAAATTAGGAAACAAAATTTCAAAAGTATGGCAGCAATTGTTTTGTATTTTGCTTTTGTTTCCTCATATTTTTTACATTCTTAAGTTGTTTATTTGTAAATGTACTAGATGTTGCTTTGTGTGCACTATTTTATATAAATATCTAACTGCATTGAAACATACATCTATTACTTAACTATACATATAAATTCTACATACTAAAATATTTTCATAACTAAGCCACTTCTTGACGATATTAAATACATAAGTGCTTAAAGCGGAACATTCATCGAAAAATATATATTAAAAGTTATGCCATACAATGGCAGATTGTGAATTAGTAAATAAATTAAGGGGTATCAGAAATCCCTATATCGGCAGTGTTAAATTGGTCATTTTCGATGTACCTTTTCTCAACATCTGCTGTGGATACAAGCTTGAATTGTTTTCTGTAATTAAAGCATACTTATCTGATTATACTGAAATGAGCTTTTGAAGCATTTTGAATTTTAGAGTGAATTACAGAATATTTTGCTAGGCATAGTAAAATTTAGCACTTTTCTCATACAAAAAAATTTAAATTTTTTTTTCTAATTTTATTACAAAAAGTGTGTGTTGTGTGTCTAATTATTGCAAAGCCTTGAAGGCTATCTGCCTAAGGAGAGGGATGTCTTCGTGGAGGACTTTCTAAGGGAAACTGGCTCGTATACACGTTACACATGGGGAAAATTATTACAAAAAGCTCATTTCAGTAAATATTAGGAAACCTAATAAATAAGCCATAAAAATTTTAGATACCTGTGAGCAGTAGTTCCTGAGTATAAAAGGTACATCGAGTATAAAAAAATCACGTTTGGAGAAAAACACGTTTTTATGTAAAAATCCTCATTGATCAAAGCAGTAGATGACAAATTAAAATTAGATTTTCTTACATTTCTAATTTTCATAGAGATTAAAGAATGGTATTTTTAGAAAGATAAAAAGTGTAGAGAATTTGAAAATGCAAAAATCCGAAATCACAATGTTTTGAAGATTTTGGGATTCCAACACCCCTTAAGGTTTTGACTACTGAATGTGAGTTTCCAATTAGAAACTGATACAAAAGATTAAGTTAATTATTTAAAAATTCTAGAAACATATATAAAAATGAAAACAACAGATTACAAATAAAATACCAAAATTTGTTCGACATTAATCAAGCGGCAGATCTTGAGCTATCAGAAGTTCAAACTATTGAAATGAATTTTAAAAAGAGTGTGAAGAAGAGTCAAGAGGCAATCATCCATAACAAAGAAAAGAATAAACATTTATTCCAAAATACGATAAATCCCTAAAAGTAAGATTCAATTTTCAATAATACTCGAATGATGTTAAGTAATATCAGTGTTAAGTGTAAGCAATGTAAGGTTTGAGCTTGACTCATATAGTTGATGGATATCCTCCTGCAAGATTGCCTTCCATGCACGTTCCAATCAGAGATTTAAATCAAAGCTATCTAATGGCGGTTGGAAATGCCTGGTGATCAGAGCCCAAATTAATCTCTAATTTCGAGATCTCTCTCCAGTGGTTATCTCACCTGCTAAGGAAGTGTTGGAGAGTCACGAAAACAATCAGAAGAAAGGCTTTAGCATTATCTTGTTGAAATATAAGCCGAAGGGTTCCCGAAAGGAAGGGTAATATTTCGGGATGGAGAATCTTGTTGACGTACCGCCGTGCTGCGAGGATGTCAGGAATGACAATCAAAGGAGTATGGCTATCAAATAAAACAGCACTCCATACTGTAACTCCATGTTGTCGAGCTATGTGGTTTGCTCCCATCACTAGGTAAAGTAATAGAACACACAGTCCTCCAATAAATTTATCAATTCCTAAGAGTAAAAGGCCTCATGAACAAGCAACAGTATGGCTTCAGAGCTAATAAAATGCAAACAAAGATCTAGTAATTACGATAACAGTCAAGGAAACCAACAACATGCACACCATCGTCATTTCACTGTATATACATAGTGCATTTGATATGCTGTGATGACCAAATGTGCTGTATGTGCATAATGCATTTGATATGCTGTGATGACCAGATATGCTGGCCGCTCTGGCCACCAGAGCGCGTCTTAGACCGCTCACGGACATAATCAAAAGCTTCGGACAGGACACGTCCAAGTCACTACCGATGATACAGCCAAGATTACGGAAAGCCCAATGCCAACCTCTTTCCTTAAAACGAAATCGTGGTCACTATTAATGAAACAATGGCGAGGCAGTTGGACATTGGCAAAAATAGGCAGACGAACATTCAGACTGATACCAAAGTTTATCGATGAAATGATCAGTCCCTCGCCCCTTGCTACTTAAATTCTGATAAGCCATGAACCTTTAATGACATATCTTCAGAGACTCGGCCATAGTACTACAGAACTTTGTGAATGAGGAAAGGTAGTGGAGCCAGATCATTGCGTTTCTGAATGTGACCTTACAAAGAATGTCATCCGCAAAACCAGCACCATATAATTGGTCAGCATGGACTATGAACCTCGCTCGGAAGAGGATATAAATCAACGAATTAGTGAATTCTATGAACATCTGCAAGTAAAATCATTCTAATATTTCGCAGAGGTGTGAAATACCGAATGCATTGAAAACTTAAGGATTCAGTAGCACAGATCTATTTACTCGTGTTCCAAATTGGATGATTATGGAAGAATTTCAACTGCAGTCTTCTGAAAATGGCCCTGCATGTCCATGTAAAATCATTCCAATTTACATTCTGAACGGCTGATCCACCCTGAATTGCGTGCACTACTATGACTTAAAATTATGTATTCCAAATCAGCGACCGAAAAACTATTTTAGTTGTGTTGTAAATAATCGGGTTTGAATCCCGGAAAAGTAATGGATGTTCGTAAATGTATAGTGTCTGTGCGGCATGAGGCAAATATGTGGACAGCCGAAAGTGTTCTCGAGGAGTTGAGGGTAGGGAAATGGTGTGGGAGATCCTCAAACCAGCCCCCCCCGGAGTGCTCTCACTTAATATTGGGGGCGGAAGTGAGTTGTTAGTCTTGTTGTCATGTATATGGTTAAGTCATGTTATTAGTTAAGTCATGCTGTCACCTATATGGTGCTTGGAGTCGGAACCCCTATACTGACAATGATAAATTGGTCATTTTCGATGTACCTTTTCTCAAAATCTGTTCTAGACAGACGTTTGAAATTTTTTAATTAAAGTACACCTACCTGATTATAGTGAAATAAGCTTTTGAAACAGTTTGAGTTTTAGAATAATTTATAAAATTTTATATTAGGCTGTATTTAACTATATTATACAGTAAAATTTAGCACTTTTCTCACAAAAAAGAGAGGTCCTAATTTTTTTTTTAAAGTTTATCACAAAAATCTTATTTCAGTAAATATTAGGAAACTTAATAAATAAGCCATAAAAATTTGACATACCTGTGAGAGACATTGTTCCTGAGAAAAGATCCATCGAGTATAAAAAATCACATTCGGAGAAAAACGCATATTCATGTAAAAATCCTCATTGATCAAAGCGTTCGATGATAAATTAAGATTATATTTTTTACAGTTCTAATTATCATAGAGATTAAAGTATAGTATTTTTAGAAAGCTAAATGTGTAGAGTATTTGAAAATGCAAAAATCCCAAATCAGCATTTTTGAAGATTTTAGTCTTTCAACGCGCCTTTAAATATTCTTGCCAATGGCAGGTGCATTTGACTCCTTGTCATGAAGAACATCGTGGGCTAGTGCTGACCATTGCGCAGCAAGTAAGATTGGTAATAACAACATAATGCAATTTTTAAAATTTAAAAATATTTAAAATTATTTATATTATTGCAATTTAGAATCAGCAGTTGCTAACTGCACAACACTATTAGCACTGATTTTATACACATACGATTTTTGTGTTAGCATCAGAATAAATTTTACCGTCATTCTGCGCTTTGCAGTAACATAAAGGACAGCTGCTTTCATAAGAACCGATTTCTTCACATCCTTCAGGGCAAGACTGCTGGCCACATCCGAATGCTACTTTTTCACCTAAAAGTAAATATAGAAATGTTTAATGTTTATCCTTTTCTACGTAAGCAGTTCATTGAAAAGTATACGTCAACCAACGTCCAATTAGATATTTGGAGTCTTAGGCAGGGATCTCTTTAATATTAATTTAAGCTTCTTATAACATTTATTTACGTTCCTTATCATGCTTTTCAGTTAATTATTCGCCGCTAAGAGTAAATGTCTTCTTAGTTTAATTCAGATTAATATCAGAAAGTCTGGTGCAGTATGCCTCCCCTTTGTATTAGAACGTTCATTTTATTATTTAAATTTCTAAAACATATTTCATCGTTTTCGTTAATACAAAATGATTTCTTTTAAACTACTCATCTATTTCATTAATTTCCATTATTAAAATATTTTTCGGCATCGTACACGTATGGTCAGAGATAAGTGAATATAAATAGTTAATGATATCTATGGATGAAACCTGAATTGTATTTTCATGAAATAAAGCAGGCAAAAAACTGATCAGTTATCCTACTCATAACAGTTCTCGAAAAGATGATTAAAGCTAGTACAGAACGTTTCGTGAGTTTTGATATATATTCTTAAATCCTGAATGTTTTGCTTGCAATAATTTAAACATACCTTAATTAAATATACCTTTATTTAAATATAGCTTTGTTTAAATAGCTTAATTAAATATAACTTTATTTAAATATAACTTTATTTAAATATAGCTTAATTAAATTTAGCTTTATTTAAATACATTTTCCTTGTAATCATTTATTAATATTTAAATACAAAATTGTTGCAAGCAAATTAAATTTATTTAATTATTTTAAATATGTTTCAATAGAAATTATTGAATAAATTAATTTCAGAATCTTTGGAACAAATAAAAAGTTTTCTTAGATTTACATGCAATAGCTTACGATCATAATAACTTTAGAATAAAAAATTATTGTAAAAATAAGTAAGACACTTTTCTCAAAATTGTAGCTTATGTCTTATAGTCATTTAAAAGTGACGATTCTTAATCCTTAAAGAATAAAAATATATGACTGTAAGTAGTATTATTACAAATAGTTTAACTCCGTATTATTTGAAGAAAGAATAAAATATAATGGAAAAGGACACTTACATTTCGGAGTTGGTAAGCATGGTTCATTTTCACATTTCTCTTCCACTAGCATGCACCTCTCGTCAGATGGACACTGCATTTTCTAAAGTACAAAAAATGGTGTAATTTGTTATATTTAGGACGTATTAAAAGTTTGGAGAATAACGCGCTATTCAAATAAAATGAGATTGAAAAGAACTTTAAATGCCCTCAGAAAATAATGAAATTTATTAGAAAAATGATTTTGGTGCAAAATTGAATATTTCTTTTCCTTTCTTTTATTCACATTTAATAAAATTTTTATGTTTCATACTCTGAACTCTTACTTTGCATTCTTGTATAAGTTGTTGAAGAGAATTTTCTTGCTGAGTTTCGTTAACTTCTGTGTTCTTCGCATTTTCGAAATCCACTGGAAAAAAAAAAAAAAAAAAAAAAAAAGAATAAAATATAAAATATCATGTATTATATATAATTATAAAAAAAACATTTTAATAAAATAATGGTAATGTTTAAATTGCGTGATTAATAGATACATGGTTAAATACAAGTAGTTTATAACTATAATATAAAAATAATTATGATAGAATTCCAGTATTCCTCTTTCAAAGACATCTCATGAAAACATTACGAAACATTTCTTATAATTATGATTTTTATTTCTCTTTAAGTTATCATTAATTTAAAAAATTACTATTAATAATTTTTTTGAATTTTGTAGCATAAATAACATTGTATTTTCATTACTATAGCTCTATTACTCTGAAACAAAAGCAATTTACTTAATTTTTACCTTACAGAATGTAATAATATTCCTTTCATCAACACTGAGAATTTAGTTCAATAATTTAAAGATATGTTATTACAAAATAATTTTACAAAGGTTTTTATAAAAAAAAAATTGTACAAAAAACCTAATTAAAATCAAGGTAAGAATGAAATCACATATTCAAGTCAAGGAAAAAATATATATGCAATTGAAACAAGAAGAAAGCTACAGACCCTGAAGATAATGTACCGTTTTGAGCATGAAAAATAACATCACGTTGTGTCATGAAAGATATTTTAAAAGAGAAGGGACTTTTGGGAAAAGAATTGTACTCATTTTCAAAATAATTTAGAATAAATTAGTAACCGAAATCATGATAGAAAACAATGTCTTCAGGGGAATTATGAGGGGGTAGTGAATATAAATGTCTGCTTACAGAGGGTGGTGCTATTGATTTGACAAATGCATCCGGAACACTCGTTATCGGGGTTCTCGGGTTGGCACATGGGAGGGCAAGGCACGCAACGGGACTTGCAACGACAAATGTGGCACCCATCATCCTGTTTAACCAGCCAGCAGTTAGTCCCTTTGCAAATGGGATCCGGGCAAGTCTTACCTGCGATACGAACAATATATTAGAAAGAGATAGCCAAGCTGCCTCTACACCCAAATCCAAACCGGAATGTATACAACCATACAGTTTCTAATTACTTCTAAGCTCTCAGCTTAACAAAAATCTCAATAAGTGGTTCAATAAATTTAGTAGGCTTTTAGTTAGGAATTTGGCAAAGAAGGATACGGTAACAGAACAAAGAGAATCCATATGTCAAAGATGTAGTGACATATTAGATGAAGAAGGAATTTTAAATATTTCAAAGAACGAACATTCAGTACAAGATACTTTATCTTGAAAAAGGAAAAAGATAAAGGAAAAATATTTGGTAAAATTTAGGAAATCAAGTGAAAATGAATTAATTCTCTAAATGCTAACTTAAAAGAGATAAGAAGAATATTAGATATTGCTTACAAGATATTTCTTTTAGAGTTGGGACTTCTTTAACATAATTATGTCGTTAAGTGACTAACGAAACAGTGTATCTTGAACACTAGCTATATTTCTAAGCAAAAGATTTTATAATGAATCTTAAGAATTATTATATGTTAAAAAAATAGACGAGTTTGAGATTAGGTAGACTGTAGTACATGAATATGGCAGTTCAAACTGATATATTGTATAGTGATTGAAACGTTTTTCTCATTGAATTCTAAACTCACATTTTTAGTCATATTTTTACTGTTTCATTTGATTACTGGAATTACGCAAGATGCAAAGTTTCAGAAAAACTGTGAAGGATAGTAAAAAAATAGATAATAATAAAACATGGCACTAAAAGTTTTTAACAGAATACTTGATATTAAATGTTAAGTTTAAAATACTCCGTTTTGGAATTTATATGTGCAGAATAGCAACCACAGATAAGTATGATATTTATATAAAGCAGATTATCTTTTTCGTTTATTCTACTAAGCGCCAATGTTTATGTTAGCCCATTTCTCATACAGCATATTAGATAAGACCCTCCTTAAGTCATGTATTATTACAAATATTGTCCGTATCATATCAAGTTATTTTTAGAATTATTTTTCAATCATTGCTTTCATTCACAATACATGCTGGCTGGTAAACAGTATGATACTCAAACATACTTTAGAAACAATACACAAAAACAAGGTTTGAGAGTACTAAGCGAATAATTTCGAGAACTAGTTCAAAAACTTAATTGCGGCCAGTTGATATTCAACATGAAATTTGAAACAAGTATTTAATATTAAAAACAGCTATTAAAACTAAATTTATTCACGAAAATTACTCTCAATTTCATATTTTAAAATAATAATTTTTTCACATATTCGAAGATTTGCATAACAGACGTAATTTTAGCACTTACTTGTTTTTTCTTCGCACGTGTAGTCAGGGCAACATGAATTTGGTTTGTAAATAGCTCTGCAGTTCGTGTAATCGTTATTAGGAGGGGGAGGGCATGAGCTGTGTATACATGTGAAGTCAGGAGGGGTCTTGCAAGTGCAAGTAACGCAGTTTGTTGGATGCTTGATATCAAGAACGTGGCCAATAGGATAGTATCGGCTTTCGAAGAAGCACATCTCGTCTGAAAATATATTGATTAAAAAGAAAGTTAATAGGATATAAAACTGATACGATGAATAATTTATCATAACTTATGTCATGTGTAGAGACATTAGGTACATTTTGGAAGCAGGAAAGATTAAAAACTAACAAAGCCTTCGCCGGGAATCGAACCGCGGACGCCTGGACCGCCCCAGTATGCGGACCACCACACCCCGAAGGCACGCTAAGAAGGTGGGAGAAATCACTCTTTCTTTTTTACCATGAGGCCACTTCGTGGCCAAAAGGGTCTGAGTGTACCCCCAATGTATTACCGTATTACTTTATACATGATTTTAAAAATTAGGTTTCGAAAGAATTCACAGCTGTTATAATTCTTTATTTGGAATCTAACAGAAACTCAGGTTGTTTACGCTTACGTTTCGCTCTGATTTATGGCAAATACTTTAAATTTCTCTCCCTGTTTTGTTTCTTGGTTACGCATTTTCTTTCAGAATTTCATTGTGGACTGTTTGGAATGGCTTTAAGATATTCCCTGAGGATTTTAACTTAAGTTTGCCAACTTTTTTCAACTTACCGAGAAACAGATGGCGTACTTATTGATTACGGACAACTGATGAAGTATAAACATTCAAACTGACTTTCTAGCATCTTTGGAGAATACCTAACGGAGTCAAACCATCTCCCGTGAGAAATTATTTATTCTCGAGATTGATAGACTTGTTTTTTTTTTGCTTTAACAAAATCAGTTTATTGGATAATAAGACTGTATTCCCTGACTTCCTCACGAGTTACGTTTTTTTTAGTGAAATTCGATTTTTGCAGATCACAGAGAAAAGAAATGAAAAAGAATTGCACTGCTCTCTCTAGAATTTGTTTGTAAGTTTATCTGTTTTTTTAACTCTTCGCATAATGAATTTAAACAAAAGACTTCACGAAAGCAGTAATCATTCGTAAGATAACAGTGAAATTCTGGAATTCTTATTATTGGTATATGTCCTTGTGGAAGGGGGAAATGGAAGCATACTGAAAAGTACAAAAGACATAAATAATAATTATTCTACTATATATATCTTTTTGCATCGGTAATAAATAAAATGAAAACAAAAGTGTTATAAACACTAAGAAACGCAACCCATTAACTGCCATGATCCCCATTTAGGGAATTGTCTTAGTAGCGGAAATTTGGTAGCTTAAATTAGGTTGGCAACAATGGTGACGTTTTCACATTGTTGTTTAAACCTTTCTCAAGCTTTTGTTGAGTTTCTGAGTAGTAGTTGTTAAATGAGTGAGCTGGAGAGTATTATTTGTGAGAAGAGTAAAATATTTGTGAGTTTCAAGATTTCAACATTTTCAGAACACGGTGTATCATAATATTATGCACATCTTTTCCAACTCCTGTCTACTACCGTGTTTTCTAATGATTTTAGAATATATTTACTAACTATTTATTGCCAATGTGAATTTTATATTTCAGTGAGGGATACTTGAATGTCGATCCCCATTTAGGGCTCATGGCAGATTCCATCTATATTCCATTTATATTCCAATTTCCAGTCTCTATGCCAATCTAGACACCCAGAAATAAATATAAATTGAGAGAAAAAATTTGGCAGTTCATGTGTAAGGTTTATTCTTTCTCAGTTTTTAACAGCTATCTTTAGTTAAAGCTACTTTCCTGTAGTTAAAGCTACTTTCCTAATTTCAGCTTACAATTTCTTACCAAAATGTGTTTTTAGAATCGCGGTTAATGCAAATGTGTGAGAGCAGTATTTAAGTCGAAGTTCCACTGACTTCGTTAGAGAGATATAGTTTCTGACTAGTGCGCGTTCGCCTTTTGGCTACACTCATCTCTTAGCTATTACTACTCTTGGCCGTATCTCAGGTCCTTGATAGCTTCGCCAGCTTAATTGATATTTAGGAACAACTGCTTAGAAATATTGATAGCTTCGACTATATCTCTTTAGTTAAGCATTAGTTAAGATTTATTTCTTATTGAATTCAACCCAAGTGGAGGCTTTGCTGTAAGCTCTGAGAAAGGAGCCAACTGTGAAGTTCTTATTTTCAGAAATAAAGTTTAATTAATTAACTCTTCTTGAGTTTTACGTTTCTGTTTCTGAACTAAAGCGATTATTCGCCACGAGGTTCCTACACACTTAGCTGTTAGATAAAATGTTGGAACCCCACAAATGGATAAATATAAACTGGATAGCGTAGACATGATGGTTGCATAACTTAATTTATTTTTCAATTGTACTTATTGCTTTTTTAAATATTTCTAAAATAAGAAATCCATTTTCAGATGTATTTCAAACAGGCACCAGTAAAGCGATGCAATACTATAGTATCCAATTTTCTGAACATATAAGGATAAATCAAATATTCTTAGAATAAACAATGAGTAGAGTTACTTCACTCAAAGAATCATCTTTCACACTCACGATAGACAAAAATGATTGTTTCGGGAATATTTCTCAGCAGTGCTAATGTTTGTTTTGAACTTCGCCTTTACTCCTAACTTTTTCCAAACAAAGTTTGTGAAAGTATAAAAGAAACTTAGACTAAAAGGCGACTTCGGGAAAGAAATAAAAATCTTTGCAGAGAAAAAGAACAGCTTTAAACTCTGTTTTAAATTATTTTAGTTGCTGTTCATTTTTTTTTCACTATGTTCACTTTGTCTAAAAGAGATTTAATTTAATACCCCAAAGAAGTGTTGTATTGTTTCAGTTTTAGAAATAAAACCCTGTCTAAAGAAAGGTATAAAACAAGTATGGGGAATTAAACTAAGCATATTTTTTAAAATCTTTTATGCATTTTTTTCATGCTATAAAAATACATTGCTCAACCGAATAAGAAACTAAATAACTTGAAAGTTATTTTGCCTACACTTCTTAATAACATTTTGTGGACAGTATTTTATACCATTAGTAAACTAAATAAAATGCCTTTCCAATATTCTTAGAGATCGACTCAGAAGTGAACAATATATTGATTGCAAAAATTTCTCCCTCACGTTTTTCCCTATATTTTCGTTTGCGTTTAAGATGAAACCCAATGATCATAATGCAGTTTCGTAATAACGTACAAAATTTTTATGCAAAGAGTGATGCAACTTTTTTAAAGTCAAAACTTTCTGCTCACATCACTTACATTCAAGAAAGAAATGCGGAAATAAATTATTAAATTTTAAGAATTTAAACTATTTTAATTCATTTTTGATGTTATACAGCAATAATCATTTAATTATATAGAGTGGTTATAATTAAAGTGATCCTATTCAGATCCTTGTAGAACTCGTTCTGCCTATCGGAGTTTGATAAAACTTGCTATATACGTTATATGGACTACGGGGAAAAGATTTCTGCAATAATAATATAGTTCAAACTTTGGCCAGTGGATGGCGATTTTCAAAAATTCCTTATGCAAATTAGTGAAACCTTTAAAGATACTTGCACTCAGAGCCAGAAAATCATTCTGGGACCTCTCGAGGGTTACTTAGCGCTGCCTTTGAACACACTATAATGCGCTTTCAATACGCATTTGATGTCAATGGAGCAGACACTGAGAACATTCTGTAACTGAATAAATTTTAATGATGCTGATAGATTTTTTGTCCTCCTTTAGGCAATACAATTCCCCCTGGTGTTTAAAATTTGAATTATTTTTATTGTAGAAATCATTTCCCCATGGTCCATATAACATATATAACAAATTTCATCAAAATTCAATAAGTTGTAGAGATATAAAGATTTTTTGGAAGCAGGAGAGATGAAAAATGAGCAATACCCTCACCGGAACTCGAACCACAGACTTCTCGAACACGCGCCTGACCACTACATCACGAATGCATGCTAAAAAGGCGGGAGAAATACCTTATCTACATCCCCTTTTAAAGGGCAACTGGGAATTAGGAAATTCAATATCCAAATCATGGTGATGAAGAATCATTATTTATCACCTTTTTTAGTTCTGGCGCCACTGTAGAGACAGGTTATTTCGAAGCAAGAGATGTGAAAAATGAACAATTCCCTCGCCGGGACTCGAACCGTGGACCTCTCGAATACGCACCAAACGTCCTGACTACTACTCGACGAAGGCATGCTAAGAAGGCGGGTAAAATACCTTTTAAAGTAGAACAGATTCTGGCGGAGTCTGAATAGGGTCACTTTTATTATAACCACCCTGTACGAGCGGAACACAGTAGACAACGGCCTTATTTTAAAATAACAAAGAAATATTTGCATATTTTTTAATTAAAAGGATATGAATATAAAGTTTTTAGCAATAATTCTTCGAGGACATAGTTTTCAGACTGAAAGTTGTTTTTGCTGTCTATTTTACTTTAAGATTTCTTTTTGAATATCACATTTGCAATCTAAAATAATGGAAACAATATTACAATATGATTTCAACTACTGCAAACCAACTGAAACTTCTTAGAAATTTATTACATAGCTAAATAATCCACGCTTAAGTTAGGATCATTTCTAGACAGAATGGGATAGACTGAATATTTGTTAACAAATAAAATTATTTAAGGAGTGTAACCTTTGTTGTTCACGTAGTAAAATAATAATTTAGAGCTTATTTTCTTGAAAGGTATGATTTCATGGTCGAATTTCCTGGAAAAATGGAATATATTCGCACTGAGGTTGGGAACTGCTTCCAAATCTTCTATGCAGATAGACGATTCCGGCTTCGGTAAGCGAGCCAGTGGCAAAATTCCTGGAAGCTCATATGCGAGGGGCTTATTCCAGAACTGCTGCGGCTTTAACTATTCGAGCGCTATGGTACATGCCTTATATTCGAAGGTATTAACTTTAGATTATTGATCAAATATCGTACCCGCAATGCATACTTATTTTCAGGTAGAGTTTTCTATTTTCATTCAAATTACAATGAGCTATATTGACCATCGTTATTGTTGACGGTATCGGAATGGAATGAGTCACGCGTTATTATCCATTAAGATTTATTAATCTTAGAAATAAATCCGATGCGCAAAAATGTAATGATGACCAGCACATACCTTATTTTGTTATATGTATGTACATGCAAAATAAAGTAATACATTTAAGATATAACAACATACGATGGCTGCTTTAAGAATAATTGGCGAACTATTCTAGATTTGGTGTTCTCCCTCTTAAATTCATCTGTTCTCCCAAATTCGAGATCCTTCCATGTTACATAACAACTAAAATTGACCAAACACAGATTAGTTGTACTTATGCATCAGACTTAGCATAAATACTCTTGGCTATTCTTCCCTTCCCTAACTTCTGCTCTGCCAATATCGCACTGCTTTGCTTAAATGCTTGCTCCTTACTTTTAAAACCAGTGTATATAAAAATTATCGTATTTCATAATGCCTGGATAAATGTCTTCTAAGATGGTTTTAATGCGTGACAATACAGATTGTGATACTTCAAATTCCGTTGTGTTAACTGCGTCATCATAGCTTTTACCTTCAGCCACTACTGTCTTCTCAGCCATATCGAAAGCTTTATATATATATATGTACCAATAGCATGTTTATGAAAATATTTCTTATGAAAATATTTTGAATATATTCCTTAAAAATAATTTTTTCTAACTTACTGAACTAGAAAACTCACTTGCACTAATTATCAACAACAAGAGTGATTAAAATGGATTTATCGAACTTTCTAATTATTTATTTAATTAATAATCAATTTTAAATATCAGTAGAAGTTTTAGCCTTTGTGAAAGAATGCAGCTAAATTTATAAATAAAATAGTAAATACACATTTTAAATATACACGTTTAAGAGCATTCATATAATCGATAATACATCTAGAAAATTTCTAAGCATGAATAGTTTTAAAATATTTTGGAAATATTAAAAAAAATTAATTATGGAGAACTTAATTTACATTGGAAAGCTCAACATTATGTTGTAATTCTTTTGCAGTTTCAGAACTGCTAAACGTTTTGATTTACCAATTGTTGAAAACTGTCATACATCACACTATAAATATGAATATTAATCAAAAGTAGAAAATGAGTAATAATGCAAATTCTTCATATTGAATATTTCCATTATTTTATAAAATTATTTATATATTTATATAAAAAATATGTGATTATGTGATTGTTTTAAAGAAGCAACTATTTGCTCTTTAATGTTATTTTATGTAAGTAATATTTTGCATGCTTTTCTTTATTCAGATTTTGTTTTTAATTTGATACGGCTTGTTTCATATTAATTAGTTAGTTTTACTGCATACGAAGCATAATAGCATACGTTTCATTTAAGCTCGTTTCAGTTTATTTTTATATTAACTTTAAGATGTACATATATTATATGTCAATTACCATAGATCACAAGTTACATGTTACTGATAACAGCATAGCCGTCAAATATTACAACTGTCATCAACTACTTGTTGGAGGCACTTTTTTATGGAAACTGATTCCTATTCGAGTTAAAACCCGAAACATTTTAAGTTTATTTTGTGTACATAGAACGTTAAGAAATGTATCACACCAGTAAATTTTATACATTTTCTCAAACATTTTCTTCTTTATAAATAAGTTACAGTAATCAGGTTCAATTATCTTCCAAAATCACAAACATATATGAGTAAGGAAGTAATGCTTATATGTGTTTCTGGATTTTTTATACTGTTTAAATTGCTTCCCATCCATACACAAACACACAGATAATATAACATATTTATAATTTGAGAAATATTCTAAAATTGTGATATGAAGTAACATAGAAGTACATGCTTTTTACTTATGCAAACTTGCTTCAGCTTTCAAAGAAGCTAAAATCAGCAACTATGAATAATAGTATGCAAATCTGATAACTCTTGTAGTCATATAATAATTTATAAAGACATCATCATTAATGAAATTTTAAGATATTCAAGAATGATAAATAATTATTATGTAAATTCCAAAGTATAAGTGACTTATCTATATTTTTGTTGGAAGCAAAGGAAACAAGGAGGTAAATGCAGCAGAAACACGGGCTAAAATTTAAAATGGAGTTATATTTTCTTTCTTTTCGGCTAAATTTTCATATTAGTTAAATCTACGTCATTCATTTTAATGAATTTTCTACAACCTAGATTATGAACAAAATTTAGCGGTTACAATTAGGACACTCAATGTAGTATAGCGAAGAATTACTTAGATATTACGTTCAAAGTTTCTTTAATTAACATTCTTAATAACACGTCTAATCGTTCGGAAAAGAAATGTAAAATTGATGGCTGAAATTCGAAATAATTCCCTTCTATATATTACGCTCTGAAGTTTAAATCTATATTCATTTTTAAAAAATAGTAACAGCATATTCGATGTTATATTATTGCACTTGTAGATGCTAATGTCTCTCACAATTTCGACCTTTTTAGAAAATTCTTAACGGATGACACTTTTTCCTGAGGTAAATAGGTTTCAGGTTATGCATTTCCAATGTTATTTTCCAAAGCATTAATTACAAGCAGATAAAGAAATCTCATATTGTGTAAATTAATTCTGCTCAAGTTTATCATAATTATTCTGTTCAAGAGAATAAATAATTAACAACAGGAATCGGCATTATGTTACATCGATTCCTTTTGCTTATCACGTATTAAAGGCAGAACGTAAAGATCACTGAACACTTTTAGTTCGATCCAGGTTCAAATCTTGACGAATGGGCTGACTGCTAAATGTTTTAGTTTTCCCATGCGTAATGCGAATACTAGCCACTTAACCTTCAAACGTCCTTTGCGGATGCATTTCTTGCCATTGACAGATAGCCCTAGGATTGTTAACTAACCTAACTTAACCTCTTCTTATTAGAAGTTTCTTTAACATTTAAGAGCCCACCAGCAGCCAAGCGGTAAACTCGCTAAACCCAGGTAGTTCGGCCCGGGGCTCAAATCCCGGCGAACAGGCTAGCTGAATGATCATTTTCATGGTTTTCTCCATGTGTAACATGTATAAGAGTCAGTTTCCCTTAGAAAGTCCTCCTCGAAGGCATATCTTCCCTTAGAAAATAGTCCTCGAGTGCTTTACCATAATTAAATAATGCCATAAATAAACTAAGCTAAATCTTTAACACTTAGTTCTGATGCGTATTTTTTGTTACATCTAATAAAGTAAAAATTTAAAATTAAATTATTTCTTATTTATTTTTCAGCTGACTTTTTAAAAACGCATTAATTCCAAAAGGAGTTATATCAATAATTTTTCCCTACAGTGTTTATATTGACAAATATTTATCGAAGACCAAGCTGTGTAATTTTGTGCTGCTCATACAAATTTTGTCTAAAAATATGCATTGCATATAGTTGGCATATTTAAAAAGTTGGCACTTGAGATTATTTCGAAACTATGTATCACATAAACTCAATTTTAGCATATGTTCATTTGCCTAATTAAATTCTTTAAGGTATGAATTACAGAAAACATTTTAATTAAACTGGCTAATATGATCCTTAAATAATAACAATTTCAAAATACACATTCAAATCTAAATTTATAATATTAGGTTTCTAATATTTGCAACTGCAATAGTTTCAATAACCTGCACCCTTTACTATCAAATTAAAGTTAATAATGATTTCAAAACCTATTCGCGATCAGTTGGAAGATGATAAATAAAGCATATAATTAATAGGAAAATAATGGGAATAGCTGACTGACAAACAATGTAATTGTTTATTAAGATCTTTACATTCTAGTTTGTAAGATGGTAAAGTATACTTATAATATTTTCTACGTTATAAGACATTACCTTGTTTTCTGCATTATAAGATGGTAAAATATACCTACATTTATGAACTCTGTACGTTTGGCAAAAAGTGTGTGTGTGATTATGGCAAAGCCTCGAGGGCTATCTGCCTAAAGGGAGGGATGCCTTTCGTGGAGGACTTTCTAAGGGAAACTGGCTCGTATACACGTTACACATGGGAAAAACCACGAAAACGCCCATGCAGCCAGCCCGTTTGCGGGATTCGAACCTCGGACCGAACTACCAGTGTTCAGCAACTTTACCGCTCGGCCGCTGGTGGGCCCCGTTTAGCAAAAAGAGTCTGTCGCCAAATGTAATTTTAATGTTCTGCAAATGCTATTTCTCCATACTGATACTACCACACATAGTCCAACTCTTATGTATCAAATATTTATTTCATTACAATGAACTAAATTTTTTCTAATCGTTAATCTCTTATGTTGTTAAAATTAGGATATTTAAAAAACCGTTTTTCCTTTGCATTTGTTACTTTATATAAAGTCTTTTGTTTAAGTAATGTTTGTAGAAAATGGAGATGGTACTGCAATTAAGAAATCAGAATAAAATCTTCGCATTGCAATACGTATACATTTATATCTTTAGAGCATTTTTAAGGTATAAATTAAAATAAATTGAGTGGGTAATACCCTATTGTCTCTGCTGTTTATACTTGAGAGGATAAAACTATATAACTCCGATGTTATTTGATAATTCCCCAAACTCCGACCATATTGTTAAGTAACATCTTTAACATATAAATCTTTTTTTTTTTAAGCACATTGTTACAACTATTAAATTAAATTACTATTTAAAAAATATACAGGCTACATTTGAATGCTCGAAGAGGTTAGATAAAACTTACAATGGACAGAGAGTTAGATATGAAGCTGTATATTTGTTTATTTATTGAAAGCAAGCCATGGGAAACAATAATTATCATTCAACAATAGAAAGTAAAAAAATCGACCAAAACGACGTCTTTTTTACCTACCTTCATCGTCATCCGATTTAAAACTTGGCCCGCGATTTCCTTTGAAGTCAAAATCATCATCGGCTGAAAATTATAAAGGAAATCAGTAAGTGATAAAATAAATGGAACAAAGGAAGAATAATTACACAATATTTAAAACAAATTTCTCTACTAATAATAAAACAAGTTTAATTGAAACACTAAAACGAAGTAAGTTCAGTTAGTAACAAGAAGTCCTGAAGCATGGTTAAAGCATTTTAATTATTATTATTATTACTGTTGTTATTATTGTTATTATTGTTATTATTATTATTAGCAGTAGTCAGAAGGGGCAATTTGCCCTGAAGGAATATTAATTTCGTTTCGGCATTTTGCGTTGAAAACTTTAAAAGGTTGTATCACTTTTCAAATAGTTACCACCATATATTATCGCCCTGTCTTATATTTAAAGAAACTAAATAATGAAAAATCTGCATAAATGTATGTATGTTTCTCGCATTCTGATAAAACAACGGTACCTAGAGCCATCAAAATTTGAATAACGTAATCTTCTTAAGAATATGAGAATGTGGAAGCCCTAATTTGAATTTGAAATTTGTTTTACTATCGATTTAAGATTTTCAAACACTTCAGTGAATTTTTCATTAAAAAACTAAACGATTTCAAAGCGGGTAATGGCAACCCTGTACGAAAAAAAAGAAAAAAAAAAAAAAAAAAACATTTTTATCTCCTGCGCGCGAGACTCTGTTTCGGAAATTCTAAAGATATGCTCATTTTAAAATTAATTTTCGATATTATTCTTGAACTGAATTTTATTGCTTGAGTACGTAAAATATGATATTTAATAAATAAGAGTAACACACAAAACGTTAGAAAAACGCCTGTTTGGACGTAATTTAAAATATGATACATTTAGATTTATTTAATATTTAATATCGAATCTTATAAATTGGGAAATGAAAAATGTTTTGTTAAAGAATAACTCTTCTTGCTAGATGGGTAAAGTAAACCCCGAATTGGAAATAGACAATCTTTCTCTCATTATTTGCCTTTTCATAAAATAATAAGCTGAGAGCAATTTTGTAATCAATGACACGCACGCTCACCGCAATGATAATCGATGGGGCAGCATGTCTTCTCGTGATATATGGGAATACATCCTTGCTTCAACTTCCTCGAATCTCTCTCCAGCATGCAATCGTGTTGCCTGCAACTTGTGCTATTGATCCCCGTCCAGTTTTGGTTGCATAAACATATTAAGCACGGATCTTCGTCGGGGTAAATCTGTTCACCTTCATAATACATTTTACTCTTGTACTCGCAGGTAGGAACTGTAAAATAGTGAAAGGTGACATCGATGATTAAGTAGTTCACACGCATATGAATGTTTGTATTAAAATCTGATATACACATAATTGTAAATTAGTTATGCTAACGTTACGGGTACTGAAGCAATACAGTTCTAAACATGGCTTCAAATTTTAAATATCATGAAATGCAAATTTTGTTTTTATAACTAACTAGCTGTATGTACTAATGTAGCTGCTATTTAACAAGCAGATGAAACGATATTTAATAAAAGGACTGGCTTTATGACTAGGTTAATGAATTCTGCCGGGAGCCATTCAAAAGAATTACTCTTTGGAAGCTCAAGACTTTTATTCTACTATGTTTTAGACAAAAAAAAAAAAAAAAAAAACTTCAGCTCAGGCTTACTAAACGAATTCGAACTGAAGTCCCCCTAGTACCTAAGACCGAAACTGTTTATACAGTAACAAAAATGTTACATGCGGTGATAAAGAAAATTCCGTTGGATAACGGAAAATGGCACTGGCGGCATATACTGTTTCCCAGTGTAAGGGCTGCGAATGAGCCAAGGCTTTAATAAAACATTCTACTATCAGGATTTTGAGAAACATATGTGGTATTCGCATGATGACGTTTTGGTTACCATACACTTCCAAATCAAGTTGACCTTGGGCTACCCTTTATTAAAGATTTAAAAGAATGTAACAGGTATTACGCTGCATCCCAGTGAATACTTCAGATATCTCGTCGTATGAAATTGAGCGATTTTAAAATGCAACGAAACTTCTTAACTTAAAGTTCTCACTCTAGCGAGCAAGAATTCATTTCTTCGTGATACGAACAGGGCCTGAAGCAGAAACAGAATGCTGTCAAAAGTCAAAGATATCTTGTACGCAACTGAGATCTCTGGAGGGAAGAATTCAACCCAAAAGAATCTTTTAAAGAAAGACGATTCCGATTGAATGTTGCTTTAAAGAGGGCTCTTTCAAACCCTTTCATTTTGCAGATGATGGCCTACGATCAGCAAAGCAGTTTTAAACAGATTTATCAGTGGGAAAACTGTCTTAAAATTGATGCCAATGTCTTCCAAAATGAGATGAACTTGTCAAATTGTAAGCTCTCAAACGGAAATGTTTCGATTAGCACACATGTAAAATAATTATTGAGGTTAACGAAATGTTCCATTGCAACCTCACAGGCAAGCGGAGTTAATAAAATTTTAAAGCGCACCCAAATTTTAGAAAAGAATTATTACAATGAATGTTATAATAAATTACATAAACATTCTAATCATTACTTACTTTTGTATTCATTATCCTTCTGAGCCGCAGCTGTAAAATGAAAACATTATATAAATAAATTAATTAATTATAAATATTTTAATTATTAAAATATTTTTTATGGAAAATCCTTCTTGAAGCAAAATAAAGCAAAAAATTCAAAAGCAAAGAATTCAAAATTCTGAAATCCTTCTTGAAGTAGTATGAAATATTTCAGTGCTGCCATCTTTCAGGAAAAAGAATAACTAAATGTTACTCTATCATTTTCTCAGAAGTTTACGCGCTGCAATTTAAGTTTGATTGCAGTTAGTTAAGTATAAATTAGTTACTTACTTTTCTAAATCATAGAAGCATATCTTGCATTTATTTTTGAAGATTATGAAGCTGAATTTGAGAGTTAATATTTATTTCATAACAAACATGTATGATTACTTTTTATGAAACTTCTAGTGTTAAAAGTAATGTACATAAGCATGGAGATTATTTGTTTATGATTTTTATACACAGGGAAATTACACCCTGATATGCGTATAAAAATAAAATTTTTAATTGGATAAGGAATTAAATAAAGTACTCTTAAAACTTACGACATTCTACTCTAGTAGGACAGCATTCGTTTTCTTTGTAGACATAATGACAGCCTTCTGGTAAAGGCGTCTGTGAATAAACAGAAGGACACTCTGTAGTTGTACAAGATATGGTAGCAGCCTGCGTGAAGTAATCTGTGACGCAAGAACATGATTCGCATGGATTACTTGTTTCTATTTTCTTTCCCACAGGATAGACATGTTTTTTGTACACACAGACTGAAAATAAATATAAAAACAGATATTGATCAAATTCCTTAAAAATAAATTTAAAAAAATATACACCTCATAAAATCACTATTAAATTTGCACAAGTTTACAAATGAGGTCTACAACTGTAGAAATAAGACGATTAAACTCTACATATCGAAATTTTTAAAAGGATAACATCCGTTTAAAAATAGGTAAAAAATAGGCAAAGTATTTAAATTAATATAAAAATAGGCAAAACAACTTAAAATTAGAGAAAATCGGTTGCCTTAGTTTTTGATAAAATTCTCTTGATTTCGAGCGTATTTCGATTATTCTGCATGAGTAAACGTGTTAGGCGAGATAAAGCCGAAATTTTTCTAAATACACGAATTCTTAAACAATTGTGAATTATTGCTGAAAGTACAAGTGACAAACTTGTATGCTTTAATTCTTTAAATTAAAATATTTGATGTGGAAACCACAGGATTTCCTTCAATTGCCTACGCACATTTTTCTCTGCATTTCATTTACACTTATTTCCTCGAATTTCATTACAGATATATTTCTCATTCGATTAATTCAGTTCTCACTTCGCGACAAGGCAAAAATACATAAAAACTCAATCCTCATTACAAACTGTAAAACCAGAAAAACCTTTAAAAAAAAAAAAAAAAAAAAAAAAAAAAATAAAAAAAAACAAAAAAAAAAAAAAAAAAAAAAAAAAAAAAAAAAAAAAAGAAAACAAAAAAAAAAAAAAAAAAAAAAAAAAAAAAAAACAAAAAAAAAAAAAAAAAAAAAACAAAAAAAACAAAAAAAAAAAAAAAACAAAAAAAAAAAAAAAAAAAAAAAAAAAAAAAAAAAAAAAAAAAAAAAAAAAAAAAAAAAGAAAAAAAAAAAAAAAAAAAAAAAAAAAAAAACAAAAAAAAAAAAAAAAAAAAAAAAAAAAAAAAAAAAAAAAATAAAAAAAAAAAAAAAAAAAAAAAAAAAAAAAAAAAAAAAAAAACAAAAAAAAAAAAAAAAAAAAAAAAAAAAAAAAAAAAATAGAGAACAAAACAATTAAAAACTATATTTTTACAAATGAATTAAATTCTATGCGAAAGCCAGCGAGCAGAGGTACACAAAACTGAAAGGCAACTTTTGGTCCTACTGGGAAAAAAGACACTGAAGTTGGTGCACCAGCTGACTTAATTGACTATTCTACTAAGAGTTTTAAATTTAAACAAATGGCGGCTTCGTTAGGCTTAGCGCCACTTAAACATTTATATTGTTTATAACTTTACAAATATTGCATGCAGATTAACCAAAGGCATAAAAATCTTAAACGGAACATAAAAACAACATAATTCAACCACTTTTAAATCAGAAAATACACAATATATCAACATAAAAAAATAAAAATACTGAGCTCACCGAGCCAGGCAACAGAGTGGCAAGTTTATACATGTTTGGTGCAGTCGATTGCAATGAAAAATGCAGGTGTACAAACAAGCAGCCCCATATACAAAATTTTAACATTCTATGACTACTCGGTTTTGAGTTATGCAAGATACATGTATGCGTGATGTACAAACGTCACCAAAAAATTCTCTTCCGAATCTATTTTACAATCCGTTTTAGAAAGAAGAACTCTTTATTCTGTACGTAAGTACAGATATCAGACATCGTTCAAATCGATTCGAGAGTGGTCACAATGGATATTTTTGTTGAAATATTATGCCCGAAATTTTTCACTCTTACGATACTTTCTTTACTTCGCAGAAGGAAATAAAATCAATAAACTGAATTCTGAAAATTTTCGAAATACAACAAAACCACGATGAGTTTACCATTAAATATTCAAAACTCAAAATATTATTTCAAACTCAAAAAAAGTATAAATTTTGAATAGTTTTGATTTTTATATTTTCTTGAAATTCAAATAATTTCAGAAAAATTGTAATCCGATCTTAATATGCTGATTGCAGTTTAACGGCCTAAACAGTTTTCAAGCAAGCAGTCACGCGGCTAATCTACTATTTTAAGAACGAATCTTCCACAAATCCACACTTTTAAACGAGCTGTAAAAAACAATACTACAAATGACAGTTAAGAAATCTTGCTGTGAGAGTATTTCATTACCAGTTATTACTACATTAAGAATTTCTAATGAATAAATTTAAAGATATATTTCTTGGGTTATTTCTTTCAGTAAAACTAAAAAATGTATATACAAGTATAATATAAAAAAAAGTCTTATTTAATAAATTGATCAGTAGCAAGTTTTATTTTTCATAAGCAAAGAGAACATACATAAATGCAAGAGTATTTATTAAGCTTATATTTCACCATTAAAACGCGCATATCTTAGTCTCTGGGCTCTTAAATGTTAACCCTGATCAATACAATTACTGCAAATGGCTTATATCTTAAACATAGGTATTTTCATTTAGGGGAATAAATTATAATATAATTTTGTTTAGGTATACCTCTATCGTCGGCATGTATTTCGTCGGCCTGTGAGCAGTCAAACCTCCAGGGACATGTGCAGGATGGTTTTCCGCTTAATGGTTTCTCTTCGTAAACAGGCCGACAACCCTTAGCTTCATAATGCTTCAAATACCGCCATTCGCAGTCGCACTGGGGATCTTTAGACAATTGTTGCACCGGATTTTGTGTTCCGTAATCTGAAAAAAAAAAAAAAAAAAAAAAAAAAAAAAAAAATGATTATGAACTACCGAGACGTATTCATCCACATAAAGACGAGTTTAGCATGTTCTGATTCAGCTAAGATGAGATTGCCTCTGTATTTGCTTGGGAAACGTTTTCAGGAATACTCATAAATTTTAATTCTCTTCTAGTGCTTTAAAAGGTGTTCCATGACATTTTTTTAATATTCAAAATCTACGTTTTAACAAAATAAACAGCCTGTCTACAGACATTATATGCCTGTAGTTACGAAAAGAGAAAAACAGTAAGCAGTATAATCGAGAATTTGTATTCTGCATACCGTTCAATAACATTGCACGCATCGTTTTACACATTAATGTGTCAGAAGTCAAGAAGATTATTAGATTTAAAGATTTTGGAAATATACATTTAAAATATATACACCATACGTGCGCTTAATAACTCTAAATTGATTTCATAATTTCAGGTTATGAATTAGATAACTAATTACTTAAGTTTTTGATTTCTTTCAATGCAAAATAAACAAATGAAAATAGTGTAAAAAAAGGCACATGCAGTACCATGTATAGTTATTAACTGAGCAAATAAAACTCCCCAGGGTAACTATGCCGTTTTATACGGTTGATAGTTTCAGGATTATACTCAAAGTAAAGAAGTTTTTAATATTTGAATTTGGCTTTAAAGAATAATTACTTTCCGTGAAACACTTTGGCATGAAACACATTTAATGCATGCAAGAGCTAGGAATTGCTGCCTTATATTCATTTATGTCAACATTGTTAGCTATAAAATAAGACAATTAGCAAGTTAGCAATAAAGTAAGACACGCAGTTAATAGTTAAAGATATGATGCCACTCCCTCCTGAACCGCGCGTTTCTATGTCAATAGCCACGTTCTAGTCTGTTTTAAAAACTCCCCAACTGTCAATAGAAGCCTTAATGAAACCTTCGGAATTCTAGTGTTGATGAATCAGTCCAAAGACGGATCTCTCATCTATACTTACAAACGTAAGTTTGAAACTGAGATTTTTGATATGAAACATAGTCCATGTGCAATTAATATCAATAATTGCTTGTCAGTCTGCTGAAAAGTTTAATTCTCAAGGATCTCTACTTTTTTTGAAAAGTTTATTGAAAAGAACTCCACGAAGATAATTGCAGAATTTACGTGTCTGGTACGGAAAGAAGTTTCTGTGGACTACAGTCAACTGAATTATGGGAACAAAAGGATTATTGCCTAGAACTGAAGACCTTCTGCATACATTGGCTAAAATTTAATTGTTTCCCTCCTAGATTTGATACTAGATTGTTAGTAAATAAAAAGTGATACCAAGACGATGTTAAGCAGCATAAAAATTATGGGAATTCAAAACTTCGCTTAGTTTTCGATTTGTGCCATTTAAACCACATTCCAGTTTCTAAAGGGAAATGTTCTACGAGAACTGAATGCAAAGTATGCAGCGCATATAAAAATAATGTAATAATGAAGCTTAATTGTCATTGCATTTTCTCCCGTGAAGAGCACTTGTTGTTGAACTAATGAGATACTGAGAAGACCGTGGTAATTCGCGGCTATAATATTTTTTAAGATGCTGATCAATAAAGAAGATTTCTAACTATTGAACTAAAAAACTTAAGTTTTGTCAAAGATAATCAAATATCTAAATCAACAGACATAAAGAAAAAAATGAATATAGGTTTCAAATTTCTGCTGATAAGAGATCTTTTCATCCATTTCGGTCAGAATATTATGTTCATACCGAACTCCTTCTCAAGCAGAGTTCAGTGCAAGGTGGAAAGATTTAAATGGGCTATCTGATGCCAAATTGCTTTGTTTACATATATGTCAGAGTCACAAGACTATAATAAAAAACTGCAGGTTTCACTACTAGTGTACAAGACAGTATTCGAAGAATTCATATTTCGAAATCATTTGCAATTTCACAAATAAATTCAAGCCAAAATCATCTTTATCATCTGTACGGCATCTTTATCATCTTAGAACAATCACTACTATATGTGATATCTATGCTACAATCTATAATAACTGAAAGAGCGTTTTAGAGTATCGTTAGCATATTTATAATTAACGGAAACTTAAAAAAATATTTACATATATATATGTACGTTTTGAATGACATAGTTTACACAATTTTTTCAACTTTGCTGATGATTATAACTGACAGATATTATACATAGATTGTAGAATTGATTACAGTTAAGTAAATAAGCACTGGCTTATTTATTCCTATTCACTTAATTGCGATAAATAAAAATATTTTCTTCAGAAAATATTTTTGCAAACTGCAGTAGTTACATTTGTAAAGATTCTTAAAAACGGCGAAATATCAAAGTCAAATAAAATCCTTTTGTTTCATTGTCATTGAAATACACGGGATCATTCAAATGCAGTAATACAAACATTTTCTGTATTTTTCTGAGAAAATGAATACAGGAAATGACAAGGTTATTTGGACGCAAATTTGCTTCGCCAAAAAATGTGGAACTTACGTGATTTCGAGTATTAAAATAAACATTCACGTCAAATAAAGCGTTGTTAAGAGTTTTGGTCGCATTCATTCCGTGTTAGTTCATCATTAGAATTTTCTTCTAGTTCCTCGCATTCCATTTTCATTAATTGGAATGTTTGATGCCAGATTTGTCGTAATGTTCTTAGGATGAATTTCTGTTTTCTATGATGCCGAATTTTATTCTAAGGTTTCACAAACAATAAAGAAACATGACCTTATTCTGTACATTTTTAGCAACACATTTCTGTAGGAATAATTTTACATTTTGATAAAATCTTAATTACCCACTGAAACTACACGATTACTCAGGACGGTTGACTTTTCAAATCAGCATAATTCGGTACGCGTTTAACGTAAGTGAACTTGATATATTCCAAATTAAAAACGAAATTGCTTATCTTAGAATGTTATCAAAATTGATGTAGAATATTATTTTATTTATTAATATATGCGTTTTGTTTCGTACAGTCGCAGTGGACCCAATAGGCTTTTTTTCTTCAGCTAGTCTTCTTAAATCATCGAACTTAAGAAAAGGGAATTTTCGCCTTTATGGTGTAAACGATAAACATGTAGAATTCTTGCCATCTTTGTTCACGCCATTGTTGTTTTGTTGAGATTATGCCCCTTCTTTTGTTAAGATTATATTGAAAATTATAATGAAAAAGTATTATTATTAAAATTACATTGAAAAATTAAGATTATACTGAAATAAATAGATGTGGCAAATGTTTGAATTGATTTAGACATTTTTTGTTTGAACAAAGAAAGTCACATAGTAAAAAGGAGACAATTTCTCTTTCATAATCATGTATAAAAAATCATTTTACATTTGTAAATTTCAAGATAAAAGCTAGAAGAAATTTGTCGAAATTAAACATAATACGCAGTAAAAATAAATTGTACACTTAAAATTAATTCGTTCAAGTTTAGACAAATTATTAACAGAAAGCCTTTTTCTTCTTGCATATGTGGTGCAACAATAAATTTATCTAAAAAAAAAAAAAAAAAAAAACCTCCCCCTTTTTAATTATGATTGAAAGAAATTTATGTATTTGATAATATGATGCAATAGAAAGACTTAGTTACATGCACAGCATGCAGAAACAAGTAAATAAAGCACACGTATTGCACTGATGCGACAAAGACAGACAACCTCTTAAACTAAGGCGAATTCATGAAGCAAAATTCAGATAACCACGCACACTGGGAAATGAAGTTGCAAAGAGACATATTTGCGAAAGGGGTACATAATAAAAGGCGTGGTTGCATGCCTACAGATTGATGATTATACCGCATTCCCATCCTATGGGACAACAGTCTCTGTCTGCGTAGATCGGTGTACATCCTGGAAACCTCCTGTGGTAATCTTCCCACGGACAATCGATCACGGAACATGTGAAGGCATTGGGCTCTGTGAATCCAGGAAAACAATGACAGATCAGACACAAGCCCCTAGTCGGCAACTCCTCCTTCTCCATAAACCAGGTGCCGTTGTAGTAGCAGGTGCCTGTAATCGGGAGGGGGAAGGAAAGAGCAACAGAAACGTTAGCAAGGAATGTCGCGTCGAAAAAGAGGAAACGGGAAGTAATTCGGATTCAGGAACGGGTGGGGTAGAGGGAAATGGAACAGAGAAAATTCAGTTTGTGGAGAGAAATAGAAAAAGTTTTCGGATAGGGCATTTGATTAGGTGCGTGTTCGATAGACAAGAAGATTGAAAGCAGGAGTGAAGCGTGGTCGTCAAATTGAAAGTTTCCGCAAGAAAATTTTAAGAAAGTGTTTCGTTTAGGTGAATTTAGAAACGAGTTAAATGCAACAGTCGATCAATATAGGGAGACATTATATATCATAGTAAAGTATTTTTGCATTGTAATATACATAGTTTAGTAAAATAGTTAGTATATTCGTAAACATTGTATTTTTAAGAATAACAAAATGTATTGCATATTATATTTAACATATATATATGTTTGTAGTTTTATATTAGAGTTTAATATTTTAATTATTACGTATATTAAGATAATAACACATTGTTGTAGCATACAATAATGCAGTACAATAATATAGAATCGCATTAAAGCATATGTGTTTTGTTGATTGTTATGAAAACAGGCAGCATTTTATATTAATATTATATTGTTTAGGAAAAAGCAAGTATAGTAAAAGAATTTAATTATGGTGTATTATATACATAATTTGTAAGAAGAAAAACATTGTTGAGAGCCGTGTTCAAAATATAATGGCAAATTTCATAATGAATTATTATAGAAATGTTAATTATTGTCCACAATATAGTAAATCATAGCATAAATTATTGTTGTCATGAGTGTATTATTTATTTTTATTTGTATTTATCACCGTAATGAAAAATCAGGCCTCAGTAAGTTATTATTTGAAATTTATTTCATAACAGTTTGCAGAATTTTATTATTAAGTTTATAATTTGCAACGTGTAATATGTAATTTAAAAAATTAATCAAACATTTATTGAAAATTTTGCAATAATAACGGTAAAAAGTAAAAATTCCACATAACATGCGCATCAAAAAATATAATACTCTCGGGAAACAGAGCCCATATAGTTGTTTGAATTAATTTTCAAATACATTAAATTATGATAAAATAATGCAGTTTTATCGCAGGTATCAATTTTAATGACAGTTTGATCAAATATAGATTCATTTGCATATCAGGTAGATAATGTATATTTACGCATTTTTGGGGGGGTGTGTGAAATTTTAAGATGTGTATTAGAATTCGAGATGTGTTGTCATTTTAATATCACAGTATGAGGTAATATTTAAGTACATTAAACATTATTCCAAAAAATTAAAATTAATATTTAAGAAATTGTGTGTGAAATATCAGTTTAATGTGATATAAACGGATTTATGCAGATATTTCATGCATAATTACAGCGGAAGCATAACAGATGTTTAACGGGTTCATAGGGAGATGTTGAACATTAAAAAAATGGGGGGAAGGTAAAGGAAGGGTAGGAAAGGAGGAAAAATAATGAAATACTCAAATTAGCACAGAAATAGTATACTGAGTATGAAACGCACTCAATTTAATTCTTAAAACTGAAAAATATTAATTATTCAAAGATAATTCTAGACAATTTAGTACATGAAAGTTTAAAAATATAAAATGAATGCCATTTCTTCATTTATATATTTTGAAATTTTATATTACAGACTCACTAAATAATCAGTAATGCACATCCAACATTAATATATTAATTTCAGATGCTGTATACACTATAAAGTTTTAATAAATAGTCTAAGAACTGTGTTACAGGTTTTCTTTAAAGTGAGAAAATATTAATTATATTTTTAGGATTAGACTAAGAGAGTACCATTTTACACGAGAATTGTTTTCTATAAAACACTAAATACAGACACTAGTCCAGAAATCAGGTATAAGAATAGATTAGGTCTTCAACAGAAAATGCAATTATCTTATACGGCGATGCAGGGTAAAAAGCAATGTTTTACCTTGATTATGGTGAAGAAAATCCTTTCATTAGGGTATAAACACCATATTCCTTTAAAATTAGTATAATGTGTTGAGAGATGGATAGTTTGAGAATATTATCGAGTCTTCCTATAACATCGATCCTAAAATTTATATTAGACCTGCTCGTTCTAATATAAATTTTAAAATCCACTGACCAATAAATGCGCATAATACTCTCATTTCGTCAGCCAATTTAGGCTTAAGCAATAGGTATCAAACTATAATATATATATATATATATATATATCAGTTACTGAAACTCTGTGACAACATTCATAAAAGTCCATGTTATCAACTGCGCAGTTTCAAGCAAGTTTGCATTTTCGAATAGCTAAAGGAATGTTACACCGAGGACACATGTAACCATCCGCTTAGCGGTTTCATTCAGCTGTACTGCAGAATAATAATATGTACTTCATTACTTAATTACCGAATAATACACGGAAATGTTTTGCAGCTCATTGCCTGTACTCATATGATATCGCTATTGTTCTTAATACAATTTACAAACATGCATGTGCAATTCAACCGCTCTCCCGCAGTAGCTGTTAAGCTACATTCGTAGTCGATTCATCTTGAAGTTCAGCTCCCTCTTGAAGGTAATTGCACATATCTGTCTCCTATTAGCGTTAGAGATAGTAACCCTAGACTTTCCTTATCCGATCCTTTCAGGAAAAGGTCTCTCGGAAACCGAGTCCATAATTTACAAATAAGGTAAATGTCTGCAATTAGATATCGCGATCGTGCTGATTTTCTTTGATGATATTCGAGATGGCCGATGGTACAGCATTTGGTAAAAGAAATATCAATATAAATATATAATGTTCCAAATACGGTCCACTATGTTGCAGCAATAATGTAAATTGGATTCAACCTAGAACAGGTTTCATATGTTATTTTAATGCACTATTCCTTTATCGGCTCCTTGATAAAATTTCTTGAAGCTCATACTATTTCCTCCTCGAGCTAAGTTAATTATCAGGATAGAAATTGGAATATTCCCTAATAACTTAAACCAATGTATTTTATTCCGAATTCAGTGTACTGACTTTCACAAAGGTATACAACCAAAACCAAATTTCAAACCGTGTAGAGTCATTAGGTTAATTGGAAGCAGAAAAGGTGGAAAAATATGCAACCGCCTTCGCCGAGAATCGAACCACGGACCTCTGGAATACCGGTCCAGCGTGATACCATTACACCGCGAAGGCACGCTAGGGAAGTGGGAGAAATACCTTATATACTCCCCTTTTTAAAGGGCGACTAGGGTTTTAGGGAACTAGTCGCCAAATCCTGGGTGTGGAGAATCATCATCCACAACCCTTTTAATTCGGGCGCCACTGTAGGGACATTAGGATTTATTCGGAAGCGGGAAATATGAAAAATATGCAACCGCCTTCGCCAAGAATCGAACCACGGACCTCTGGAATACCGGCTCAGCATGCTACCGTTACACCACGAAGGCACGCTAGGGAAGTGGGAGAAATACCTTATAACCGGACATAATAATAAATTATTTAAACCTTGAAAGGGAACTCTTTTAGTTTCAGCGAGAATGAATAAATTGATATGGAGGAAACGTTTCAAAGAATATGAAAAAAAAGCAACTACATGTACGCATGATTTAAAAAGAGTATAAAAAAATAAAATATCATATTTCATAAAATTATTTGAAAGGTAAAATAATGCGAAATTAACAAAGACTTCATATCTAAATGGTAATAAGCTTTAAATATTCTGACATTTGCTTAAATGTTTGTTAATTTTACTCTAGTAATATTAAAATTGACGTGTCAGTTGAACTGAGCATGGGCGAGGTTTCGATGAATTGTAAATAAAATAGCTATAACTTCAAACCTTACGCAGGCATTCATGATCAATAAATAAGAAGCTAGATTAAATATAGAATATATGCGAGAACAGAAATAATGTGAAGATTAGGACTATGTTAAAAATTGAAATTCCTTATTTAAACAATTTCACGTGAGTTTAATATTTACAATGACATCAAAATATTCTTATCTTTCGGTTCATTAACATTATGCATTTTTTCTTGAGGAAAAATTAATGATATCTTCATAATTGATGCATGGCCATATTATAGAAGTTATTATTTATAATGTTGGAGCGAAAATCTTATGTTCTATCGTCGTTGGTTGCTTAGTTAAATTACGAAATTCCATGAAGAAAGGTATGCCTTCACAGAAAACGAAAAGTTTCTGGTGGCCTCACACAAATTCCATGGTTTCACATGGAACAGCAACAAGCTTTAAGTAAATAACAGCTTCTGGGTGGTTTAACTAAATTGAAATATTTAAATTATACGAATCTGTGCTTTTATCATTTGTGAAGAAAAATTGACTCTTTAACAGCATTTGATATTAAGCAGTAATATCAAACAAATAGTGTTTAAGATTTCAATTATTTTAATTCAGAAAAATTTCCTGAAATTTCTATTTCAGCGAAAGAGATGTCCAAATGTAGTTTGTTTATGTTTTAGCTGAAAATGCAAGGCAGAATATTATCTCAAAAACGGCTTTAATAAATGGGGATTACAGTAGATTCCGGTTAAGACGATCACATTTTGTCCATTTTATCAAAATAGATAATATTAACAGAATGACAGCATTAAACAATGAGAAAAAATATCCTTTAAATAGGCTATGAAATTTAACTATGTAAATATAAGAACAAACATATAGGTAGATATTTCACAGCATTTCAATTAGGTAAATGCGAAAGTTTTTTTATGAACTATTCATGATATGTCTATTGTAAAAGTTTATTCATGAACTGTTCACAATATTTTTGGAAATTATTTGACCGATTCTGCAGCTCTAATCTTAATACACGGAAGGCAGCCCTCACTGGAAAAAAACGCGCCATTATAAGATTTTAAATTAGGCAGAATAACAGCCTTAGTTTGACACGGATGTTTTCTGGGAAATTTTTCTATGGAAAATCTTTGCTTCTTAAAAAGAGGGAACTCTATCTGATGCCCTCAAAATGGATAGCGTTATTGAAAATCTATGTCAAACAAAATCCCCACCCACCACCACTAATTTTAAATGGTTGACCAATAAATCAAAACCAAGCTATTTGGCGACTTAGTTCTTTAGTTGGCGACATATTTCTGTCATACGGTAACTTTATAATTTATTTTGAGCTTATCTGACGAGTTTATCTTTTATTTGATGACTTCATTTCAGTTTAAAAAATTTATTCCTTAATATTTTGAACATATTGACCGAAATGTTGATCTCAATAAGCGATGTATTTTCCATGTTCCAAGTATTAAAAACAGTGAGACTTCGGCAGGTTGATAACATATCCAATTCATAACATTATTCGTGATCACATTAACATTAATTGAAGTCTGCTATATTAAACGTATATTTCATAGGTTAGTGCAATTTTAGCACTAACTCTTCAGAGATTCCGAATTTTGACTTTGCTACCATTATTATCACAAAGAAAAAATGCTTTGGAACATGAAGAACAATAAATTTGCATTTTGTTGTTGCCCTCCTAATCTAAACGTAATCCAGATGAGATCCAATAATTCGTTATGGAGAAGAGGAATAGAGAATATCATCCAAAGCTTGGACGCCTTACAAGTGACATTACATGTTTTTCTAACTCCATCCTAGCTTTGGTGCGTACGGTTCTTTGAAGCTCGTGCTCTTCTTTCTTGACCACTAACCTTGTGCGGGAAAGTTGAGCTGAAAGTGCTCCCATGTTGAAAAACGCCCATTTGCAAACACCCATGCCTTCATACCTGTGCCTAACTGTAAAGCAGCTGGCACCACTAACCACCATAAGAATCAAGGTAATACAACAAACAACTATTAAAAAAAAATCATAAAAGTTTCAAATTTTAAATTACGTCCAAAGGGGAGTTTTTTTTTAACGTTTTGTGTGTTAACTTTATTTATTAAATATTATGTTCTTTGCAGTTAAATCATAAAATTCAGTTCAAAAGCAATGTCGCAAAATAATTTTAAAATGAGCACATCTTTAGAATTTCCGATACACAGCTCCGCGCACTGGAGATAAAAAAAAAGGTTTTTTCTTCCCGTAGAGTTTTGCCATTGCTCGCTTTGAAATCCTTGAATTTGTTAATCAAAAATTCTTTAAATTTTTACAAAATATCAAATCGATAATAAAACAAATTTCAAATTTCAAATTTGGTCTTCTACATGCTCATATTCGAAGGAGGATTACGTCATTCAAAATTCGATGGCTCTATGTACCGTTGGTTTATCACAATGCAAGAAGTAGACATATATTTATGCAGATTTTTCATTATTTAATTTCTTCAAATATAATGCAGGACTCTTAACATTTCGTGGCAGCACTCTGAAAAGTGAAACGGACATTTATAGTGATTCAACGAAACCGAAGCCCCTTTGGACTAATAATTTTCAACAGAAAAAATTACTTATAAAAAGTGACACTTTAATGTAATTTTTTTTCCATGGAAAATACCAAACTGTCAAACGGGAGGGGGAACAAATATCTGGAATTTAGTTAAAAACACTCCTGCCTGGCCAGCCACTGGTACACATGTCGTAAGTAAATTAGCTGCATTCTTTACTACTTGGAACGTAATATCGCCTACTGGATGTAGTACGCACGTAAAAAAACCAATATACATAGGCATATTTTCCCGTTTTTTCATGGGAAAAAAGAAAAGTTCGGTTAAATGGCATACTAAGCAGTAGTACAAGAGTGCCCTCTGCCGGAACAACTCCGACATAGTTGAAAATAAATCATTTTGACTCTCTCATTCAACAAAAAGGCGATAATGCGTTTCATATTTCATCTTAACCCGAATGATGAATTTGCTTTCTTTCAGGAAACCTAATGGCGTATTTAAGCGTGAAATAACTCTGATTTTGTAACTCGAGAGAATTCCGAATACTCGATCAATAAAATTCAGCAAAGAAAGAAATAAGTTATTCTGAAGGAAACGTGCCAAATTACGTTTATGATACGTCTCAAGACATTGCTTATTTTTATCGTATTTTTTCTCCAATGCATGTAATACTAGAAAGCATTTTGAGTTGTCTTTTTATCTATCTCAAATACTACGTTTGTGAAGAATTTAAATAAAACGTTATATCGCTTGAAGAATTTTATTGAAATCGATATGATTGGAAAGCGACTGCAATTTCTTTACAGAACTTGTCTTTTAAATTATTTTCAATCGTTTAATCTGGAATTTAATGGAACGTCTAAATTAAAACAGAAAAAAATAAAGTTTTCTATTTCGTCACAAAGAACTTTTAATTTCATACGTATGTAATACTACACCGAAAAGTGTCATTCGTATTTTATTCAGCAATGTAGTCAAAGTATTGCCTCTGAAAGTACATACATTAAACTGCAATTAACATTAACAACCATTTATGTCATCTAAGTCAATATGCATTAAATAGTTAGTGAAAATTCTTTATATTAATAAAATTGCTTAATGACAAAAAATTTAATCTCCAAGAAATATAACAGTTGCTGTGTTCGGTTCTTTTATTCGAAATTGTGCTTAGCGAAATAAAATATTTTAAAATTAAACTTTAGTATGAATGACAATCTTTAACTGAAATATCTTTCTTTGAAAAAATAGATTTTACTAAACTTATGCGTACATTTCCTTAATTTTTAAAACAGAATATCTGCGTTCGGTGAATGAACTCTCTGCTTACTTCCCTTTTGTAAATTGCACCTATTTCTCTCCTGCAAGGAAACACAATTGTTTATTTTCTTAAATATAAATTAAGTGTAAAATTTAAGAACATTACCTTGGTTGCTTATAGTTTCATTTTTCGCATCTCTGAGAAAACCTAAAAATAGAGGAAAAACATATATTAAATACTGTAGATATTTAAAAGAATTATAAATCATTCATTTCAAAATATAGCAGTATATCATGTATAAAAGCAGAAATAAATACACACGTTATCTGAAATAGAAAATCAAGATCATTCGTACATTCTATTGTATTTTAAATGAACACTTTATATAACATTCAAACTGAAGAGACATTACGTTATTTTGAAGTAAAAGTGCGTGAAAAATGAGTAATGCTCTCGCCTGTACTATACTTAGCCCTCTCGAATACGCGCGGAGTGTGCTACCGTTACACCACGAAGGCATGTAGAAAGAAAAGAGAAAATATCTTATATACTTTCCCTCAAAGGGCTACTGGGGATTAGGGGACCCAGTCGTCAAATCGTCGTGGGGTGAAGAATTATCATCCACCACCTTTTACTTCAGGCGCCACTGTAGAGTCCTTAGGAACTTTCTGAAGCAAGACTGCATGAAAAATGAGCAATGCCCTTGCCGGGACACTACTCGAACCTCTCGAATACGTGCCGAGTGTGCTACCGTTACACCACGAAGGAATGCAGAAAGGAGGGAGAAAATACCTTATGAGTTACATAAAAGTAGATTTTCAAAGCTTAAGAAGTTCTAATGAAATGTTCCCGTCTTCACTCTGTATTATGTTTTTAATTTCCCATAGTACGTATACAGACGTTAGACGTATTTTATTTAAACTGAAGTTAAATGATAGAACGATATATAATCAATAAAATGTTAATTTTAGCTTTATAATGTTAATTTCAGCTTTGTAAAATGTTAATTTTAGCCGTGAAGTTATTAAAAAAGGTAAATGACATTTGCTACAAAATGATTTAGCTTTACTCGATATATAACTATTTATAGATATTTGCACTAATATTGTACAAATTCAAAGTGACATCCATCAATATCTCTAATTTTCAGTTTTCTTGAAATCACATTATCAGTACCGCGTTCCCAATAATTATTGAAAGTTTGAAAGAGAAATAAATCTATACGCATATCTAAATGATGTATTAACAAATGCTGCGAATACATAGTACAGCGCAGATAGTACATTTATTAAAAATAAAGTATGCGAAAATTTGGATGTAAATGAATCTTACAATGCAACCTGGTATTATCATTATAAATATTCATGTAAACTTAGCATCACATGGAAAAATTACATCATCTATTATGTAAACAAAAGAGCAGATCAAGAAGATCATACACTCATGCGAAGGTTTGATTTCTCCAGAGATTCCTTTGATCGCTAAGATACTATCACATGCGTTCTCAATAGAGTGAAACCAACTAATCACTATTTGACGTCTAAAACTTAGGAAGACTTTGCAAAATCATGCCGCTACGGAAATCAGGAGATAGAATTGAATATCAATGAGCAATTAATCTTGTATAGGAGGCTGATGGTTAGTGGCAACTAATTTAAATACTGGGACGAATGATGAAGCTTGGCAATAATTCTCCCAGACTTTTCTAACCAATTATCAGCTAAGTATTTCTAATCTGAAACGGCCTTAGAAGTGCACGGCGAGATAATGAAGAGAGGAGATTCAAGAAGAATCTCTCACTGATTGCTTCTGAAGGGCCAGATTTGTCTTAGCAATAAATAGGCATACACTTGTGCCATTCGGAATGGAAATTTCATTAAAGGTGTGTAAAACATGCAGAATGATATCGAATAGACGAAGTAATATTTAAATTCTTGCAATGTGAAAATTCGTCTCAAGGAGTTAAATTCTGAAACCAGGATTAGAATTCTGGTAATAAATTTCTAATTGTCAAATAGTTATAAATTTATAATTGCAATTGTAAATTTCAGTGGAATTTAAATTGCTAGGCAATGAATCTATAGCAAAAGTAAAGTATTTCTTTCTTTACATAATATATTAATGTAGCATTCCGAAGTATTATAGCTTTAAGAATGAAATCGTTACAGAACTAAATTAGTCGTGACGTCCTAATGAATTAAGAAAGAGAATTACGGAATCAGAACTAATTTATTGTAAATTTTAAATTTAAGAAAACTTTTCATATATTCAAGAACAAATTTAATAAATCTAATATCTGTAATTTATATAAAACTAAACTCAGTGGCGCAATAGCCCTAGTGGGTCATGGCCTGCATTGTACGACTAAGCGAAGTCGTACTGACAACCTGTATCGTGCTCAAGGGTCTTGCCAACGACAGGCACAAACTTGCCCTCTTTGCCATGATGCATTTCGTGAGTTTGTTGTTGTTGTTGAGCTGATGTTACTGTCAGGCAAGTGAGATAAGTCACAATAGCAACAACGACAATAATAAAGCACATTTAAACCTTTTAAACAAATTTTTAAATAGGATGAAAACACAAAATAAACGATTTTGAGTAAAATTTAATATTATCTTTTAGATTTGAGAGAAGAGAAAATATTTTTTTTGGACTTCATAACTGTTCAAATAATTACTCAGATTCGCAGTCATTTGTCATAATTAAAAAACTGTATAAACAAGCGATAATCACAGAAACAGAAATTTGCTTCAAATTCTATACATTACTGCAAGAACAATGCATAAATATTTTAGTATACCTAATTTTAAACAGATAAATCCTGTATTCTGTGATGAAATGCGTGAGCTACCTCATGCAATAATATTTATCCGAGCTTGCACGCATAAAAAAGATAAACTTATTCACAAAATAAAGTAATAAGAATAGGAGAAGCATGATATTGTATAAATCTTTAGTAAAATGAATTCTTATTAAAAGGGATATAATTCTGTGTACGCTACATGCTTTCCTCCTATGCACGACTAACTGTGAGGGTTCGCAATAATATTTCAAGTAATGAAAGACTTACTCAAACATTCATTTCAAAGGTAATATTAAAACAAAAGATATTCACTCCAAAACTAATCAAGGAAGATTTCCAAAGAACGACATTTGGAGAAATAAATCTTTGAATTTCCAGTTATTTTTTAGGTTACAATTGAGTAAATGAAGCTACTGAGTTTCAATATTTTTTCTCCTTCGGGCATTTGTTCGAAATGCAGATTGCAATATAAATCTTTCATTTTGGAAACCTGCGGTAAAATATAGTAAATAAATCACGGAAAAGGTAAAAGCAAATCCTAATTTAAATCGAAAGGAACGTTTCATTTCTTTCCAGCAGACAGCTATTGTTATTAACGTTGGTCTCAAATATAAGAAGATACCTTTGTCGCAAAAAATAAATTCTGAAGTTTATTTTCATAAAGTCGTTCGAGCAAATGAATTCTACTTTTGTTTCTATTCCTGCTTTTAATCAAAAATGACGTTTACTTCATTTTGGCCATTATAAGTATGTAAAAGTTAATTATTGTTAGAAAAAATAAGCATAAAACTGTGACATATTTCAAAATGTGAAACATAACATTTATAAATCTAACGTAAAACAGTGTGTGTGTGTGATTATGGCAAAGCCTCGAGGGCTATCTGCCTAAGGGGAGGGATGCCTTCGTGGAGGACTTTCTAAGGGAAACTGGCTCGTATACACGTTACACATGGGGAAAACCACGAAAACGCCCATGCAGCCAGCCCGTTCGCGGGATTCGAACCTCGGACCGAACTACCAGTGTTCAGCGACTTTACCGCTCGGCCGCTGGTGGGCCTCTAACGTAAAACAGATTTCTTATATTTATTTAAGAGCTGTGGCTTCTAATATTTCAGAAAAATATTCAAAATGTTCAAAAAAAAAAAAAAAAAAAAAACAATATTATTTGAGTTTCAGGAAATGATCTTGTAATCGAAAATTTCTTTCGACTGTGCTTAAAAAGATATTGTGGTAGAAAACGCCAGTCATATCAAATTAAACTCTCAAGGAAATACGAGGACGTTTTCTTATTTACGTGAAACAAGAATTAGAACGCTCTATCTAAAAGTTTTATCGAATATTGTCGTTTTCGAATATCGAATATTGTTGTCTGTTGAAAGCAACTTCGTTTACCGGACACTTAATAGCAAAATATTCCCAAAGATGAATAAATATCCAAATCTTTTTTACCAATACATCGACATATTGTAATAATTTTGTACCGATACATCGACATATTGTAATACTTATAATTAGTGCAATATTTATCATGACGGACATGAGCATACTGTTGCTGTATCATACATATGTGCTTAAAAAAGGTTTTAAAAACTCTTTATTCTTCCAAAAGAAAATTCTTTTATCAGAAACTCAAGCTTTCCTCTTAGAAAAATAGCTTAAATTCAAATATGTATTTTTGTAGAACGTTTTGCAAAAAATACATCCAAATGAATTCAGCAGGCTGCACTTATTAATAAGCAGGTCATATAAAACGTAACTCTCGTTGGAATTAAGCTAATACTTTAATCAAGAATGTGAAAGGCTTCCATCGAAGATTTATCTTTGGAAAATTGTCTTCAAATTCTTCCAAATAGGCATATATTACTACCAAAACTTTGTAAATTAGAAAGTAACCAGAATTACGTTCTACTAACTCATAAACAGTTCCTTTTCCATGGATATTTGAAACTACTATTAAGTATCGAAACAATCATGCTTTTTATTGATCGTTGGAATAACCAACGGTAATTTTTAAAATAGCGATGGTTGCGCAATTCTGTGTAGATTAATAGGTAATCGATACCCCCCAAAGAGAATTTTTAGATGCTCCAGACGATTTTCTACAGATTCTTTATAAGCTTCTTTTAAAAGAATCGATATTGAGAATACATGAGTAAGAAAATGCTTCAAAGGAAGAAAGAAAACAAATGTGTTGAAGAATAGATTCATTTGTGATTCCTTTAGATATCATCCATCAAAACTATGACAAGAATATCGGAATTTTCAGAATTTTGTTTTTGAAAATTTTCAGCTTTTTAAGATTTTGGGCTGTTTTGCTCTGCAAAATAACGAATTGAATGGTAGGAAATGACGGCCACTGTTAGTTATTACAAGATGTAGGCATTTACTCACTGAAGATACATAT